GAATTAATTCATCTTACATGAATGGCCAATGTGCGGTGTTTTTCCGCTGATCTTGAGTGCGCGGTCTCCAATTCCGGACCACTTCCCGTGGACAGAGCTAAATAACCTCTAGACTTGCCTAGCCTACATGTAGCCGTAACCTCCCCCCGCCATGGTGAAACGAAGGTTCCCTCGCCTCCGTTTCACCTTGCAGGGGAAGGTACGGCTACACGTAGGCTAGGCAAGCGCTTAGCTTTGGCGCGGAAAAGTCCTCGGAAGACGGATTTTGAGTCGTTTGCGTGTTTGATTTTCCATTCTGTTGTTTCCGTTGTCGCTTTTGTTTTGCAGAACAACCTCCAAAAACTTTGTACACTCTAAAAGAATTGATTTTCTCCGCAAATTTCGAAGAATTATTATTTTAGATCTCGTGCACTTCTGACCGCGTTATTTAACAATTGGTTTATACGTCAGCGTGCGTTCATCGAGATATGAAGCACACGGGAAGTTTGGAGAGCACGAAAGATGCGTAAAAGTTGCTCGAGGCGTAGCCGAGAGCAACTCTAGCCTTGAGGGAGGGAGGTTACGCACAGCTGACGTATGAACCAATTGTTTTATAACATTTTCAACCCGATGGTGTAAATGTTGTAAAAGGGTTAATATTCCTTCTTCTACGCTTCAGCGCGTTGATAATTTTGTTTCAGGAAAACATTTCGCTACGCTGTAAACGATCTTGTCTTAGATTGGTCAAAAAACTGACAGGTGAATTCATGCGTGTAAATGAACTTTATTTTCTGATTGAGTACAAAATTCTCAAGGGATTTGTTTGCTGACGTCATGAGCGTGCACAATAGGAATATGAAGCACGCTCACGCAATTGAATTTGATTAGACAATTGCAATTATAATTGTTAATGACCGCATAAATGTGGCGTAGCACTTTGTTATCCAGTTCTGTCCTTCCCGTGAGCCCCCGTCCCTGGGATTGGTCGTGGTCATCCTGCGTGTGAAAATTAACAACTTCGATCGGCTTTGGCTAGCGATGAATCCGTGTGAAACGTTCTAAACCGGTAAGTACACCTTACTACCTTTGCTAATGTTCAGCATCGATAAATTAGCCGCCAAACATTTCGGTCACGGTGAGTCAACGGAGATTTTGCAGATTGGTTACCCCAATGATCGGCGCAGACTGCTGTCATGACATGTAGGATCCACCTTAAAATGAGTTGGCATCTAAATTACTTCATTAACTCGAAGAAGGCAGGTTTTGTAATCGCAGCACTTCAAATGACTTTGTGGTCATGTCAGCTCGGTTATGTTAGTGTATGTATTTCATGAATTTTTCATCACAACTGATTTGTAAAGACACACTCTGATAAACGTCATTTCCTAGGCCTACTGTAATTTGCGAAACGAAACGAAACGAAATGAAAATCTGTAATTTACGAAATGGAAATATGCTAATGATTTGAACTTCGCGAAACCTCCTCTAAGTTCGTAATAACTGCGTCGTTTAGACCATATAGAGTGCAAAAGTAATTTGAAATGTTGGTTGACGCTGTAACTGTACGGTTTGTAAGGTGAAAACAATGCATATTGTCGATGAATGATTTGAAAGCGTGACACGACACTTACCTGGCCGGAAATGCACATAGTAAGTGTTGTAACATGTTTTTAGATGAAATATCACGTTTGCTAGCGAAATATAACTGACTCAATCTCTTTAATTTATTTTCTTGAGTCTCAGAATAATTTTTTTTCGCAAAGTACAGATTTCTATTTTGCAGATTATTAGCATATTTCCATTTCGCAAATTACAGATTTCCAGAAGTGCTAATGAGTTGATTTGTTTTCGTTGCGTTTCATTTCGTTTCGCAAATTACAGAAAGCCATTTCCTGTTGCTATGTATTTGATCTAGTAATAATTTTCACCATACTTGCTTCCATTTTTGGTGATATTAAGTTTTCTTTATAGAAATGATCTTAACAGGTTTTTAGGGAGATTTAATTTTATCAATTAGCTTGTAGCTTTTAATGAAATGTTGTTGAAAAAAATAGGTGCTCAGCATAAGAAGAATTATTGATATGAATTTGGGTAATTTTGGGTAATTTTGCCGGCCCTGAGGTTTTTAATAGCTTTGGAGGTTGAACGAACCATCAAATGTCCAAAGCTACATGTAGATTGCCTGTCTTAAGAAAATATGTATTACTCACAGTTTTGATCAGTCAGTAATTACATAGATACCCAGTCACCTTGCCATTAGGAAGATGGGCCACCAGTGAGCTTGGCACCAAAGTGTAAAATTTGTGCTTTTAAGTGGTTAGATCCAATTGTCTCTTAGAGTTTAAAATAACTAAGAAAACAATTAAGTCAGGGTTTTTTAAAACATACATGTTTTTTGGCAAGGCTTAAATCAAAGCAGTTGGTCAACATAATATCTTTTTTTAATCGATCAACTTTGTGTTAAATTATTGATCTTGCCACCAAGGTGTTTTACCTCACCATCAAACACTCATTGCTTGGTGATTGTTGTAATTGTATCAAGTATAGCCATTAAATGTTTGATTAAATAGCTGTATGGTTTTTTTAGCTCTAACTTAATTGCTCATGGTTGCTATGGGGTAAAAAGTTAACAGGATCTCCTTGTGAGCTTTCAAAGAACTTGTTTTGTAGACAAAAAAAAATGCATGTGATCGATACCATCTCTTGACAATGTTGTAGTTTCTTTTGTTGATTAAAAAGCTACAGTCAATTTGGTTTACTTTTTCTTTAATGAACATTTTAAATATTTACAGGCTAAACTTCATTGTTCAATGGTCCATTTGATATCTTTGATCAGATCAAATTGGTGGCATTTAAATCGTTATGTGCATTTAACTTGCATTCTGCCATCTTGAAAAAACTATTAAGCCTTCAGCATGGCTCTATATTATTGCTCATAGGGTTCTTATGGCGATGCTCATGAGAATCAAGATCAAACTCAAAGGTTGCCTAAAGCTTTGAATTTTTTCTTAAGTAACTAGCAAACTTGGTGGGATGTTTACTGGTGATGAGTCTATCATGCGGTGAGAACTGGAAACCATTAAATAACATATAGTTCCATTGTCCAGTGAAAAGATATGATATAGAAACAGTTAGGGTTGGTAATTGGAAGAAGGTCTAAACTGGGCAGCGGATTTTGGTGATCAATGAACTTTGAAAGTTTGTCATGGGGAAGGGGGTGTTCAAAGTAATTAGATCTTTCTTTAAGTGCTAAAACAAGCCCTTTTGACAGTTTTGCAAAAACCTTGCCACTTTGGTAATATTTTCTGCTTAATTTAACCCTTTAACTCCCATGAGTGACCAAGACAGAATTTCTTCTTATAATATCAATACAATATCAAGCAGACAAGTGATGAGAATAAAGAAAAATATAAATTAGGGGATGGTAAGTTGATTCAATACCAAATTTTCCAAACTAATGCCGCAAGAACTGTATGGCAGACATTAGGAAGAATTACTTATTAGATTTTGAATGTGAAAGGGTCTAGAGTGCAGTTTGGATGAACAAGGGTTAAACTTTGTGTTAATAACTAGCCCTTAGTATCCAAATTCATCTTTGTTATCATACATATCATTTGTGACAGATGGTAATTCACAATATTTGCACATTTCTATATGCTTTTGCATTGGTTTGCTTCTTTTGCTTGGCTGGTTCAAAGGAAGAATTAAAGGATTGGATTTTCAATAACATTTTACAGCTGTTTTCCTTGTTGTTAACCATAGGATATGTGCTTATGCAGATGTCTAAAATCTGGACAACACCAAATATTTTCAGGTCTTTTTGATCTCGTTCACTCAACCATTTTTTCTGCTTAAGGAAGGCAGGAGCTGGGTTTATCAGAAACTGCTTGGTGAAATTTCTTTAGGAGATGCTCATCCATATGACTGGTTGATATTTTAATTTTTTTAGTTGACTTCCGATTGGGCTTAGCACATTATCACATAATTGGATAGAGTCTGTTGATGTTGTTCTTTATTTTTGTCTGGAATATGAAGTTATTTATCAAACAATTCTATCTGGTGCCAAGGAATTATTTTTGAGACATCATAGTTACCCATATGAAACTGCCCAATATCAGGATAATTTAGCCTACTATATGCAGATATTTTCTTTTCTTAATTTTTCATCATTTCCATATATGTATAAGTTTGCATGCAGGGACTACTGTTATTTCTCCTTGGATTTCTAGCCTCTGTGCTAGAAACCCTTCAGGGGCATTAAGAAGTGATTTACCAACTTTGGCAGCCTGCCACTGCCATTCCAAGAATGCAATCTAATGCCTCTTGAGGGTTTGGTTGAAAGTTATGTATGTGGTTGATAAATTAACCTCCTTCTTTTGGTGATATTTAAGATGAAGACCACCATACAATTGTGAAATTATTTAAGTTCCTGGAATCTGTTTTTGATCTTCCTAGTCCCCTCCCCCCTCACTTATTGGAGGTAATTTTTATCTCTCTTTTTCGGAAGCATGCTGTTATGGATCCTGTTTGCAGCCCACTACTTGGTGTTGCAAGGGGGTGGGGAAGCTTCTAGGTTTTCATGTTGCAGTAATGCAAGTGTGTGCAAGGTCTTTTAGGGTGTTGGAAGGGTTCTGGGTGGGAAATGAACCCCCCCCCCCCCAAAGACCTATGGCACATTGGCTTTGCTTGCAGGCTCAAATCTCAAAGGCCTCATGCCACTTGTCCTGATGTCAGCTTTTAAAACTCTTTACGGAGGCCAATTTACGTTATCAACTCAGTTGATAAAACTGAATTACCCTGTTATACTCTCCAATTGACACAGCACCAAAGTTTGTCTAGAAACTTGCCCCCTTTATTCATCAGCACCATTAACTTTTAACCCCTAAGAGTGGCAAGGTTCTAATTTCTCTTTACAATCTATCCCTTGATTCAAATGTTTAAATGACGAGAATAAAGGAAATGACCAGCAACTAACAAAGCTTTTGATGGTTTTACAAATTCTCCTTGTTAGATCCCAGGAAGTGTATAAAGAACAGTATGGAGAATATGCACAATGATGTTAGAGTGACAAGGTTTAAGAGATTGCTAGCAGGCTCGCAGGCATTAGCACAAAAGAAAGACTGAAGAGAGAAACTCAAGGTTAGGATTGTTGAGTTTGGCCATTTTATTGCTCTGCCTTCTGTCAGTATTTTTGCTTTCAGGTTAGAATTTCATCAGTAATATTGTTTCTTTCTCAGTCAAAATCATTCACTATTTGTTTACCGTTCCCATCTTTTAGCTCTGTGAAAACTCTTGTAATTTTGTCTTTTGATGTGGAGAAAGTGTACTTTTTAGGCCATTTGCCTCAGAGTTCTCGTGAGTTTGAGGCAGAGACTGGGACCAGTTGTGGGGACTGGGGTGGTGGGGCATTATGGTTAGTTCATGGCAAGAGTTTGGTAGTTTACCTAAGAAATCATATTTAATCAACAATTCAATTAACTCAGCTCAAACTTGGTGAGAAGTACACCCAGGTAATTACCTACCACATGACTGGTTTTGTGGTGTTCGGATGGCACGAGAAACGGAGATATATTCTTTGATTTCAACACAGAACTTTTAATAACTTCTAACATGTGTCGTCGCCATTACCGGAAGTGATCATACATCGAATCATGAACGGAAGCGAGGCTGAATTAATGTAAACGTAAATCGAATACAGCACATCTCCCCCTTTAAGATAATAAAAGAGAAACTACTTAGACATACTTGTTTCTTATCTAGCGTGAAATTCAAAATCAAAACAACGTCAATCAAATGTCCTCAAGTAATCGTCATTTTGTTAAGAAACACATCCTGGGTAGCTATTGTCGTTTGTCTCTGCACTAAGTCTCACACACACTAGAATACGCGTTCATAGTTATGACTTTCTGTCTGAGAAACCAGAGAAAATCTGGCCAGAAAGTATAACTTCACTTATGGCACATAATCCTTCAATCTAGATGAGGGCTTAGATTGACGGCCAGATCTGGTGTACACTTTTGATGTGCCAGTTCCTTCTGCAGTGTTAGCAGTTTGGGGTGAAGGAAGTTTAGGTGATGGAGGTACTGGCACCGGTGTGGGTTTGGCTGGAGATGTAGCTGCAGCTGGGGGTGGGGGTGGTATCTTGTTGATCTGTACTCTATTCCTTCTATATGACCCAGTGTCCGTATGGATCACATAAGAACGAGGTGTGCACTTCTCCACTACTATTCCAGACTGTCCTCTGTCTTGTAACATCACTTCATCTCCCTTCTCTAAGGGAACAAGAGGCCTCGCTGAATGCCTTCTGTCAAAGTGCAGCTTCTGTTTGGTTTTGTGATTGTCTTCAAACTGACGTAGGGCATGATTCTGCACAAGGTTTGGGGACAGCTGAGACGGGGCCACCGGCACTTTGGTTTTTAGCCTCCTTGACATCATTAGCTCAGCTGGAGAATAACCATTAGCCAATGGTGTCGCTCTATACTGTAGCAAAGCAAGATAAGGATCTTGAGAGCCAGCTAGGAGACGTTTAGCTGTTTGCACTGCTCTCTCTGCTTCACCGTTGCCTGAAGCATGACCTGGGCTGCTAGTGACATGTCGAAACCCGTAATCTAAAGTGAACATCTTAAATTCCCTTGATGTATAGTAGCTGGCATTGTCAGATTTTACTTGATCTGGAATTCCGAATCTGGAAAATGCACGTTTCATCCTGTCTATGACCTCTGCTGAGGCGGTTGAACTCAGACTAGCTACCTCTATCCATCTGGAGTAGTAATCAATCATTACTAAATACAGTCTTTTATTGAGTTCATAGACATCAGTGGCTATGTATTGCCATGGTCGTTGTGGGAGCATGGTAGGAACTAGAGGTTCTGGAGGATTTTTCCTGTTAGACTGACACTTGCGACAGTTTTCAATTAACTCCTCTATATTCTTCATCATGCTTGGCCACCACACTGTGTTTCTGGCCAATGCCTTGCACTTGACAATCCCTTGGTGACCGTCGTGGATCTTATCCAGGACTTCCAATTTCATAGACGATGGTATAACGACTCGAGGTCCCATCATCAACAGCCCTTTAACCACTGTCAGCTCTGCTCTATGAGCAAAATAAGGGCTGACTAAACCCTTGACATTATGTTTTTCAGGCCAACCTTCAGCTACATAGTTCATAATTTGCCTGCATGCTTCATCCTCCCGTTGATGGATCATAATATCATCTAATTTGCTATCACTGATAGGCATTCCAGCTATGACTTGATGAGCATATAAGTTCACTTCCTCATGAAATGAATCACCTGATTTGGCTGGTGTTGGAGAACGGGATAGCGTGTCGGCAGTGTACAACAGTTTTCCTGGCACATGAACAGGTGTGAACGAGTATCTCATGAGCCTCATTCTCATTCGTTGAATACGTACGGGTAGTTGATCCAACTCCTTCGTGGATAGCAGTGGTACAAGAGGCTTATGATCAGTCTCTAGTATAATATCCTTTCCCAGAATGTAATCTGTGAATCGTTCACATGCGAAGGTACTAGCTAAGGCCTCCTTTTCAATCTGGGCGTACCTTTTCTCTACATCCAGAAGGCTTTTGGACGCATACGCCACTGGCGCCCACCTGTCACCGTGCTTTTGCAAAAGCACTCCGCCAAGTCCGTATGAAGACGCATCTGCTGACACCTTGGTCTCTAGTGAAGGATCATATATTTGCAACACTGGGCTGCTCGTCAAGCATTGTTTAATCTCTTTAAAAGCCTGTTCCTGTGCTGGACCCCAGCACCATGCACTGTGAGAGCTCAAGAGTTCACGTAGAGGTTGTGTCATAGTAGCAAGGTTGGGTACAAACTTCATGAGCTGGTTCACTGTACCCATCAGACCTCTTACCTCACTCACATTCTCTGGAGCACGCATTTTCAATATAGCCTCAACCTTCTCTGGAGAGCTTTCCACACCATTAACTCCGATCCGATGACCTAGAAAGTCAATCTGGCTTTTGCTGAATTGGCACTTATCCTTATTCAAGGTGATACCTGCTGCTTTCAGCCGTGTTAATGTCTGTACGAGTCTCTCGTCATGTTCCTCCTGGTTCTTTCCGAACACGACAATGTCATCCATGAGACATACCACACCTTGTTGACCACCTAGTATTCGGTAGATCTCACTCTGAAACTTCTCAGGGCCAGATTTGATACCGAAGGGAATTCGCTTATATCGAAATCGACCAAATGGTGAGATGAACGTGGTCAGTTTCCTTGAATCTTCATCCAAGCAGATTTGGTGGAAGCCCGCATTGGCATCCAGTTTAGAGAAAACCTTAGCACCTCCCATCAGAGCAATTGTATAATCCACTGTGGGGAGCATGATTCTTTCTCTCTTCACTACTTCGTTAAGCTTCGTGAGATCCACACAGATCCTCACTTTGCCATTTCCTTTAGGCACCACGACCATAGGAGAACACCATTCCGATGGTTCTGTGCACCGTTCTATAACATCTAGCTCGATAAGCTTGTCAAGTTCAGCTTTGGCTAGAGGAAGTAGTGGAATAGATATCCTCCTGGGAGTCATCACACTGTATGGCTCTGCGTTTTGCTCGATCTTAATCTTATATTCTCCTTCTAGCTTTCCTAAGCCTTTGAACATTGATCCGAACTCCGCTGACTGGATAGGATCTGACGTAACTTTTCCAATGAACTTAACGACACCTAGATCTGCACAAGCGTCTCTACCTAGCAATAGAGAGCCTTTGGGGAACACATATATATCCTCTGTGATTGTCTGATCACCTTTCTTTAGTTCTGCAGTAAAGAATCCAAGAGTTGAAAGGTTGCTTTGATCTGGGCCACTAAGAGGCCTGTCAGGCTTCTGCAAAATGAAGTGTGAAAACTGTGTATCATACACAGCTTTGGAAATGACTGTCACATCTGCTCCAGTATCAACAGCAAATTTCAGGCTCTGACCTGACACCTGGACTTCCGTAAACCATGCACTCCTACGTTTCCTGTTGTTGATACTCTCAATAGAGTAACTTTCATCACTGATGCTTCCTAAGAAGTAGTACTCATCTGAGTCAGACTGCACTTCTGCTACCTCTTGTACAGACCCTTTTCCTTTACTACTCCTGCAGACCTTGCCCCAATGTCCTGGGCGTTTGCACTTGTTACATTTACTGTCGTTTGCAGGGCATCTTTCTCTGGGGTGCACCTCCTTTCCACACCACCGGCATGACCGGCTATTCGACGCCTGGGAGCAATTTGATGCACTTCTTTGCTGCCCGTTACTACGTGGTCCCTTGTCACGAGGGCCTCCTTTCCGCCTATGTTGAACTGCCTGCACTTTAGAAGTCTCTCCTTTTATATCCTGAGCCCACCTTCCAGAACATTCTTCTGCTCTACACTCATTTATCGCTTTTTCTAAAGTCAGTTCACCATCTCTCAACAGCCGTGCTCTGACCTTATCACTATTTATACCCAATACGATCTTATCTCTGACAAAATCGTCCTTTAGTTCACCGTAGGCACACGTAGACACGAGAGTGTTAATTTGTGATAAGAAATTATCGAAACTCTCACCTTCTGATTGCGTATACCTGTGAAACTTGTAACGTTCATAAGTAACATTTGTTTTCGGCGTGCAGAACCTCTGGAATTTCTCCAGAATTAATTCCGGATCCAGTTTGTCCTCTGCTGGTACATGTTCCTCCCCTTCGGGGTCACCTACCGCTGGAGCCCATGTGAAGCCATTGTAGATTTTCAGCGCCTCCTCACCTGCGAGATTTAGCAGTATAGCACTTCTCCTTTCCTTACTGGCAGTAGATAATCCAATGGCGTTCACATATAATTCGTACTGCTGCTTGAACAACTTGAAATTCTCACTTGCATTTCCCGATAGACAAAGAGCTTTCGGTGGTGGAAGATTCGTAGCCATATTTCCGCGTAATTCCTGATCACTGATCGCTAAATATCCGTTCTGGACACAGTTTATATCTTCTTGTCCACTTCTGACACCATGTGGTGTTCGGATGGCACGAGAAACGGAGATATATTCTTTGATTTCAACACAGAACTTTTAATAACTTCTAACATGTGTCGTCGCCATTACCGGAAGTGATCATACATCGAATCATGAACGGAAGCGAGGCTGAATTAATGTAAACGTAAATCGAATACAGCACAGGTTTAGAATAAACTTGTTGTTTATTTTAGGTTAATGATGAACAAGTTACTGTGAAGGGCTATTTTGAGGGTTAAATTGGGGTCCCTCACTTTTTTGTCATTTCCTTTTTAAAATAATCACTTAATTTTTGGTACAATAATAAGTTGTTGGGAATAAGTTATTGAACAATTTTGGAGAAATGAAACGAGCCAAAACGATTGGATTACCTGTGGTTGCCATAGCAACCAAACAACAAACAATGTACTAGCCTTCAAAAGCGGCTGTTTATTAGCGGCGCATGAATAATTAAGCGGAACAAACATATATAATCTGAAACTAGATGGATTGTAGTATCATTTAAGATGAAATTTTAAAAAAGGGTGAATTTTTCAATTTTTCTTCAAAATCCAACTGTAAGGCTTAGCATCTCAGAGACGAATTTGGAGCTCGAAGGAACGACAAAATTATTTTTAGAGATCTGAACGAACCTCTCCTTTAGTGATTAATTTACCACACGGTTTTCTCGTCCTGGGCATCACTATTTTCTATTTTCAACCAAACATTTAAATCTTAACTCTACTTTAAAACCTGTGATATCTTAAATCCTTTGTAACTTCTTTTTAGGTTATCATGTCGTTGTTTTAAAGCAAGTTCGTTGTCAGTTGCACCGATAACTTTCTGGAACCATTGATGACTCTAAGCCGGCAAGGAACCATCATGGATTGTGCGCTGGAGATTCCTTTGAAGAAGGGTGGACCTGAGGATGACTGACTTGGCAACCTCTTACAGTAACGTGGAAACCGCATCTGGGTTCCATGGTGATTTTCAGCAAGCAAAGGACTATTATGATCGTGCCCTAAAGATTCGTGTGAAGAATTTAGGGTCTGAGCATGTTGACGTGGCAGCCTCTTACAGTGACTTGGGGAACGTATATGGTGCCATTGGTGAATTTCAGGAAGCAAAGGACTATCATAGTCGTGCGCTGAAGATTCGTTTGAAGAATTTAGTACCTGAGCATGTTGACGTGGCAGCTTCTTACAGTGAGTTGGGGACCGTATGTGTTGCTCTTGGTGAATTACAGCAAGCAAAGGACTTTCATAGTCGTGCGCTGGATATTCGTTTGAAGAAATTAGGACCTGAGAACGATCTCGTGGCACTTTCTCACAGTGAGTTGGGGATCGTATATAGTTCCCTTGAAGATCTTGTGCGAGCAAAGGATAACTTTGAGCGTGCGCGTAACATTCTCGAAAAGAGATCGGGACCTGAAAACATTTTCGTGGCAACGTGTTGCAAAAACCTGGCCACCATCTGTGATGTCACTGATACCCCTAAACAGGCAAAGGATTGGAATGAACGAGCGCAAACCATTCTTGTCAAAAATATTAGGTCTAAAAGAGCTGATGTCCCTGTGCACTTAGTCCCGCCTTATATTATGGCCAGAGGACCCATCGCAGAGGCCGCTTACCAGAGAGCTCTTGAAACAGGAAAGACATTCGATAAACGGGCTAAAATCTTGTTGATTGGCCAAGACCGCGTTGGCAAAACTAGTGTCGCACGTTCTTTGAAAGGTGAACTATTCCGACAAGATGAATCTAGCACAGTGGGGGTGCAAATAGACATGCCTCTGAAACATGTTGGTGAAAAACCATGGAAGAATTCCAAAGAGGAAGAAAAAAAAAGAACCTTCCATCACAAATGTGCTCTAAATATTAGTAAGCTGTTACTAACTGAACCACCAAACCACCAACCACCAAACCAAATTTACGTGGACAGCGAAGTTGCGAAGGAAAGAGAGACTTGTGAGACACAGAGAACAGAGGAGGTGATCAGCGAAATAGGATCAAACCAGGGTATGTACCTCAATACAAAATGTTGATTTGGTTTCTGTGCTGTTGAAAAACGTTCCACCAGCAAATCACGGAGGTTGCACGTTACATTACCTTTTACAAGTTGCTACCTAAGACTGGAAGGGGACGTGGTAGGACATAGTTTGTTATTGAAGTTCTAACATTAAACACCTCGCTGTGACTGATGATTTCCATACAAGTAATGACGATTTTTTAAATGGGTTTTACGTCGTCATTTAACCAGTTTTCTCGGCAGGTCCGCAACACATCTTTGTTGACAGCTTATCGAGTGATACCATCAACAGCTTGACATGAATTTCACTCATGTAGATATGCTTCTAGAGCATTGTATGGTTACATCATGTTATTTGTAAATCAGTATGCATGGCTAAGCTCACGACTTTATCGTAACAAGGAAAACAACAGAACTTTACGGAATTTCCTTGAGTGTTTCTATTACTTTACTCGACACGCAATATGAGAATCTTACGTCTTACGACAACTAAAGCAGAAAAGCGAAATATTACTGGGTGAAATGAAGTTAATCAAAACTAAATTTTTTTTTTCAGATTTCTTCAATGAGGTTGAACCGAAGAGCTTGCCAAAGGTTTTCAACACATTTTATTGTTTATTTATATTTAAAGGTGATATTAAAGTAATTTATTTATGGCCAACTTCCATTCCAAATTTGCAAATTGAATTGACTGGTATCTATTTTGGGTTCGATTCAGGACATAAAGCAAGATCATGACATAGAACCCAGGACTCAGGTGAAATCGGATGCAATTTCTCCAATAAGAGAAGAGGATAACGTGCATAATGAGAAGCGAAACAGTGACATGCCTGATGAAGTGGTGCGACTTACAGCTGAAAACCTCTCGAGGAAAGAGTCCGTGAAGGATGACGGCATTTGGCCAGTTTGCATGGATTTTGGTGGTCAAGCCATTTACCGTGCTATTCATCCTATTCTCGTTTCGCGTGAAGCAGTTTATCTGCTGGTGGTGGATCTTACCAAGGATCTTTCTGCCCTAGCCCAATGTTTCGTGAAAGAGCGTGGTTACGACGAAGTTAAAATTCTGTCTCCTGACAAGAATGACACAAACCTAGATCACATTATGAGGTGGATGGACATGGTGAATTCCTTCAAACACAAAGAGAATGGCGAAGTATTACCACCTGTCATTTTGGTTGGAACACATGCCGACCGTGTGCAAGGAGACCCCGGAATCATGATTACGAGTGTAAAGGACATCATTTGTGAGACAGTAAGAGAGTTCAGTGAACACATCATCGGAAAAACATTTGCAGTGAACAACACTCTTGCCGGTAAGGAACCAGAGGAAGAAGATCCCCAAGTTGTTGCCTTACGGAAAGAGATTCTGAAGGTTGCAGATACCATGCCACATACAAAAGTTGAGGTTCCTTTGAAGTGGCTTCAAGTGGAAAATGAAGTTCGTAATCTAGCAAGCGCGGGGACAAATTATGTCACAAGGCAAGACTTCCGAAAGAATATCTGTGACGAAATTTGCAAATTTGAGGTCGAAGATGACTATGAAGTACTTTTACACTTTTTGCACGATCGTGGCACAGTGGTTTATCATGGTAGAGCTGACGATCCACGAAGTCTGGTTGTTTTGAATCCAAAGTGGTTGATTGATGTTTTGTGTCAGATAATAACGGTTGAAAAACAGAAAGAAGAGAAAACTGTCATTTCAAATTTCCGCAAAGATCTTGGCAAGTACGGCATTCTTGATGCTAAACTGCTTGATCACTCTTGTGAACAACTGAGCATTGGCGACATCAAGGAGTCTTTACTTTTCCTCATGAAGAAGTTCAACCTTCTTTGTGAATATACGGAAAAAGATGGCAGTTCCGTGTATCTTGTTCCGTGCATGCTGACCTCCACACCTGGCGACGCTTTTATGCCGGACGTTTCTGCTAACCCAGGCCCTGCACCCGTTTATGTCACATTCACCACTCAGTACGTCCCAGGCGGTCTTTTTTCAAGAATGGTTGTCCTTTTCCTCGAATTTGTACAAAGACGAATTGCCTGTGATCAACCAAAGCTCTGGGCTAACTTTGCTCGTTTGTTTGTGGGAGATCACACTGCAGTCGATTTTGTTTGCTACAAGCGTGTGATCAAAGTACACGTTTGGAATTACACCGATCCAAGTATGAACCCTGTTGTGACCGAGCCTAACGTTTGCTCAGAGGTCTTAAGGTAGGTGCACGTAAGTGAGTCATTCTATAATTGGGTGGTAACTTTTACATGAATTATCAGTTCGTGAAATCGGAAGTGGTTTTTGATGTTGTTCATAACATCGTTAACCCTTCGATGGTGTAATGCGTGTTATAGTTACGATGTTGTTTTAAAGGAGGCTGAAGTTAACCTCATTTCTCTCAGGTAAACATTGTGTACATTACGTACTTTCCGGACATTAATGTATCCACGTGAAAATTTGTAAGAAAAGATATCAACCCCTTTGACAAAAGTCTCTCTCTCTCTTTCAGCTTTTTGAAGACTAGTTTGGAGAGGCTGCATGGGGAGTGTCATTGGCTGCAAACAGTGTCATGGGATCTCTGCGCTAGATGCAATTTGTGTCCACGCGAGTTTGTTCGTGGAACCGGAAAGTGTTATTGGCATGCGGAAGTAGAATGTTGCCACGATGATTGTGCGCATTATGTTTCCTTGACAAAGAAGCCTTTCGTTTGCTCGCGTACACTGAGGGGTCCAAAGTTTCGTCCGCCCGAGACTTGGAGTCAGGTAAAGCTAATCCAAGTTTCTTGCGATCAGGTTTTCATTGTATTTAACCTGGAAAGGGGATTGGAATTAGTTTTGGTCAGACCTCAATAAGCTCTGAGTGGCCTTAAGACTGGAAATGATAACAATGATAACATTCAAAACGTCGAAGAAATACGTTCCTTTTGTCTCCTATTTGACGTTCCAGTTGATCTCAGGACTCTCAGGACTTTACCCGAAAGCATTTTTGTCCCTATAGTTGCCGAATTTCCCCTTTGTATGATTATTTGGAGAATACTAACACTATGAATAATTTATTTGACTTCAGGTCTTGGACGATGCCAATGGTAAAAACCACAGTGGCCAGTCTTTACAAAGCTTTCCTCAGACTAAGGGTAACTAATTATAACTAATTTTACTTGAAACGTGCGCAAAGTTTGATTAAACTTTTTCTTGGTTGTCCTACGTTTGTCACAAAAACTCAACATTTTCTGACCAAGAAAAAAAATTTATGTTTTCATTGCCCCTGTCGTCATTAGGACAAGCCAACGAAGTAATTTGATACCTTATGGCCGACAATGTTAAATTGAACGCAACTAAACAAGCTCATTTTCCCGAAAAATAAAATAATATCTGGACTAAAAAATGAAATTATAGCCTTGAGTGTTTTTCAAAACTCGCTAACTCCGTGGGCCACATATGTTTGCCTTTACCAGGCTCTCAATCAGTGGGGAGGAGTGAAAGAGCTGGCGAGCGAAAAACAGGTTGCGTGACCCTCACTCTTTTTGGGTGCCTGCTTTTTTTTTCCTCGTTTCCGTTAACCGTGGGACTTGCTAAGTAATACTGAAGAATGAAACAGAAGTGATGGTTTCTTTGTATTCCTCAGGGGTCTCTTCTTTGGCGCAATGCAGTTCTGTTCATTTCGGAAAGCGAGTACTACCGTACCAGACTGCGCAATCAATGGTTCCTGCTAAGATTGCTCGCACAGGTAACAAATGTCACTTTTTAAGGTCGCGATCTTACTACAGGTTACACAATGTAATATTCAAATGTCGAGAACATCGTAATTGGTTCGGGCACTTCAGAGACTGAGTTCAAGCCGAAGATCTCCGAATCAGTGCCTTCCCTCGAGCACCCCTGCTATCAGGTCAAATTTATTTAAATGTCCAACCTCGAATGAACACCCCCCTAATATTTTAAGAAGCCCCTCCCTTCCTACCCCCCCCCCTTTTACTTAAAGAGTTATTTTGTCTCCATAGCTTTGATTTCTTTCCATTGTTTCCTCGTTTAACCAAGATTCAACGCGGTCAAGTTTGAATCCAATCATACACCTTTTATTTGCAGATTTTGATAGACCAGAGACAAACCAAGGAGGGGAGACGTTCATTCCCGAGGAAGTGTTTCTCGCAGGTATGTTAAATATACTTTAATCAAATTCTAGTTTTTTAATTCTTCTACTGCGCTCTCTTTAATTCCTTTCAATACTCCTAGGAAAAAAATTAAAAGAAGGCACTCTAAGTATTGATGATCACGACGGGCTGTCGTACTCCATCTCCAAGGACTGGAAGAAGCTTGGACGCCGGCTCGGTATTCTCAAGGAAGACCTTGAAAACATTGATGGGACGAGATCTGAATTTTTTGACAAGGCTGATCAAATGTTACAGTTGTGGGAGCAAAGAAACGCTTCGAATGCCACGTATCATGTTCTGTGTCAAGCATTGTGCCACAAGTTATTGAATCGAAGAGACTTAGCTGAGGAATTTTGCTTTCACTGAGAATACTATCCTTAGTATAGGAATAACTGATAATAAGGAAAGGAACTTCTTTTTCATTAACGGATGCTATTTTATAACTTAATGTATGCAATAAAGGGCTTTCATTGACTTTTCCATTGTAAGCTGAATTATACACGTGTTTTGATCGCTTTTTACTTTTAATCTATTGTAGGACTGACGCAAAGATGACGTCATCATTACAAACATAAGTTATTTTATTATTGTATGATGTAAATAGATTCCATGTTACCGTGGGTCTGTACAGTAAAAGATCAAAGAAGACGTTAATATGTGGTAAGAACATCAGTGACAAACTCAGCTACCATATAATGACGTCATCTGTCATCTGTGACTGAACCGACGTCATCATTATGTTATTATGGTATTTTATTATTGTATGATGTAAATAGATTCCATGTTACCGTGGGTCTGTACAGTAAAAGATCAAAGAAGACGTTAATATGTGGTAAGAACATCAGTGACAAACTCAGCTACCATATCATGACGTCATCTGTCATCTGTGACTGAACTGACGTCATCATTATGTTATTATGGTATTTTATTATTGTATGATGTAAATAGATTCCATGTTACCGTGGGTCTGTACAGTAAAAGATCAAAGAAAACGTTAATATGTGGTAAGAACATCAGTGACAAACTCAGCTACCATATTATGACGTCATCTGTCATCTGTGACTGAACTGACGTCATCATTATGTTATTATGGTATTTTATTATTGTATGATGTAAATAGATTCCATGTTACCGTGGGTCTGTACAGTAAAAGATCAAAGAAGACGTTAATATGTGGTAAGAACATCAGTGACAAACTCAGCTACCATATCATGACGTCATCTGTCATCTGTGACTGAACTGACGTCATCATTATGTTATTATGGTATTTTATTATTGTATGATGTATATATATTCCATGTTGCCGTGGGTCTGTACAGTAAAAGATCAAAGAAAACGTTAATATGTGGTTAGAACATCAGTGACAAACTCAGCTACCACATTATGACCTCATCTGTCATCTGTGACTGAACTGACGTCATCATTATGTTATTATGGTATTTTATTATTGTACGATGTAAATAGATTCCATGTTACCGTGGGTCTATACAGTAAAAGATCAAAGAAAACGTTAATATGTGGTAAGAACATCAGTGACAAATTCAACTACCACATTATGACGTCATCGGTCATCTGTGACTGAACCGACGTCATCATTATGTTATTATGGTATTTTATTATTGTATGATGTAAATAGATTCCATGTTACCGTGGGTCTGTACAGTAAAAGATCAAAGAAGACGTTAATATGTGGTAAGAACATCAGTGACAAACTCAGCTACCATATCATGACGTCATCTGTCATCTGTGACTGAACTGACGTCATCATTATGTTATTATGGTATTTTATTATTGTATGATGTAAATAGATTCCATGTTACCGTGGGTCTGTACAGTAAAAGATCAAAGAAGACGTTAATATGTGGTAAGAACATCAGTGACAAATTCAACTACCACATTATGACGTCATCTGTCATCTGTGACTGAACTGACGTCATCATTATGTTATTATGGTATTTTATTATTGTACGATGTTAATAGATTCCATGTTACCGTGGGTCTATACAGTAAAAGATCAAAGAAAACGTTAATATGTGGTAAGAACATCAGTGACAAATTCAACTACCACATTATGACGTCATCGGTCATCTGTGACTGAACCGACGTCATCATTATGTTATTATGGTATTTTATTATTGTATGATGTAAATAGATTCCATGTTACCGTGGGTCTGTACAGTAAAAGATCAAAGAAGACGTTAATATGTGGTAAGAACATCAGTGACAAACTCAGCTACCATATCATGACGTCATCTGTCATCTGTGACTGAACCGACGTCATCATTATGTTATTATGGTATTTTATTATTGTATGATGTAAATAGATTCCATGTTACCGTGGGTCTGTACAGTAAAAGATCAAAGAAGACGTTAATATGTGGTAAGAACATCAGTGACAAACTCAGCTACCATATCATGACGTCATCTGTCATCTGTGACTGAACTGACGTCATCATTATGTTATTATGGTATTTTATTATTGTATGATGTAAATAGATTCCATGTTACCGTGGGTCTGTACAGTAAAAGATCAAAGAAGACGTTAATATGTGGTAAGAACATCAGTGACAAACTCAGCTACCATATCATGACGTCATCTGTCATCTGTGACTGAACTGACGTCATCATTATGTTATTATGGTATTTTATTATTGTACGATGTAAATAGATTCCATGTTACCGTGGGTCTATACAGTAAAAGATCAAAGAAAACGTTAATATGTGGTAAGAACATCAGTGACAAACTCAGCTACCACATTATGACCTCATCTGTCATCTGTGACTGAACTGACGTCATCATTATGTTATTATGGTATTTTATTATTGTACGATGTAAATAGATTCCATGTTACCGTGGGTCTATACAGTAAAAGATCAAAGAAAACGTTAATATGTGGTAAGAACATCAGTGACAAATTCAACTACCACATTATGACGTCATCGGTCATCTGTGACTGAACCGACGTCATCATTATGTTATTATGGTATTTTATTATTGTATGATGTAAATAGATTCCATGTTACCGTGGGTCTGTACAGTAAAAGATCAAAGAAGACGTTAATATGTGGTAAGAACATCAGTGACAAACTCAGCTACCATATCATGACGTCATCTGTCATCTGTGACTGAACCGACGTCATCATTATGTTATTATGGTATTTTATTATTGTATGATGTAAATAGATTCCATGTTACCGTGGGTCTGTACAGTAAAAGATCAAAGAAGACGTTAATATGTGGTAAGAACATCAGTGACAAACTCAGCTACCATATCATGACGTCATCTGTCATCTGTGACTGAACTGACGTCATCATTATGTTATTATGGTATTTTATTATTGTATGATGTAAATAGATTCCATGTTACCGTGGGTCTGTACAGTAAAAGATCAAAGAAGACGTTAATATGTGGTAAGAACATCAGTGACAAACTCAGCTACCATATCATGACGTCATCTGTCATCTGTGACTGAACTGACGTCATCATTATGTTATTATGGTATTTTATTATTGTATGATGTATATATATTCCATGTTGCCGTGGGTCTGTACAGTAAAAGATCAAAGAAAACGTTAATATGTGGTAAGAACATCAGTGACAAACTCAGCTACCATATCATGACGTCATCTGTCATCTGTGACTGAACTGACGTCATCATTATGTTATTATGGTATTTTATTATTGTATGATGTAAATAGATTCCATGTTACCGTGGGTCTGTACAGTAAAAGATCAAAGAAGACGTTAATATGTGGTAAGAACATCAGTGACAAATTCAACTACCACATTATGACGTCATCTGTCATCTGTGACTGAACTGACGTCATCATTATGTTATTATGGTATTTTATTATTGTATGATGTATATATATTCCATGTTGCCGTGGGTCTGTACAGTAAAAGATCAAAGAAAACGTTAATATGTGGTTAGAACATCAGTGACAAACTCAGCTACCACATTATGACCTCATCTGTCATCTGTGACTGAACTGACGTCATCATTATGTTATTATGGTATTTTATTATTGTACGATGTAAATAGATTCCATGTTACCGTGGGTCTGTACAGTAAAAGATCAAAGAAAACGTTAATATGTGGTAAGAACATCAGTGACAAACTCAGCTACCACATTATGACGTCATCTGTCATCTGTGACTGAACTGACGTCATCATTATGTTATTATGGTATTTTATTATTGTATGATGTAAATAGATTCCATGTTATCGTGGGTCTGTACAGTAAAAGATCAAAGAAGACGTTAATATGTGGTTAGAACATCAGTGACAAACTCAGCTACCACATTATGACGTCATCTGTTATCTGTAAGCCAAACAGACGCACAGCGAGTGACTATAATTAGAATTATACGGATGTTTTCCCATTTATTTGTAGCCCCAAAATTTTCCGTACTATTTTCCCAATTTAATTTTGGAGCTTGGAATGTAATAATGTAAGGCATTAACATTTAAAAATAGATTCTAGTATTAGAATAGTCTATTATAAAAACCCGTGAAAAACTTCACTGACAAATTTAAATAGAGTAAAAAATCTATTGTGCAATTTCTTTAAAAACGTTAAAAAGGGTTTCGAACCATATGGAGATATCATAAATTTTCTTTGTATTAAAATGATTTAGTTGGCGATAATTATTAGTGCAACGCAAATACATGTAATGTTGAAAGGTATTAGGTGTAATGCGCGTTAATTAGTGTTGAAGCGCATGGAAAACTCTACACTGTTTTCAATAAAATTTATTTAAATTTACGACAGTAAATGGTGTGATTATAAGTAGCTTTTATGGGAAATTTATGGGAGAGCCACTATCTAACAGCATAGGGAAATGGATAGCACGTAAGGTAGCAACAACGACCGAACAAAATGTTTAATAGGAAAAAAAAGATAAATGAAAAGGTCGGACAGTATTACACAGTCGCATAATTTTTTCACACTTTTCATTGCCTTTGTCATATTTCTGTGTGAACTCAGCTTTTTATGCTACTTCCACAAAAGTATGCTATATCCACTCAATTGTGGGCGCCCCTTTCCTTTCAGCCTTTAGTTTCGCTTAGTGACCCGGACATGACAGAGTGCTTGGTTGATAACAGTACCGCTGGTTAGTTGATGGTGTATCGACGTCACCCTTAGCAACGACAAGAAACAAAAATGGCGGACGAACAAGGAGTCTTCTATCTTGAACGTATCCTTTTTGTGTGCCTTTGTACTCTCCTCAACTATTTCCCCCTCTAGAATTACGATGAAGACTCGAAAATGTAGTAAAGTGAAGTGTATTTGCAATTGGCGAGAAGCAATACGCCAATAATGTCAATTTTAATTGTCGTAAACTTTCAACGTCTAGGTGATGATGTGTGTTGAGCTCAAACACTAGTGAACTGTTATCAGGCTGAGTTCATACTGCACTGAAGCAACTTTTGAGTGACTTGCCTTAAAACGGTCCTTGCTACTGTCAAAGCAGTCAAGTAAATTTGCTCAGCTTTCATTTGTAGTTTGGACAGGGTATTACAGTAGGAAAACACTGAAACTATCGGTAGTTCTTGTGGTTGTAATCTTAAACGTTTAATTTTACCTAGTAACTTGTATTGAATTTGGAAACAATGAGACAATTCTTGCAATATTTTTATCTTTAACGTTTTAATCAGAGGTGACAGTAGCGGAAGACAGTGATGACGAGTTTGCTTATGAAGAGGTAACGCTTGTGGTTTAAAGTTTTTGCCGTGGTTGATGTGGTTGATGTGGTTGATATATTCTTTAACAGTAGCTCTGAGTACTGATCTCAACTGTGCTTATTATTGACAAATTGAACCTCAGAGGTCAACTGAAATTAGAGTCATTGGTGAGAAAGAAGTCTGAAATTTGGAACTTTGATGGGATGCAAACATGTGCCTTGTTGACTGCCTTGAACGAATAAGCTATCAAGCCACTTGTTGGAAGCAAGTCAAATTAGAAGTTGGATTCCTTTGCTGGGAGCAAAGAACCCATTTGGACTTGCTTTGCTGCTAACTTGTGGCTCCTGGCACCGCTGATGGTATAACAGGGTAATTTAGTATTATCAATTGAGATAAGAACACAAATAGGCCACCATAAAGAGTTTCAAAGCTGTTGCTTCAAGTGCTAGCCCTTTGTCAGAATGAAATAACGTCAACCTTGAAACTCTTTATGGTGGCCAATTTACATTATCAACACAGATGATAATACTTAATTACCTTTTTATACTCTCCCACTAAGCAGTACCACAGTTTCTTTAGAAAACCACCCCCTTTTTCCATTGATAATACCCCAACTAGTCTCTTGGAAACATATGTATGGGTTTAAATCCCATTGAGGCCATAATTTTTTAAAACTTCTTTTTCTACAGTGACCTAAATATTTTGCTGTTATCCTGTGAAGATCAATTTTTCACCTGTTACCTTGAATGAAGCAAAAAGATTTTTTTCCTCTCTCCTTGCATTTCATATTTTGTTGTAGCATTTTATATTTTGTTGTTGCATTTTTTTTAAAACGAATTGTCTCATTTTGTATTGCTCTAGGTTCCTTTGGAAGATGAGTATTCTGTAATAGGTAAGCATGAAAAGTTTACTTCTTTATTTGTTCTCAGTGATCACCTGCTTCAAGTGCTTACTGGAGGTCATTTTTTGAAAATAAAAACTTGAAAAGTCTAATTAATATCTGTTAGGGTGTACATCCCACAGGGGACCTGGGAGAATTCTCAGTCTACCACATGGAATTTTCTCGCAAGATTTCAAAACCCCATTAAGCTATATTTTTGTCACAGACATAAAGCCACACATGTTCAAGTAGCTGTATGGGGCTCTTTCATAATGGAAGACATTATTGATTTATATGGATGCAGTAAAGCTTTAAGTTCTTGATCTTGTTTTTTTAAGGGGAGATTTGAGGCCAGAAAAACACATTTACTTGAATATAATAGATTAGAAATTGGGCTTGTCAATAATGTAAGAGATCTGTGTAGCCTATTGCATTGTTACAGGTGTACGTATCCTATAGTAATCTCCTTCCACTGTATTTGTTTATGAGTATACAGTATTGGTATTGAATTTTCCTGTTCTGGTGACTTTGCTTCTCTGAACAGATGGAGATGAGGATTTGGAAACAGCTTTTACAACAGTGCAAGAAAAGACTAGTGATGAATTGTTAGCGGTATGTTGTAAGTTACTTGTAAATTGTGAATTGTTATATGGGATTGCCCAGTATTGGTGCATGTGAAAAAAAATATCTTATGAGATAATTTTTAAGACAGTGCACAAAAGATAGAATAACCATGAGATAAAGGGAAAATATGTTTTCTTGTATCCTGTAAAGATATATATTCAGCAAATGTGCAGGCATGAAAGTACATGTACACATGCTAAAGTTTTGTAACTGAATGAAAAGCAACATAACTCTTGTATATGATTTAATCAACAGCAAAAGACTGAGCCAGTGAAAGCCACAGTTACAACAGTAAGTAGCATTAATTTATGTTAACTAATTACTAGAACTTTCCTGTTTTAGAGAAGGCAAATACTGGTTTCATTGTACAATTAATTCTTATTTTTTTGGCTTATTACCAGAGACCAGAGATTGTGGAAGATTTTGTGAGGAATTTTCTTGTTAAAATGGGAATGACAAGAACACTAGATTGTTTTCAGACTGAGTGGTAAGCTGAATTTTTATACAAGGACAGATTAATCAGTAATCTTAGTTTAGAATTGGTTTTTGATTATTGCTTCCTTTTTAAAATGTGCTAGGGAATTTAAATCTTCAGTTATGACACTGAGTGGTAAGCTGAATATTTATACAAGGACAGATTCATCAGTAAATTCTTAGTTTAGAATTGGTTTTTAATTTTTGACTTTTTTTCAATTATGCTTGCGAATGTAAATCTTGGGTTGTGTCATTGAGTGGTGAGCTGAATATCTGTACAAGGACAGATTTGTCAGCAATCTTAGTTAAGAACTGGTTTTTGATTATTGCTTTTTTTTAAAAATATGCTTGGGTATGTAAATCTTTGGTTGTGACACTGAGTGATAAGCTGAATATTTGTACAAGGACAGATTTGTCAGTTTAAATCTTAGTTAAGAATGGGTTTTTGATCGTTGCTTTCTTGTGAAATATGCTTGGGTATGTAAATCTTGGGTTGTGACACTGAGTGGTGAGCTGAATATTTGTACAAGGACAGATTTGTCAGTAATCTTAGTTTAAAATTGGTTTTTGACTATTACCTCTTTTCAAAAATATGTTTGGTTATTTAAATCTTTGGTTGTGACACTTTTAGGTATGAGTTGTTGCAAAAAGGATTACTTAATGAAGAGGATGTGAGAGTTGTACCAGACATTTATGTGAAGTAAGTTTGTGTAAATGCTTTGATTACAAGGAGTGACTAACATCTTACTTCTCCTTACCACATCAACCCTGAATCAATCAATAAGGTTACATGAATAAAGGAAATGATCATTAACTACAGAAGCTTTTGATTGTCAAACAAATTCTCCCTGTCAGCACCTCTGCAGATGTATTGAGAATGGTATGGAGAATTTGCATGTTGATGTTAGTGGGTAAAGGTTTCGTGTTAATGTCCTCTGATTAGTCCACCCTTTAATATCATATGTTCTAATTTTACCGTTTGTTTGCAGCATGCAAAATTAATAAATCAATCAATTTAGGATTAATTCATGCATCAGAGCTCTTTCATCAAGACTCAGTTTTAATGCATATGGCTGTACAGTACTTCTCCTTTGAATCTTTAACAAATGAGATGCATGTACTGTGCAATACAGTGAAGTTGTTACAAATGACATATACACAATAATAACATAACCAAAAAATTTGCGGTATTTATTTTTGTAGAAACCAGCAGTTGGATGACATGGTGGCTACTCTCCGTCAAGAAGTAAATAAATTCAAGGAAGCTGCTGAGTAAGTAAACTCCCCCCCAGCTTCCTAAATAAATGTTGTTCAACAGGGCACTCTCTTTGTTGAAAATTATCAGACAGGTTTGTGTAAGAAAATTTTACCTACTTATTTCCTAACCCCTCTTTTTACTTGGCAGAAAGGCAAAGCAGACATTTGTCAGGTTGAAAAAAGAAAGAGATTTTCATCGCATGCACCACAAGAGAGTTGTTCAAGAGAAGAACAGGCTTATTACTGACATTAAAAGGTACCTAATTACATGTACTTGTTTAAACCAACATAAAAGCAGCCTGTATGTATATTGCTGAACATTGCAGTCAGATGTGAGACACATGCAGGTGGGTTGCTATTTGTCAGCTCTGCACTAATTCCCCAAGAAAAATATTAAAGGAATAAAAACATTCAAAGCAACTTTTGTTACTTTCAATTTACCAAAACAATGACATCTTGGTAGAAAACTTTGAAAGTAAACAAAATAATGGAAAGAAAAACAGAATATTCTTTAACTTAAAGTTAACCAATTGCAGGTATTCTGTTGATTGATTTCTTTGATTTGAGCTATGCTTTTGTGGTTATTTTATACTAGATGTGAGACAATTAGATCCAACCACTTAAAAGCACAATGCTAAGCTGTGATTTTGGCTGCCTCGTAAATGTTGTAACAACTGCACTTAGGCATAAGTCTGACAGCTTTGTTGCACTGCTAACATGAGGTATGAAAATATCTCAAGCCAGTCACTTCTGATTTTTCTGATAAGTTTGCAATTTACAGTACTGTAACAATGCTGTTCAGTACTGTAACAATGCTGTTCAGTACTGTAACAATGCTGTTTTGTGTCTTAGACTGAAGAAGCACTATTCCTCCTATGAGCCCACCCTTCAGACTCTGAAGCACAAATATGAGGTACTGTAATTGTTCTATTAATGATAATTAATTATTATATTTAAGCTTTTATCAATATTTGAATTCAATTTTGAAAAGACTTTACAAGTTGATTCCTCATTTAGAATTGAACAGCTTTCAAATACAGTGATTTCCTTTTCCTTTTTAAAAAAATGTATCTGTTTATTTTTAATTTCCTGCAGGTGGCCATGAAGGAGAAAATGTTGACCAAACTTGAAAGAGACAGAGCAGTTGGACAGGTCAGTTGTGACATTGTTTTTTTTGTCTCATATAGCAGTGTCAAGTTATTTTGACCTTTTTTAATATCCTCATGTGCATTGTCAACAGTTTATAAAACTCTTTTGTAAAGTGATTTTCCCAATCCTCTTTTTTTTCTTTTAGATGACTGGGCTTCAGACAACTCTTCATCAAGTTGGAGGGAACCAATCAGAGCTCACTCAAGGTTTGTGACATTAAAAATGAAAGCATAATTTACTAATCTGTCACGAAGGGGTTCTTGTCTCAAGAAACTGTACTTGCACCTTGTGCAAAACAGAACAAGAACAAAACAAGCTGGAAAAACAAGACTTAAAACAAGAACAAAAAAAAAAAAAACAGCTCTTGACAAGGAACTGCACACTGGATGTACAAGGATAGTACCATTGTACGAGAACTCACCCGTCACCGTTGTGGCCTGGGTTCGATTTTCAGACCTACACAACGTAAACGTAACTTGAAGATTGTGTTAAACTTTGTTATCAGTTCACCTCCTTGCTACAGGTTTCTTTTTTTTTTTTCCTCAGTTCTTTGGTTTTGTACACTGGCTATTTAAACAAACCCTCCAACTTCAAATTTGAGTGGGAAACACTGGACAACGAGCCACCCCATGGAAGTGCTAATGCTGAAATCTAAATTATTTTTTATTTTAATCTTGTTTTGTTCAACTGAAGGTGGAGAGGTTCAGAAAAAAGTGTCACAGTATCGCCCTTCAGCTGGACGCAGAGATGAAGCTGATCCTCATCTGATGGTGCAGAGTAAACATCCAAAGGTATATTTTCACTAAAACAGGACCTTTTTTCGGAGTTGGACACAATTAGATAATGATAAATACTTTATTAAAGGCTCAACAACATTAAAATTAGCAGACCATAAAAAATCAAGACGATGGGACTGTACATGTATAGTATGTCAACATAAACAAGAGAGCTGTTTCAGAGTCTCGTTGACTGCTAGTGAGATAATGCAGACCTGTATGGTCTTGGGTCTTATGACTCCCTGATCCTGTAATTAGTAAATCCCTATGGATTCTGCTTATATACTCACGACTGTTTGTGTGGATGTGTTGAGTTGGATCAGACGGTAATAATTATCTTTAAGAGAATATTCTCTTGTTCTTTAGCAGTTGACTAAATAAATTTTCTTCCTAATGTTCGCGTCACCTTACAGAGCTACTGTATGTGCCCTTACAATGAAAATTGACGGAAATATTTCATACTGCAAGGTACAAAATGTAATTCTTGTTTAATTTCAGGATTCAGAATTCCCTGCTGACAGTCGAGTCAATCCTCAGCTTGCACATCACAGGGGCCCGTCTGCGCATTTGACTCGTTCAGGTGGCTTTAGATTGACGCATACCATCAGTGCTCATAACCTACCAGTCAGCGGGTAAGAACTGTCTCATGGCAATATGTAATCCACTGCCGAAAGAGTTCCGGGGTGGAATAGTTTTTCTTTACTCTGCTCTGTGGTTGGTCAAGAAAAGTCTTACGCCATGTCTTAACCAATCAGATGCAAAATTATGAGGTCGTGGGAGACTAGCACTACCACGACGAAGGGAACCACCTTTTGTCAAACACGCCTATCGCGTGCTCATCTCGTTAACTTGGTTTTATAGTACAGGGACGTGTGATTTTGTCACTCAAGGCTGCTCCTCTTAATGCTTCTTCAATAATCCTCAACCGAAAAGCAGCCTCTGGTATCGTTTCTCGTTTGCAGTATTAGAATTCTTATGTTTAAATTTCTGGTTTCAAGCCTTGACACATCTCTTGGTTCCTTTTACAGACTTGCTCTGCATCCTAGAAAACAAGTGTTGGCCACAGTCAGTGATGACTGGAGCTGGAAGATGTGGGGTGTGCCAAGGTGAACTGCCTTTTCGGGCATCATCAATTTTGTAATTTTTTTGTCGTCGAAAATGGAATTCTGTGAGCAGTGCTCCTTAAAAGTACAGAGTCGATGGTACTGTGATGAAAATAAACGAATACTCAATCGGGTTGCAAACGCGTCGACCCGAAGAAAACCAATACACTTTTATGTCAACGCATTAGCCACCGCGTTTGCGAACAACTGTTTGCGTATGCGGACAACTTCGATTCATAGGCGCATGAAGCTTGTATAAAGTGATGTTTATTTACGTGCACTGTAAGAAGAAATTATCTTTAAACTCTTCGAATAACAGTTACCCTGTTTCAGAGGGTTTTTCGTTCTCTCTAAAGAGATCTGATTCCTTCACGGTTTTGGAGAATCCTTTAGAATTTTCATCGCTCTCAAAATATGTCTTCGTAGTACAGTCGGTGGTAGCGCCAATTAGTATGTGGTTGTAGGACCCGGAATTTTCTTGGGCTTTTTTTTGTGCAATTCCATGAACCACAGCTCACTTGGAAGGGTCGTTTGTTCTCTTAAATGTTATCCACCGTTAAAAAATGTTATTTGTTTTATTCAATTTTGAAATTTTGTTTCAGTGGTGACATCATTATGACAGGTGAAGGACACAAGGATTGGCTCTCCGACTGTGACTTTCACCCCGGGTATGACCTGAAAATTCAGTTATTTATCTTTTTATTTCTTATTTCCACGTTTTACATTTATTTTGAGTTGGAATTTCGTTGTTAACCAAGTAAATGGAGTGTGATAGAAGCTGCCTGAAGAAAAAAAGCAATGTTAAATGATGATACTACTTTGACAGGCGATATAGAAAATGATAGGTACTGGACGTGCCTCTACTTTGAAGCATAGAAAATTTGTTGAGTGTTTCGTGGGAGAACAAGTGGCCTAATGGTCGGTGCGCTGAACTCTGGGTTGAGGGGTCTGGGTTCGAAACTTGGCCGGTCAATGTAAACACTTTACTTTCACAGTAAAAACTTCTTAGCTCGCGCTCACGTAAATGCACTTGCGCTGCGCATGCACTGCTGGCCGTATAACCAGTCCCCTTTTCATGAGCCGTGTTGTCTTTGCAGGGGCGCTCGTCTGGCCACTTCATCCGGTGATGGGACAGTTAAGATCTGGGATTTTTCCAAAGCGGAATGTGTGCTGACCTTCACTGACCACACCCATGCGGTGTGGGGCTGTTCCTGGCACTCGTGTGGTGATTTTCTGGCTTCGTGTTCCATGGATAACACCTCTAAAGTCTGGGATGTCAACAGGTAATTTCTGATTCCTCTGACTTACGCTGCGACATAGTAATTATCGTACAGTTTCAGCATTCAATATGGAAATAGATTTTGTGGCAAGACTAATGATAATAGCTGCAAAACGAAGGGTTTACGCAAAAAACTATCTTGGCTGATTGGAAGTACTTCACGCAAACTTCAAAATGGGGGCTCGAGAAGCAACTCGCAAAGCTTGATTAAACTAAGGCTTACAATCAAGAAATAGACATACCCTAACCCTTTAACTCCCAAGATCTCATTAGTAATTCTCCTTACTGTCTGCCAAACGATTCTCATTATATTAGTTAGAAGAATTTGGTGTCGAATCAGTTAGTAATCCCACAATTGAAATTTCTCTCTATTCTCATCACTTGTCTGTATGATATTGTATAGATATAGTTAGGAGAAATTCTGTTTTGGTCACACATGGGAGTTAAAGGGTTTAAGTGATTTTTGAGAAAAGTTTTGCTTGACAGAAAGTCAAATTTTTTTTTCCCTTGTCACAGTGAGCGCTGCCGACACACTTTGCGCGGTCACGCTGACTCTGTAAATAGTATAGTGTTCCTTCCATACTCTAACACGTTGCTGACCTGCTCTGCTGATAAAACGCTCTCTTTGTGGGACGCCAGAACGGTAAGGAAAACTCTTTGTTTATATTTATTTATGAACAAGTAACACGCAAAGGCAACTTAAAGATCAGGCTTACATGCAAGTTCGTTCCTCCGGTAGGCGAGCGGAGTTACCCAACTCGACACGGTAGAATTTGTAAGAAGTTCGCGATGTATTCGTGAAGCAATGATGGTGAGAGCTATAATTTGCACCGTTGTTTGCGATCTTTCGCTTTCAAAACTCCCGCACGCCTCCCAACCAGTTATTGTCGGAGCGTGAAGAATTTCTGCCATTGCTTAAAGAACTTAGCAGTTCGGCCAAACGATATCTCTCTGTTCTCTTAACTGACCGGTTTAATTTTAAGGGACATGAAGTTCTTGCTAGCTAACTGAATTCTTGCAATGTACTTCATTTAAATGATTATTCAGTTGACGTTGCCCTGCACCTTAAACTTTTCACGGAAAGTTCATGACGTGGCTTGCTTTCCTTAGGGACTCTGCGCTCAGACGTTTTACGGACACATGCATTCCTGCAATCACGTGGTGTTTAATCTGAAGGTAAGCGGATACAGATTGATTGTATTTCTATGCCTTGTACGATTGATATTTTCATCAGACAATTAGGGTTATCAGAGACATTTTACTGAACTCTATCAAATCTTAAAGTTCTTTAACCCAAAGGACTAAAACCACAACCATACTAAACCACAAGCCTTCCCCTATCCCATGCGTACATTCCTCGATTTCTTTTTCAAGACTGTAGGTGATAGCTTTCAGCAACGTTTTATTTTGCAAATTTAAGATAGTCCACAGAAAGGTATAGCCGCAAAACTCCAACGCCACACGGCACGATCTGTTGTTCTAAGCGGACAACTATAAGAGGGTAATTGTTCTTGTTTTACGCTATTACAAAACCGAAGTGGGTAACATCTGATAAAATTACGGAAATATTTCTGGACCTGGTTGTTCAAAGGGTAGATAAAATTATCCACTCGATAAATCACCACCCAGTGGATAACGCAGAGGTTTTTGTTAACAAATACGCGAGGTAGTGATTTATCCGTCGGATAAAGTTTTCCGCCATTCGAACGAGTAGACCCTTAAGGAAAAAAATTACATTGTTGTTGCCTGGTTCCCGATAGGTTTGTTGATGGATTCTTCGTGGAAAAAGAGAAAAGAAATACAAACAGACCAAAAACTTACACACATACAAACAAATATTCAAATTATATATTCTCCCAGGATTAGGTTGTATAATAATTAAACCCCATTTTTGAACGCTTCTCAGGGTGATACCGTTGCCTCGTGTGATGCATATGGTGTTGTCAAAATGTGGGACGTGCGAACTGTGGCCTGCATGAAAACTGTAGATCTCGGGCCCCACCCGGCCAACCGCCTAGACTTTGACCCCAGTGGCACAGTCCTTGGAGTCGCAAGTAATGATGGGACGGTCAAGATGATTGAAGTGGCAACAGGCCAGGCTCCTGAGCTCACTGCGCATGAGGATGCAGTACAAAGTGTATTGTTTGATCGTGTAGGAGAGTTCTTGGTTAGCGGTGGATCAGACGGAACTGTACGAATATGGTCGTAAAATGAACATCGAAAATCAACTTGTAACTACTGTATATAACTTTCGATAGTCGCTGATAATAACTGAGATATCTGCACTTAAGAGGACTGTTTCCTTTGTAAGCGGCTAACAGTAAATTGTTGTCATGTTTACAGCACGTTGAAATAAAAACCGTGCCCAGTTTAGTGAACTTGATTTCAAAGGTGATGTGATTAAAAACACGGCAGGCTATCAAAGGCGATATATCTTTATATTGTTGTTGTGTTGCACGGAGTTTTTTAAAATAAATATATTGGTTTATTGCGTACGAGTCCTGTTGACAAGGTTTGTAATCATAACCTATAATTTACATCAGAAAAGCTGAGAGATCATTTGTAAAAAGTCTGATTACTTGTATACTTATCTACCTTAGACTGCATGCTGTTACATGTAAACGCCTGCAGTTTTTGTCTGATATAAGGGACAGATAATATTTTTTGCACCTCTGTAATATTGAGGATAGGTTTCAGTAAGTCAGAGAACAATTCTAGGCGGTGCCGGTATCCCACCGGAGAACCGTTGGGATCTTGTCTGGTTCTTCTCGAGGCCGTGCTGTGGTCTTGGCGGAATCCCACGGGGTCTTTCCGAGATCCTGGTGGGAACTTGCTGTTAACCTGCTAGGATTTTTCCAGAATCCCACTGGGATGTAGATGGGATCTCGACAGGTTGGCGTCGTTAAACTAAAAGTTCTATCGGTATTTAAAAAAATCCAACATATTTTCCTTGAGAATTTCCGTCCAAGTCTAGGTTCTGTCTCATTAGATCTGCCAATACGCTAGTTTTAGCTTACGGAAATCCCATTTCCAGTAGGAAAATTGGCAATTCCAGCTTCGATATCTAACCTTTTCATGCCCTTCTTTATCGAATGTCACGTGATGGACTGCGGGTTCTGTCATTGATAGGATGATTCTTCGTCATAACTGGAGATACTCCATCTGCTGTTGTTTACTACCCATTGTACTTTGCAGGAATTCAAGTATTTGCATCCATCGCAGCAGTAGAACATCAAAAGTGCGACTAAAAGTGAGTCAAGATAAAAAATTTTAACAAATGAGTGGAGATAGACAAGAAGATTGTACATAATGATTATGCGCTGTTTTCTATGATAAGCCGAATAATACGCGTATTTTGATTGGTTCCTACTTATGATCTATCGAAGGACAGAGGTACAGATGACATAATTCTTTACACCCTGACATATTTATGCATGTTCTCCATAATGTTTTCTATATATTCCCTAAGGTTCTGCCATTTTGTTGAGAATTTGTTTAACAATCAAAAGCTTCTCTATTTGGTAACCTTTTCCTTTAGTTTCGTGATCTTAATATTTGATTCAGGGTTGATACTGTGAGGAGAAATTAGATGCTGGTCACTCCTAAGGGTCAAAGGGCTATGAAAGTATTTGCATACTTGCAAAGCATAACAAGATGAGAGAGATACAGGTCAGACTAAAGCACTTGTTCGTTACCGCCACCATCACAATCATCGAAAACACGGCTCCATGTAAGATGTTGACAATCAGCATGATAAAGAAATCCACTGATGACATGAACTGGCATGGATTGGACCACTGCAAAGAGACACCCACAGAATGGTTAAATAGAGAGTCTATTCTCGAGCTAAGTGGCTTAGATCTCGAGCTTATCTCGGTTTCTATAATTCTGCATTCGACCCAAGCGGCCTATCATCCAACTGGAGCCGGGACTGATCTCAATTTCTGTAGCATAAAAAAACTGGGAAAGTTGCTACTCTCCCTTGATGGGACACCATTCCATCGAAGACCCCCCCGCCCCCTCCTCCTTCTCTCCCACTCAGCTAATCGTTAGATGTCTCTTACAACCGGCCCCTACCCATTTGTACTCCTGGGTGGAGAAAAGCGCTGTAAGAGTGACGTATCTTTCCCAAGAACACAACACAAAAGAAGGAAGGGGACCATGTTCTTCACCAGCGTCTTTTAGTATTTATGAACAAGTAAGCTTTTAAATAAACTTGCGGAGAGGCTTACTTATATGTCAGGCTGGATCGTTCGTGTCTGAATAGACTGAGGGAAAAAAGTTAAATTTCCCACCTCCTTTAGGGGTTTAAAGCCATTTTTCTTGATTTTCATTTTGTAGTGACACAGTTCACATTCCTGACGGAAGGAAAATTGAAACCAACGTAGGACACAACTCCTATGGGCGAACCGCGCAGATCCATCACATCGGCAAACTCGTACAAGTTCTTCTTTTTCTTTGGTATCGTGACAAATTCGGCAGATATCTTCATCCTTCGGTGGATAAATTCATAAGTTAAAAGGTCAACACCTTATTTATTTCCATATTTGGTTTATTAACTTGGCAAGTACTTGAAGGCATTTTCTACGAGTTTAACAGAGTCATACCTAACCTTTGTAGCCAACGGTATGTTGGCTGAATAGATGGAGGAATGAATAAATGAACGAATATGTGAGTGGGTGAGTAAGTAACTGGGTGAGTTTTTAAATGAATGAATGAATGAGTGAATAAGTGAGAGAGCGAGTGACCGTGAGTGAGTGATTGGCCAATGCCTGTATGAATAAATGAATGAATGAATGAGATAAATGAATGAGTGTCGGTATGTAGAAACGACTGAATGAAGAGGCAAGAATGTGGGTGAAGAAATCAATGAATAATCAAATGAATTAATAAATGCTTCGTTAGAATTTAATTTTTTAAAACTTTTACTCACACGAGTCCATAGCAATTGAATCAGAAAGCAGAGTGTCAAAAGGCGCAGATTAATTCTAAGAAAACAACAACAACAACAACAACAAAAAACAAACCATTATCTGGAGTTCCTGTCCGGGCTGCGTGGTACACACTTCTGAGTTTTCTCTCGAAAAGAGCTCCACAACAAAGGCTGGGTTTCCATGACAATTTATAACGGATCCAACTGCGTTCGCACCTCGTAGACCACTGATGGCATCTTGCGGAGGGTGTAGGCGTGGGTCGATCTCAGGAAGCGGATAAACCTGTGTTAGGTAAAAAAATACTAATGTAACCAAATTATCAGCGGAAGTAACCAAGAAATTCAATTGACGTTTATAACAACTGTAAGAAGAATAAGTAACACTTTACAAAGAATCAGATTTGCTGATTCCGGCTGCAAGGAAAATGGAACTGGAAGGACTGAGTTACGTGGGGTAAATTAACAGGGTTTTTTTTTAATAAAATCGCAAAACAACGTTTGAGGTTACGGAAGCGTAAGAAAAACCTGCTGTAGTATGACTCAGAAAAACATGGAAATTGAAAGAATAAGTAAAAAGGAGTAGGAATGAGAAAGGATGGAGAAAATTTTCTCGAATGGCAAACGAAAAATCTGAAAGTGATCAAACCAAATTCTCCCTCGTATGCTTGAACCTTGTTCGTCCCGCTGTTGATCTGAGTTTAAACAGGAAATTTCCGGCAACGGCATAGTCAACTCTCTATTCACTTCCTATCTTTATAGTCCTCGGGTCAACATAGTATAATTTGTCTCTATCAACTGAGTTGATAATGTAAATTTGGTATCATAAAGAGGTTCTAGAGCTGACGTCTCGAGCGTTAGCCCTTTTTTTGAAAATTTCAAAAGTCTCTTGTCAACGGTCACCGCAAATATTCTGAATTTAATGTAAAAATGGCCGACAGCAGACGACAAGAAAATAAATTTCTTCCGTTTGCCTTATTTGTAAATCTTAATCTCTTTAATTTAATTACTTTGTTTTGGGACTGCAAGCTTAAATTTAATAATTTAACTATAACTGATATTTTACACGAGTTAGATGTAAGCTGGCTCTCTCTTATTTTTATTTTACACAAGTGGAAAATTTTTCTGTTTGTTTTTATCAAAAAACCATAAAACAATCTTAAGCTCTGCAACAAATGGTGCTGAACCATGACACGTAATCATAACATATTTGTGGACCATGATTTTTTGGTCAGATATAACATTACCTGTAAGCCAATCAAGATTGAGGAGTTTGCTTATGGTCGCTTTATGTATCAAGTTATTTCCAAATAGCCCGATTTATAATCGGTGACGAATCCAGTTTAAACCATCTGGCAGCTATATTTACCGCAAATTACCGTTTATTTGAAATTTATTTCTATACATAGCCAGCGGCCTAAAAGGGCGACTGCTCTCTTAAAACTCACCCGAAATGTTCATAACCCACATCTCATTTTTTTTTCAGTTACCATGGCGTAAAGATCCAGACGATACGGCTAACTTGAATTTGTGCTACGATTTCTTTTTAGAGGAAAGAGAAGTATCGAAGGAGAGATCAGATTATTAAAAATCTTACTCTAATTATCACACAATATTTTGTTTATGTTCCATTTGCGAGGTCCTCAAGAGGAAGGACTGATTTAAAGTGGTTTTACATCGAGAGAACAGACATTTCTTCAACATACTAGAAAAAAATTGAATCGTTTTTAAATGTTATATTTTTTACCACATTGAAACAATTTTGGAATGGACATCACGGCAAAATCCTACCTGTGTCATGATCTGTTCTTGTAAACCAAATCGAAAGTGGTCTTGACGGCAAAAAAAATTACTTCAAGCGTGAAGATAAAGTTTCCAATAATTTTTCCAACCTGGAATAGTGACAGCTAACGGCTAATTGTAACCAGAAAGATCGCAATTTTTACGCAAAAAATTAGACGCGAAGTAAATTGCGTTCAAGGCTGTTTAGTTTCTCTTTCTGCGCCGGTAAACCCTTTGAAACACACTTCCTTATTTTCAACCAATTACATGTAGGAATTATCAAGTGACGTCTGCTGAAAATAAAGCTTTTTGTTTCAAAAACAGGTAAGGTTCTAAAGCTTAGGTTATTTTGATCAAATGCAGTTTTTCGTATGGATAACACGTTGTGTGGTAATAGGTTATTCAAAATGCAATGCATCGAAATAAAAACCTATTGGCTGTCAGTTCATAGCTACCCTCAAATATGAAAGGAGAAGAGTGAACAGTACGTTTCCTTGTTGAGTTTTTTCAATTTCTTGTTCCTTTGCGATTTTTCCTCTTTTTGGCAAAAGATTACATAGCAACCTGACTTTTAATGGTAGCAAATATGTCCTACTGGCGAACACGCGACAGATGTTAAGGGCGTTTGCGGAGTGTGATATCTCCTGTCAACTCAAACTGTGATTTTGGCCGTCGGCAACACTCCAGAGTTAAATTTCGAGTGAAAATAAATGCTGTTTTGATATAGCAGGTGTAAACGCAAGTGAATTTTAAGACCTTGATCAGACACTTTCTTTAAAACGGATGTTTCCGTTCAACGTCTCTAAATCAACGCTGTATGAATTCACTGGAAACTGACCGGAATTTAATAACAGATGTCACTGATAAAACATAAATTTGACTTGAGGACAAATTGTGTGGTAATTTAAGTTTAGAACAGTGATTTACTTGATGCCTTTTTTTCGATATTCTGATCTAATCTGGGCGTTGAAAAGATTGTTAAAACGTTAACAAGTGGTCAACTCATTTATTCATAAATATTCTCACTGAAGACCGTCGTTGATCCAGACAAGTTGACAATTTGCAATTTTCCCGGCCAACCGATAACTGATGATGGCAAAGCTAAAAACACGAGATAGCTTTTGATATCAACTTAGCTTGATAGAAAAATGAAATAGGTTCTGTGGTTTTCTCTTTGTATCATAATTACTTTTGATAAATAACTTGTAAAATATTTAAAAATGAAAAAAAAAGGGGAAAAAAAGCATCACGGACAGAAAATACAATTTGCTTTTCGTTTGTATTGGCTACGATATTTCACTCGACAAAAACGAAAAACAGCTTCAAATTATGACTAATTTTTCTTCTCCGTAAAACCTTACGCTGAAAATGCAACCCACTGAGCAATAATGATGTCAGTAGGGAAACTGATGGGCTTAAAATTACTTCATCTTGTAGTTTTATGTTCAGCCATGTGTATTTTTGAGGACAAATTGTATGATTACACTTTTGCACCCGGCAGATGTTTTAAACAAGGGACAGATTTACCTTTGTCCATTTGGACTGAACATTGACTCAAAGAGACCACACGTTTTTGCGCGGCTAAGCTACTTCACTCCGGAGTGTTCGGTAGACAAACCTTTGAGCAATAATTTGGAGCTAATTTTCTTCAACCGGTCCTTAGTTCATCTCTTAAAAGGGAAGGAGGGAGAGGGGGGGGGGTTGATCAATTTTCAAAGGGAGCCACATAGTTTTTAATGGGTACGAAAGGGAGTCAGTCGTCCCCAACAAAGTATACTGAGGGGGGACTATAGAGGATTGACGGTCAATTAACTGCCAATTAGGAGGGTTTCACAAGAAAATTACACAACCGTATTGGGGGGGAGGGAAAACAAGGAAATTTTATCGACCCCCCCTGATGAATAATGACCAGTCTCTCCCTTCTGTCCGTGCTGTCTATGGCAAACAACAATCCTCAGTATTACGTATATTGCCCGTTAGCAAATCGCATGAACAACTTTATGTTAAATATTAAAAACCAAACAAACTTTTTTCTTTACAAACAGTTCATTTATTGTAAAGTTCAGCTCTCCACTTTTGTACTGTTGTTTAATAAGTAATTTACGTTGAATACTTGAGAATGCCGTATTTCAGCACGAGGTTTAACACCTGCGTCTTGCAGGAATATGAAGGCCTACAGGGTTGTTCACAAGAAGCCCAGGCTCGCTATATGAGTGCATCTATACTAATAAAACTGATTTAACGCAATGACTCGGCTAGGCTCCGAACCCAGCCCTCTTGACCCGAAGCCCTACGCACTTGCCATCAGACTACCACGTCTCCTACATAATATTTTTTGTTTTTATAAAGATGAGTATGTTATTCTCTCCTTGTTTTCTTTCCTTATATTTCCTTTCGATATTGGTCTGTTGTTATAATTACATAGCGGCAGTTTCAAAGCACCTAGACAAATTCCTCCCTTGCTTTGCCACATCCGTTGTTGCTCATCTTTTCTGTAGCATTATTGAGGACCTGTACGCTGTCTTTGTGAGTTAATATGAGCCACTGACGGTTCACATCGATCCATGCTTTCCAGTAGAAGCGAATATGTTCTATGCAACCGCAGCAATAGGTGAAGTAACACACTGCCAAACCGCACGCGAAGTACAGAACAATGCAAATGGGAGAGAGGCAACGCTTAGAGGCGATCCACAGTACCATGGCTATAAATACTACCAGAACCAGACAGTAGAACAAGAAAAGGTACGCCACAATGTCGCACGAACGCCATGGTAGTCTCCACTTAAGGGTGAAAAAACAAAGAGAACGTGAATTGAAAATCGTAAAGGAGTGAAATGTTAAACTAGACCGGCAGACAGGCGACAGACAGACTGTTAGACAGACAAACAAGCAATTAGACGGGTTACCAGAGTGAAAAATGCATAATACAGATTTTATAATGATAATAAAAAAATTCCACAGGGATCTTCACTTTACAGACAGTAAGACAAATACGCAGACAGATGGGTAGATAGACAGATGGGTGGACAGACCGATAGACAGTTAGACTGAAGGGCGACAGACAGCCAGTTAGACAAATTTACGAAGGAGTCAGTAGCATGATACAACTGTACTGGATAAGGAGACGGCAGACAAACAGACAGACAGACAATTGAATACTGTACAGACGGTCAGACAGACAGATAGACTGATAGCCAGACAAACAGATAGACATAGTGTATAAAAATGCTTTTAATATACTTTCTCCACTTCCCCTTTTCATTTGCCCTAATTTATATTAGTAGTAAGTTAAAAATTGATTGAAAAATATCATTTTAAAGAACCTAAGCCAACAATTCAGTGTCAGACACAAACAAACAAACAAACAAATAGTTATGTCTCTAACTGTTAGCAAAAAAAGCAACAAACAGCTGAGAAACGTTCACAAACTTTTAGTTAATGGCCACGATGAAAAGAAGCTTTGAATATTGCTTTCAATACCTGTGAGAATGGTTTGAAGCCCATCTTTTTGACAGAAATTTCGTAAAGGCACAGTTCGCATGTCTTGTCCTTTTTCAGTTCAAACCAAGACAGCAAGCAACTTTGATGCGCAAACTTAGCACTTCCAGAGCATCTGCATGGTGCAATTAACTCTTCATCCTCTTTACCGCAATGACAAATACGACAAAACTCCGCTTCACAACTAAACAACGACATGTCTTTGACGGGATCGCATATTTCTACTGGCAGATGATGAATGAAAAGTGTTCGTCTGGTAGTTTCCTCCAGCGAATTTATCCATCCCAATAAACAGGATCTTCTGTTCCCTTGGCAGCTGTTTCTATCCCAGCTTGGGAAAGATGAGGAAGCCTGACAAAAGATAAAAAAGGAGAGAAAAAGACAACGGGTTCCAGAAATACGCTATACCCTATTATTCCCCCCACCAAGCAAGGGCTTTAGGGAAGACTAAGCTTTCAGCCAAATGTCGCAAAGCCCCTCGAAAAGGCCGACTTATGCATGTTGTTTAGAAATCACAGCTTCTCATATTTTTTATTTTTATTTTTAGAGTGTTTATACCCGGTGGAAAATTATGAGGTAAATAGATCATTACTCGGTCAGTACTTTTTGCTGTTAATCAACAGCCTTTGGACTGTTAGATAACGGTGTTAATTAACCTAAAAAAGTACTAATTGTGGAACTTTGACTTAAAATAGCCTCGTAGTTTATCTTAATAGTAAAATTCAATGCGATAATAGTTCTTTTGCAATTAAGGCTTCTCAGTTTGCTTATGCTTTGAAAAAAATTTTTTCGAGAGGCCATTAGACTTCGCTTCTACCGCACTGGTAAGCGGTATTTTAAAATCTTACGCTCCATCTACGATAAGCTCAGTTTAGACAACAGAAACCAAAATGTGATGAGTTATTAAATACACTCAAGATATAAAAGCTGGCAGGTGATTTCTAACCAAAACAAACAAAAAAAAACCTTACTGTTTCGTAGCTTTCAGTGGAAGCCATTGATACAGTCCGGCTTTCTGTCGATGCTCTTGTGCGAAAACTATCCACTGAGTCAAAACGTTCTAATTGTACTCCTTCGTCACAAACTGGTTCTTCGGCTGATGATTTACGTTCCATTTCAGTTGATAATGAACAACTTGACTCCGTTTTATGTGAATCCATTCGGTAAATATTACTTCACCAGAACTTCAAACCGATTAATTAATGCTGGTGAAATCCTTAGATGAAATCAAACGGAAAATTCTTCCGAGAAGCGAACTAGTTTCTCCCGCTGTTTCAATATAGCTTGAATGCAATTGCTCCATGCAAAAATGATGGAATTATCAGACTTAAAAAAAAAAAATTATCACCGCGCAAGCCTCGTGAAATAAATTATTTATCCAACGAATTGACGTAGAATGTGGTGATAGTTAAATTTTTACAGCAATTAAATTCCCCTTGTGGCCAGAATTTACATGATTCACTCAGACTTTACATGCTTTACTCAGACAATAAGTTGTCCATTCTTCGTTCATTTTCAAACCGAGCCGATCGAAATCAAGAAGAAAATTTGATAGCTTTTTCTTTTGGGTCAGAAATACAGTCTACATTTTGAGTTCGCCTCCTGTTCTTCTTATCTCTGCAGAAATCTTTAACTTATCCAATTGGTAGAAAATGGATCCATTGGAGATGAACCAATATACCCAAAGAATATTACAATTTTATGATTTAAGTAATGTTGTCGTGTATTTCTACCCTTTAATGTGCAATATAATGTCTTCCTCAGTTTACTTTCATTTCTGAATTTGCTCGGCTGATCTGAATGTCAAATAATTCTCTCTTTTTAAACCGTGAATTTTTTTTGCAGCGTCTGCGTGCCCGTTCGAAAACTTGCCTAATCTGTTTTCCAGAGTTCTTTGTCTTCTCAAGGAAGAATGTTGTTCGATGTATGAAATCATTTTTCGAGAAGTTTCTACACGAAGACCAATTAATATTTTCTGATTTGAGAATTTGATTGTTGTCAGTACATCTTTGTCGTGATTAACCCACAAATTAAAAAAAAAGCTAAAATGAATAAAGAATGTTTAAGTAAAAAATCAAATGGAAAAAAAAAGAAAAAAAAAAAAAAAAGCCAAAAAGACCTCAATGAGAAAATGAATCTACCTCCTGCTCCCCATGATGTCATAGAAGGTCAGCGGTGACCCGATATCTTGGTCACGTCATGGTGTTCATAATTTCTTTGCTCGTGTTGTAGTTAACCAACCACAAATATCGGTGGGAAAAGTTTAGGTGAAGAGAAATGAAGCTTCATATGGCTGAATTAATGAAATTTTAGGGAAATCACTAGAGGGACATCAAAGAAGAAGTGTTTTCAAAAATACTTGATGTATGTGTCAGCTTCTTGTTGTGACTACAGAAATTTACACCTTAGAAGGGCATTGAAACCATCCTTTCGAAGATTTGATTTTCTTGGATCCATGTCCAATAGATTAAATTTCACTGTCTCATCAATCTGTTTTTATAAGTGAGAACGGAGAGCTTAGTTCAAAAGCTAAAGACCCACAGTGTAAATATTACGAATGAGTGTTGAATGGATCGCTGATAATGAATGAATAAAGAATGTGTCTGTTGTGAGTAGACGGTTTCGAGTTACATGACTTCCTTTCCACAAAGACCTATTGACGTTATCTGAAGCCTCCATGCGTGCTTCAGATCCTCGCAAAATGGCTGGCCTTTCGAGTGATCTGTAAGATCTGGCTTTATCATAGCTTCCCTTCCAAGTTGAGTAAACACTCATCAACATGCAGACGAACTTAATTTGGAGTGTTGTTCTTTTTCTTTTGTTGCAAGGGACGAGGATTCCAGCGCGTGAGTACATTCAGCATAGAACACAGTGCCTGGTTTTGTTTATTATCATTAACAGTGATCGTTGCGTGATCATAAAAGTATTATGACTTGTTGTCCCTTTTTCGCGTCGAACGATTTGATGGTTTCATCGCGATTATTGGAAGAAAATCCATTGGTTTACTGAACACGTAGCAATGAAATCGTTTGATCACATCTGATACCTAATATTACACGAAATAATTTCTGCGGTTTAATGTCATGAAATCTCAAGGAAAAATTGTTCGATCTGAGACCACTTCCTGTAGCTTAATTCACAGTTTTCAAACATACCCTTTCCTTGTCTTTGAAACGCTTATATTGTTTTTTATTTTTATTTTACATTAGCCCAGTGGATCTTGAACGCTCTTGCCTTTAAACAGTTGCTTTCTTTTCACAAAGCTCCTTTCATCTGACTCTGAGGGAGTTGAAACAACGAAGCGGGGAAATTGTAATATTTTATAAAGCACGGAAAGAATAGCAGTTGTTCGTCTCCACTTCAAAGCAGCATTCACGTTCTTGAACTAAACTAAGGACTTTCCTGTAAATCTGTTTCTATACTCAGTGACAACATGACATGTTGCGAAATGGTCACGCATTTTCTAACAGCTTTGACTTTCGTTAACGGGATGTCACGCAATTGTTACGCGACATCCCAGAAAAGAGCACTTTGACTCGGCTTACTGCTTAGACGCTCACAATAAACAAAAATCAATTGACAAACGTTCTAGTTAAGAACATTTCAATCCAAAATCGTAAACTAGACCTGTCGGAAATCGAATGCAAGGGGAAAAGACGAACAATTAAGTATTGAATCATATTTAGCACAAGATATTAGAGAAGGGGGCATTTTCGTCCGCTGTTCCAAGTAAATTGCGATTTGGATAGTTAATTTTTGTAAAGGGGTGGAAGACTGGAAAACCTGGGGAAAAGTACGCGAAATATTCGGAAAAACAAGAATAAATAAAGGATCAACTGTGACGGCTTTGATAGTATTTTTTTTTTCTGGCGAGCGAGTGCTCAGGATTCCGATCAGGTTTTGATGTCATCACGGTGGATCGTTATGATCAAGACATACCTCGAGGTGCTTTTGCATGAAAAAGTATGCTTCTTTGCGAATTCTTCCGCCTCTAAGCTCCAGGCTTTCCTCGACCTTACCAAACTAATGCTCTCCAGTGATACACTGGCGATGCAAACCATATAACGTTCTCTTTTTCCTTCAAATTTCCACAGAGGACCCGAACTGTAAAATTGACTTGGCTTTTGTGGCAGATGCCTCAGGAAGTGTTGGTGACGACTGGGGCACTCTGCTCAAATTCGTTGTCGATGTGTCAAAGAACATCAACGTCGGTCCTGAAGGCTCCCACATTGCTTTGGTCAAATTTGGAGACCAAGGTGAAAAAGTTCTCGATTTTGAAGAGTTTGATCCTGCAACTTTCAAAGAAGATAACGTCTTTGGAAAGATTACGTCGATAGGAAAGCCGCCCTCTGGCGCACCTAGGTTCATCAACAGAGGACTTCGTGAAGTTAATGAACAAGTCTTCCAGGAAGAATTTGGAATGAGGCCGGATGTTAAAAAGGTAGGTTGCTGCGAACTTTTATTAGGTTTTTTGTCACGGCAATAGCCAGGAACTGTGAAGAATTCAAATATAATCCCCTAAGCTAGAATGTTCGTATTTGAATTTGTTATTTGAATATTTTGAAGACTTTTCATGTGATAGATAGTAAAGGGGGGAGGGGAGGGGTAGGAGGGTCTTTGGTGCCCCATCCTAAACATGTTATGGAGATGCAGAGTGCACTGAGCTCTGGGTCGAGTCTGGGTCGAGAGGTCCTGGTTCGAGACCTGGCTGTGTCATTGTGCTGTGTTCTTGGGCAAGTCACTTTAATCTCACAGTGCCTCTCTCTACCCAGGAGTATAAATGGGTACCGGCGAATTGTCAGGGAAGCCTGATGAATGCTGGGAGGTTACCTTGTGATGTATCCCACCCAGGGGAGGGGACAGGGGGTTAGTTATACTCCTGGTCGCTTCATGCTAAGGAAACTGGGATATGCTCTGGCTGGATGGGCCAGTTGGCTCGAGTTCAGAAAGTCGCTTTTTAAAATCGGCCAAACATGGAAATACAACTGTATGTATCTTGCCTCTTCAGGTGGTACTTCTCATCACAAACGGAAAACAAACCGCAATAACTTCGCCGGATGAGGCTGGTCCCATTGACGCCTCAACAGAGTTAAAGGACAGGGGCGTCTACGTCATTGTATTGGGTATTGGCCAAGTCGATGTTATAGAGCCGTGGAATTATGCTTCAAACGCCCAAGAAGTACTTCAAGTGGAAGATTTCTCTCAGCTAGATTCCAAAGTGAAGGAAGTCAGTGAAACTCTTTGCCCTTGTAAGTTTTGATATTCCCTTAGGAATCTAAAATCAGGCTGATGTCATGGAACGATCTTATTATTTGGAAGCCTGGCGTGAAATCACCCTAACATCAGTATGCACATTCTTGATACTGTTTTTCTTACATTTCCTAAGGTGATGATAAGGTGATCCTATCTTTTACTCTTGTGAACTTAATGTGTGACTAGGGGTGTCATTTGAGGAGAAATTAGATGCTGGTCAGTCTTAGTAATCAAAGAGTAAAGGTGACTGTTCGTAGAGAGGAATGCAATAAGTCAAGTAAATCTGAGTTAGGCCACGTTAGACCAGACACAGTCGATTTAAGAATTTTATCTTTATCATGAACAAACAGTGTCAACTTAACGACAAAGAATTTCTTTTCAGCGGCTCTGCTCCTTACGACTTCGCTGCCGACAATGACTCCTCTGGTGACTCCTGCCCCTCCTGTCCCTCAGCCACAACAGATTCTTCCACCACGACGAGTAAGTGATCTCGAGTTGTTGGGAAATTCAGATAAAGTATGAATTTCGCTACTGGTGTTTTTTTTTTTTTTTTTTTGAGGGAGTGTGATTTCAGACCAAATTACACTCCAATCAGTTCAATTACCATTGTGAATGCTCCGAGACATTCTTATCTCGAAGTTTTCATGATAAATGTTTTAACAATTTTCGAAATGATTTCCTTTTTGTAGGTTGGCCTGCCCGGTGATCCAGGAGAAAAAGGAGACAAGGTGTGTGTCTTTGTCATATAGAATCTTCTCGGTCACGGTCGCCTCTTTAAAAGATTTGCAACGCATTCTTTTTTTTCTTGAGATTCAGAAGTAAATTTTTTTGATCACCGATGGACGCGAAGGGGGAGAGGGCGAGTAGGGGGGGAGGGTGGGGGTCCTACACCAACTACATGCCAGGATTTTTATCACTCATTATTTTCATAGCATTCGACCAGACGAAGACACGAGAGGGTGAAACTATTTTTTATATATCCAGCCTTATATTGTTGAAAATCTAGGATAATGCAAAACTGCATTAATTCCGGCCCTCAATTGAAATTTTTTTTAGTCATAAATTCCCTATTTGTTGGTTCTAAACCATCTTTTATATTTGTTTTTTCAGGGAGATCAGGGTCCGCCCGGGCCCTCCGGACCTCAAGGCTTTCGAGGTTCTCAGGTGAGAATCAACTGGCTCGTGGTGTTACGGTATAATCTAACCAACAGAAAAACTCTACAATACCACGAACTCATCTACTTTATTAAACAGCGAGTAATGTTCTTAACAAGGAGTAGCCCCCCTAAAAACAGTAAAATACGTTAATCAACTTAATTAAGTCCACGACAGTCTATATCCTAGCTCAACACTGACACAATCTCACTGCTGTCTCCAAAGTTCCTTGAAATGAGCTATTATCCACAGTAACTCTCTCTCGGTACAGCTTTAAAAACAGTCGTCGCTCCGGCAACAACAACTCAAGTCTCTACGTATATATATTCGCAAGGTGTTCTGGAACATTCCATAAGCTTACATAAGAACTGTTTTAGAAGTATTACATAATAAAATGCGTGACTTGATGAAATGTTCTGGAAAGTTCTATGTTGTGCAAGTCAGCATGACTCAACAGTCTGGAGATTTCTAAGAGCTTTTATTTACAACAATTACTCATAACAGGGGTCATCATTTTTTAACTGTCCCTCATCTATATCTAGTTATTACGGGCGGTAAAATGGTTAGCTAAGGGTATTTTTAGGCGTAAACTCCATTGTTAGTGGTCCATATGCCGATACGAAACAAATGCGAAACGTTTCAACTTGCACTATTCCAATCTATCTCGGTGTTCAAGATTTACGCTCAGTTACAAATAAATGTTTTCTCAGAAAAGAAAACTACGAATGGATGAATGATTCGAGCAGGTCAACTGCAAGTAAAGCAATTGCAGAAAAGAGGCCTGAAAAGATAATGGCGTTGACGAGAAGTCAGGATTCTTCTCTGCGATCTCTTTTATTGCAGCTCACGCGAAAAGATAAATTGTTTATTTATTTTTCTATTTTCCGGTGGGTTTTTCATTCTGGAGAAAAAAACTGACCCCAAATTCATTAATTCTTGTTACCATTAATTAGTGTTTCTGTTTCTCTAGGGAATATCCGGACCGCAAGGACCTGAGGGGCCTCCTGGATCTCAAGGCCCTCCCGGTCCTCCTGGCCTTCCAGGGCCGATTATTAACAATATCACGAACGGTGGACCCGTAGAGCAACTACCACCGATATTTATAGTTAAGTAACTAATCAAATGCCTTCTTTACCTTTCAGTCACGTCTGTTGTTGTGTAACCTCCGTAATCGTGGCCTCTGTTTGGTCTTGAGAAGATAAATTCCTTATCTACACGCAACCACGTATTATTTTGTTTAGTGTATGAACACTGTAGGCCTTTACTGACAAGAAAATGCGATTTTGGATTGAGAATGGTGAACGCTTTGCCATTCATTATGCAGAAGGGTAGAGTGTCAGCAGATGACTGGTTATATCAAAGACACGTAAAAAGTCATCGCGAATTTTACGCGTGTGCAGTTACGGCTCTTCTCAGAGCTGTTAATCCTTGTGAAACACCACAATTTGTACAATGAAAACAGTATAAATTTCCCTCAAAAGCGAGGGCAATAGGCTTATTTGTGTGTTATAGAAGAGATCCAAGGACACTTCGTTTCCGGTGAAATCTTTTCACAGTTTGTTGAGGTCATTCCACAAAAAAGCTGGGTCTCGATTTTGGCATCTGATCCTACCAAAAACTTTCCCCATGGATGGAGTCCATTTCTCTACGTTTGTTCCAGGCTTGTGACAAATCAAACTGTTCAAACGCCTCGCTCAATTTCATTCAAGCCTTTAGATCAATGTTACCCTAATTAATTGTTATTTTATTGAAATGGAATTTTGTGACCTTGTTCTGTTATCTTGTAGGGCAGCAAAGGACCAAGTGTTGGGTATAGGGAAGTTAGAGGGAACCGTGGTGACCCGGTATGTCTAATGTCACAAATCGTCGCTGTTATTCTGAGTTTTCTTGCTGTTCAGAGTATTTGTAACCGAATAGTCCATTTTACAGTTGTGTGCTTGGTTGCCAAGCCTTTGAACAGGAATGAGGCTAAGGGTGACCTTGTTATGATACAAACCTTTCTGCTTTTCAAATGCAAATTACTTTATTATCATGCTAACTAGATACTGGTCTCTATCACAACAAGGTCACCTTCAGCCTCACTCCAATTCAAAGGCTTGGCAACTAAGTACACAACTGTAAAATGGCCTATTGGATAAAACTGAGTTGGTGGCCAATCAAAACAGAGGAGAATATTGCAAGAGGCCATTGAGATCTCCAAGACATGAGAAAGACTTTAAGCGCGGGAAAGCGCGGAAGTCATAGTTGCGAGTGGTTTTAGTTTTGCATTAGATTGGTTGAGATGGTGGCACGATCCTTACTGACCAATCATAGAGCGAAGCAATGCAAAACCAATTTAATGCCCCATTACTTTCGATACTCATTTTGAAATTGCACCAAAAGTTACGCTCTGCCATGCTTTTAGAAATGACTAAGTAGCCTCGTAACGTAGTTTATTTGATTTTTAAATATTTACATGTTTCTTTCTGTTAACAATTATATAAATTATATAAATTATATAAATTATATAAATTATATATTATATAATTTTTAGGGTGAGGCTGGCTCAATGGGCGTTCCTGGAAGGAGAGGGGTTGATGTATGTGCAAGCTTTTTAGCTTCTTTATCTGATTTTTAAGTTCATGTTTGTGCATTTAATTCAAAATGTGAACATTATTATAGTCTCCTTTGGTAGCAGCAATTTTATCTCGATGCATTCTTTTGTTGTTTAAGAGAAACTACCAAAAAAATAAAAGCCTGTGAGGGAGACTAACATACGCCTGGCAAAATAAATAAAAAAATTATTTAGTTTTACTTAGCAGATTAGATTTTTTGTTCAGATTTATCATCTGAAGATCTCTTTTAGGGGGAACACGGAAAACCGGGGCCACCGGGCTTAGATGGAAGCCCAGGCACACCGGTAGGTATATCTGTTATTCGCCTAAAAAACAAATAAGTAAACTAGTAAGTTAGTCAAACGGTCCGTCAGTCAGTCAGCCGGTTGGTCAATCATTAATCAATTAATGAATGAACAGAGCTGGCCGCGTTGTTATATCCACATAGAGTCTAATTGATAATCAGTGACATAAATTAATATATATTTTATCTTTATCACCCGTAGGGACCACCTGGACTTAACGGTCCCCCTGGTCAAAGAGGACGCCATGGAGAAGACGTATGGTCCTTTATTCGTTTTGGTTATTTTCTAACCTTTTTGCTCCCTACTTCCTAATCTAGAGGAATTCTCGTTAGTGCTCTTGGCCTCAACGGTAACTGAAATTGAAGTTTATCCTCTTCTTTTAAGGGAAGTCCAGGTCGCCCTGGGGATGTTGGAGAGCCAGGTCCGTCAGGCGCATCGGTGAGTTATTCTTTGTCACGTGTGACTGTAATTCTAACTTTGGGGTTAAATGATGCGCACGATAACAAGACAACTGATATCGAGGTAATAGCGTGCTCACCGATGTCACCATTGAGGAAAGGTAAACCTGATGGCTGGAACTCCGGATTTCACAGGGTTTACACTAGGTTTTTCTGTTTTTCTTGGGATTTACTTTGCTGTAAGAGCCGAAAGAGGAAAAGGTAACACTGTGAGGGTTTAAATAAACAGGTGAAGGTTTGCGCATACGGAGGGTTTGTTGTTTTGCAATCTGCTGTAATCCTTTCCTTTTTTTTGCTGTTATAGGGCCTTGGTTCTTTATTATCGCGCCTTTTTGGTTTTTCTGTCTAACCAAACCAATCTAATTTTGTGGAAATGCGAAACGCTGCGCGGTGGCCAAAACGCGCAGTTTTTGTCTTCATAGTATTTTAGTGCTCATTTATTTTTCCATGTAAGAATTTTTTGGCTGAGCATCAGTCATGGTGACTGGTCTTGAAAAGTTTACTTTTTTTCTTTAGGGTCCTCGTGGAGCGTCTGGTCTGCCAGGATTGCAAGGTGTCAAGGGAGATAGGGTATGCAGTTGTGTTGTGTTGTAGAAAAGTGTTCGTCAACACATCGTGGTTAAACATTATTAACATGTTCAAGGAAAAACGGCCAAAATAATTACACCTCCTGTTTTCCCCCTTATTTAATACTTAAGTTTTTTGGGAGAAATGGTAGACATTAGCATATTGCAATCTTGATGTGATAAAGTGTTCCTCACTGGTTATCGCTAGTTTCTCCGACATTGGTCTCCTAAAATATTATATCACGTCGAACAACTCTTAACCATGAAACTCTTTCTCGACTGATAGAGCTGTTGAAATCAGAGCTTACTCAGGCTTCTTCGAGCGAATGGTATCGCAAGCATTGCTTTTCCTTTTGGTAGTCCATTCTAAGTACCAACCCCAACCCCCACCCTGCTTTCCCTCCCTAAAAGTTTGCTAAGACCGCTGTGTAACCTCGGGTTAAGAGAGGCTCTGTGAGGGTAGAGGGTGTACTCGATAGCCTCACAAATGAACCAGTTAGGGCAAGAACCTTGACATTTCATTGCGGAATTCTGCGCTCTAAACTCAAAGCTATTGTGTCTTTCGTGATTGTGTGTACGATGAAAATCAAGGTTTATCTTTAATAAAAAGAAAATAAAGACTAAATTGAGGTGATAACTCTTAGGGAGAACAAGGACCTGCAGGAGAACCAGGAGGCCAAGGAAGGCAGGGTGCACAGGTATGATAATGTTTCAACAGTGTGCGTGGATGAGCTACTTCCGCTGGCAACTAAACGAAGGTATTTGTGCTGTCGCCGCATTCCAGCTAGCTATTTGTCCTGCGTTCTTTGTTGCGATTGTGGTCCATTCTTATCTATTGTTTTCGCATTCTTTTCGCTAACCGCAATTCACATTATGTCAGATTTTCCTGCATAATTTTGCTTTCTCTTGGACAATTTGTAGAAGTCGACCGTTGATTTCGTCTTTCGTGTTTTAAGCTTCTCAAGTTCGACACCGCTGACGCTTCAATTCCGACTACTTTTAGTCCTTCGTGTTATATGTTGCAGAGCGTTTGCAAGTGTCTTTTCCATGTTGTCAGTCCTTGCATCGTTGTCGTTTATTTCCAAATGTACTCCGTGTCAACTTGTTAATTCTTGTGGTTTTTCTAGCAAAGAAAACCGCAACACTTTGCTTAACTTGTAACTGAATTAACTAACTTGTTTGACATATTGAACAATTTATAATCACAACAATGTGCGATTGTCAACTCATCTCCTTTGTCGGAAGAATGCATCAGTTACGGCAGATGTACCTCTTGCGTTTAAAAATACACTTAGTCTTTTTCTGCGTTTTACGCAGTATATTATAAATGGACATAGCTGTGCCATTGTGTATATTCTTTCCTTGAATTTCTTCGCTCTGTGTTTTTAGGGAGACACAGGCAAACCAGGAAGTTCTGGTCGTGATGGAAGATCCGTAAGTTATATACAGGCCGTATTATGTAGAAAACGTGTTCCCTCTTACATGTGATGTCAAGTTTACGTTTCTCTAAATTCATTGGGTGTCTTTGTGTCCAGGGTATGCAAGGTCCACAAGGAAGGCCTGGCATCCCAGGAGCAGTGGGCCGACAGGTAAGCCAAATAAAATTAGGGAAAAATGGAAGATTCGGCTGTGTAAACGAAATAAATTATTATTTACTCATGCTACAGTTTAGACAATCAATGGACCTGCAGTTATCTTTACTGTACATGTTTGTTTGTTGTAATGTAGGTAAATAATTTTGATATCCAGTCTGTTATATTTCTCATGCAGCCTATTATCTTTCTTTTTGAAGTTGCTGATTTTTTGCCTATACCATAAAGTTCCCATTCAAGCTTGATGCGTGTTTGTTTGTTTTTTTTTATCATAGGGCAAAGTCGGTTCTCGTGGGAAGTCTGGTCGAGAGGGTTCTCCGGTATGAAATAAATGAAAATAATGATGAAATAATTTTCTAGCTGTTTGTCCTTTGTGTTTGTTTGCTTGTTATTAAAGAGTAGACAATCGAGGCTGAACGTCAGGGTAAAGCAGGAGGGAATCATCAACAGTTGTGTTGTGTAGGCTTTTTAGCTGGCAGTTTTATTTGCGCTTTGAAGCGTCAGGCGAGGGAAAACAAAAACTGTGAAAACGAACGGCGAAGCCGCGGAGGCTTGGGACGAAAGATAGCGATATATATCCTACAACTTCGCCGGTCCTAACGTAAAGGCGCACACAGCGCTATGCAGCTATGGAGGCTAATACGGTGTCGTGTTGCTAAAAAAGGGTTTTTATGATGAATGTTAAATTAATGTTCAAAGAAGTTGGCTTTAGGCTTTTAGTTAAGGCCAGTTAAAATGTTCTTAGCTTATACATGTGGAACTAACTCCAAATGAATGTTTATATATTTCCTTATTTACTGATGATTAAACCTTTCTGCCTTGATCGCGACCAAGAAATTTCAGCTTGAAACGAGGGGAAGAGGGCCAATTAAGATGGAAGAAAAGATAATGTATTTACCTCCATTTAGGAGTAAAGTGTAAACGTGCTTTTATTGCTGCAGGGTGCACCTGGGGAGATGGGTGAACCAGGCTTAGGAGGGGTTCCCGGGCCTAAAGGGAATAATGGACCCCAGGGGCGTCCAGGATCTAGAGGTACCAACGGAGAGCCTGGTCCAGAGGGAGAGGAAGGACGAGTCGGAGATCCAGGGAACCCCGGCCTCCCAGGTGAGGAGGGAGAACCTGGGCCCAAGGGTAACATGGTAGGTGATTCGTTAGTAAGGCCCTGTTCTTAAGGACGAATTTAACTCTAGATTTTCTTATAAGAATCTTATATCTTGTGTGAAGTATTTTGGAGCGAAGGAATCGTGAAAACTGTAGAACGGATCTAGAAATTTTTGAAGCAGTGGTGGGGGGGAGGGGGAGTTTGAACACAGAAATCGTTCAACCAAAGCCCCTATCTTGATAAATCCCTCCTTTACATGAAACACGTTATTTTATCAATCTAAACTTTCACAGTGCACGTGAACCTTACTCGTGAAGGATGCTTTAAGTTGAACGGATGCGATTATATAGAAAAATAGATGTTTAGATCAAGAAAAATGAAGAGAAAATTGTCAGCTATATGCAATCCTGTCCGAAATTGTCCTGAAGAGGTGACACACTGTTTGCCAATTTGTGTGTTGGTATAAAGTTCTTGTGTAGTTTATTAGTTAGTAACAGTGATATTCTATCACACCTTTTGGAAGAGACCTGTTAAGCTTGTGTGCTTAACTGAGGGTTACCAAAAGGGCCTAACAATCTCTACCCCTTTTTTCTAGGGCTCAATGGGCCTGATGGGGCCTCAAGGGACACAAGGCTCTCCAGGAATAGATGTAAGTAAAATACTTTTGTAAAATCTTCAAGTTGCTCAGAAATCAGAACGTTAATTTGGTGACATCTGCGTGCTGCTTAGATTCATGGATAAACAATGTTCTTTTCCCTCCAAATTTCTCAACGCGCCAGCAGCAATTGATAAAAAGAAGATCAAATGAAGTTTATTTCTACTCAACGATCCAAAATAGGTGTACTTGCTATTAGGAAAAATTGGGGAGAAAGAGAAGGTTGTGTGTTCAAGATGCAAAATTCCCTTGACGGAAGTTTTACGTCTAATGAGGAGAAGAGATCAAGTTAGTTACTTGAGCATTGCTGTATTTTACCGTCTAAAAGATTTGATATCTACTTTCCTTTTATTCAAGGGTATTCCTGGGCAGCCAGGGCATGATGGTGAGCCTGGGGACAGGGTAAGTATCTATCGCACTTGCATTTTTAAGCATCAATATTGCTATGATTGTGCAATTTCCAATTGAATGTCGAATGTTATCCAGAATTGCATTGGTTTTGATTTACGTGGCTCGATGATCGACTAAAAAATGCGAGCCGCTCCAACAACCAATCAGATGCAAAATTGTAACCAATTACTATGTAGTCACTCATTTTCTCTGGCGCCAAACGCTGTTCACATACTTTTTACTTGGATTTAATTCTTAGTGATTCCTTGTGATATTTTTCTATGGTTCAGATTGGCCGTTGCGATAACCTTGGCCTTAATCTTGAGCAGGCAATCAAAACGCACTCTGTAAATGACGGGGTCTTCCATCATTTTATTGTCGTGTTTCCAATCAGGGTAAATCTGGATTTCCTGGCTTAAGAGGAGCAACTGGATCAAAAGGTGATCAGGTGGGAATTTGCGTGAATATGTATTTTCATTTTGCTAATAGAAGTTATCTATTCAAATCCTAATATTCCATGTCATCCCTGACGAGTAGATCGTTTTCGCATGACATCACGGAGGCCAATCTCAGCAGTGACCAAACCTTTGATTGGATGCCACGTTGGTGTCCAGGGCAACTCTGTCGGAATTTACCACTTTCATATGCATGCCTACAGTTTCTTTAGCCGCTCAGTATGGGACCGAAAGTGTCCTGTCGGCTTTACGATCGTATTGCTATTGGTCAGTGAGGGTGGTGGCCTGAATTCGCTTTTAATACTATCTGTTTTACTTTTTGTTCGAGTAAAATACTATCTTTGTTCAAGACGACTTTTTCGTTGGGAATATAACATCAGAATGAGCATCATTCGTTCTAGTTTTTGGAAAATGGCACAAAAATATATGCGAACAAGGGAAAGTAAAACGTCCATAGGAACAAAGATTCTTCCGGTGATCACACCTTACCCCTTCGAAAGATGGGATCAAGATGGAAGGGAGCGGGTTTGATAAGGTTCTAGAGAGAAGTGGAAAACATTACCCTCTCTAAACCCACCCCAGATCTCGGTAATCCTTACTAATGATGACTAATATTAGGATCTAGGAGGGTCTTTTTAAATTGTTTCAACCTCCTTACCTCAACCCTGGACTAACTGGCACTTTTGTCCATCACTGTGGTTTTATAAAGTAACTGAATTGTGAGAACTGATATTATTATTTTCCAAAGGGTAGGAAAGGACAGATGGGAAGACCTGGGCCCCATGGCATCGCGGGGAAACGAGTAAGTAGTGTATATTTTAATGTCTGTGTCTCATAGGCTCCACACAGAATATCTTTGCATGGGTTGAGATATCTAAGAGGGTCTACACGCGGTTAACCAATAACCGTAAAACAGCCAAAAAAATTAGCCGTTTAGCGTGAAAATTGACAAATCTTAACTGTTACTCGTAAAAAATGTTAATCATAAAAAACATTTCTGGTGATGACAATGAAAAGGTATTCACCGTTAGCCGTAAATTGGTCAGAATTTTAACCATTAGCAGTAAAAGCCATCACCTTATTGAGATTCTCATCAGTTTCGTGTTGTGAAAATTAACAATTCTTAACTTCTTTCCTTGTATGACTTCCCTTTTTAAAATTGACAGTTGGTATTTTAAACCGTTAATGAAAAAAATTTCCTGAAACATTTAGTCCGTGTCATCAATTCGTTTGCTTTGTTTCTTGCCAGGGCAGTCAAGGAGCTCCGGGGCCGGTTGGAACAGCTGGGGAGCCTGGGGGAATGGTAAGATTTCGTAACCGCGTATGACTGGGTATATTGATGGAACAAATGCCATAAAGTCGCCAAAAGGAATGAATGAAAAGATAAATAAATATATAAAATGGGATAAACTGAAACCGAGGTCCATATTCAGTTAAAAATCTCGGTCGAACTGAAATAATTACTTGACTAAAGGATCAGAAAGACGGTATCCAGAAATTTATGGTTTCGACGGTTTTGACAATCTTCAAACCCGAATAATTCAAGAAATATCGCTAGATAAGTAACTTTTATATCCTTCAAATTGTGTAGAAACATACGACCTTGTTGGTGAAAAAGCTTTGGAGTGAGACAAAAGATACCGAAATAAAACCCCTATAGGTCTGATGGGAAGGGATCCGGACACTACGGTCCCTTCCACTGGATCCGCCACTGCAAAAGCAGCCGTTAATTTTGTCTTTCTGTCCGTCCGTCTTATGTCTGTCGGTCTCTTGATTTATGTAATGGTTACATAATCTTCCTCAGGGTAAAAGAGGAGCTGTCGGATACCCAGGTGCAGCCGGAAGAAACGGAAACAAGGTGAGCGGTGATGAATTCTGGGCTAAAATATCATATTTGTAAATTTAAAATTACAAAATTACTACCGATGAGCGAGTCCAAACTCGAACATGCGTATCTCAATCCTTTACAACTCAACATCAGTATGCATAATCTCCAACCTGTTCTCTACATGTCTCCCATGTTATTGACCACAAAAATTTATTGAATAATCATTGGTGATCTTTTCCTATATTGGTATTACATAAAAATTTGATTCAGTAGTGATACTGTCAGGGGTTGAAGGGTTATTTTCACAATTTCTGGCTATTAAAAAAAAAACCTACCGACTGACGAAGATTAAAGGAACTGCAAAATCAACTGAACTGACTCGAATCTTTTTAATTTTTTAGTACTTTTAAAATCACAAAGTGATACTGCTCTTTATCTCATCGCAGGGCGATTCTGGTATTCCAGGGATGCCCGGAACTCCAGGAGTTAAGGGAGACGTGGTAAGAATCACAGACGAAATACATGCCTCCCTAAACAATCAGTATTTTATCAGTTTTACTCAGGAAACTGTAATGAAAATTTAAATTATTGGTCAAATCATTTTCTGGTTCATTTCTATTGTTGTTTGTTTGTTTGCTTGTTTTATTTAGGGAGAACCTGGGGATCTTGGGCAGCCAGGACCAAGGGGAATACAGGTACGTAACGTTTTAGACGATAACTAAATAACAGATGGCTTGCTTTAGCTTTGCAAAAAAATCGCTCTCACAGTAAGATATTTTAAGTAAATAATCGTTACCTTCGTGCGTGTCTTCTAGTCCGTCTCGCAGACTTCTAGGGCCTTTGTCCTTTGTTTACCTTGAAGCATAATTCATTTTCGACGCTGCGCTTTGTTCCTAAACAGGGAGCTCGTGGACCGAGGGGAAAAGCAGGACGCGATGGAGAATCAGGAAAGCCGGTGAGGAGTACTTTTTGCTACCATCAAGTGATACTGGGGGAACCCGACAGGCAGTCAGAGTGTTGGCCGAGATATATCGGTTCCTCCTAAGTTATGTTTAGTGTTATTCGCAAACAGATTGACATTCTCTTCATGAATTTTTGCTCAAGAAAGACCCTTTCCTTTTTTTTTGAATTGTTATTTATCGTCAAACATCAAGCGGAAGATTAAACTTCATGAGGATGTCTTGGAAAACAGACTTCCTCTCGCATTGTTAGGGAATCCTGGTGAAATGTCTATGACAACATCGCGATGAACTGGCATCCTATCCAGGGGAGAGCAATACGCAATACTCCCAGTCACGTTATGCTACAGACACTGGGATGAGTTGCGGCAGAATGGGGCCACCTGGCTCGAGTACAGCCTTCCCTCTGTCCCTATTATTTTGCTTTGCTGCCTCGATAAAAAAGATAAATTGATAACAAAATGGAGTAAGAATCAAGAGTAAGAGTAAAATCATGACGCCGTACTGAGTTCAAAGGCTAAGAGGTGTGGTCTTTGTTAGCCCTATTTCTTTCTAACGCAGGAAAGTTCTGGGTACACTTTGCTTCTTTTACAGTGCTTGTAGACGTATTGAAAGTCTCCAAAAATCGTATTGGGTGGTTGTATCAAGGCTTTAACTCTTTTCTTTGACTTTCTGTGAAATTTAGGGAATGCCTGGCGATGACGGTCGTCCGGGAAGACCTGGAAGAGAAGTAAGCAAAATGAAATAGAAAAAGGATCGATAGAATTTTACGTTCTTCTACCGACGGCAGAAATGTTGGATTTTGAGTCAAAGTAGCGTTTGCGTTCGGTATGCATCAATGTCCGTTGTTTTGTTTTATGTAGGGCTCTCGTGGAATGATGGGAATGCGAGGCTTTAACGGTGCAAGAGGAGAGCGGGTAGGACTTGAGAATTTAAGTTTATTTTTTTGTGAAAATGTAAACAGTTTATGTGAAATGTATTTTAAAGTAACAAACGGGATATTTGTCGTGTGATTACACATTTGTGAACAGTATTTCAGAAGCGATTTAATATCACGATATTATTTGTAAACAGGGTGTGGATGGACGCCCTGGTGCCAATGGACGCACAGGACCTCGAGGAGTAAAGGTGCAGACATTGTAGATATGTGATTATAAAATATGTTGGATATCATTTATCACCATATTTACATAATGGTCGAGCGCGAAATCCGAAGGCCTGGGGTTCGATTCCTCTTGGCACTTAGATTTTTTCTTTTTTTATCTGTTGCACTGTTGCACTCTCGTGACAAAACTAATTAATGACCTTGATTCTAATCGTCCGGGTGAGGAAAGTTCGAAAAGGTTTATTGACGTTGACGTTGACGTTGACGTTGACGTTGACGTTGACGTTGACGTTGACGTTGACGTTGACGTTGACGTTGCCTGAGGTTTCAAATACGCAAAAGAAAATCTTCCTCAGAGTCTACTGAGGAGTTTTTAGTCAGTCTTAGCAGTCTGTAGCGAAAAGGTCGTCCGTAAGGGGACGTTGAAATAATGTAAGAAACTGTTTTGAGGAGTCTGTATCAAGAGACATTAGGTAGATGTTTATTTTTTAAGCTAGGAGGATATCTATTTGATAGCTTTTAACTCAAGAGGGTGATGAAGGGGTGTGTTTTTATTCTATTGGTATTCAATGCCTTCTTTTCGCCATCTTAAAGGGTGACCGTGGTCGCAAGGGCGCCACAGGAAGACCTGGGAGATCTGGAAGGCGTGTGAGTAGACAAGGACCATCTGTATAACAGGCTTTCTCTGGAAATCTTTTAGGGGAGTTGAGAAAGAGAGTGTGTCCTTGACGGACTCGTCAAAGGATAGTCAGTGGTTTCCCTAAAATGGGTACAAATGTGTAGTTTAGAACGGCAGGTGGGTCTTGCAGTCGCATTTTCCTGCATTTTGAGGTAAATTCCAAAATATATTACATGGTCAAAATCTTCTACAAAGGGCCAAAGACACCTTAGTCTTAAATCGGCAAAAAATGCATCCTACCAACAAAACAAGGTAATAATTACTTTGCTTAGTGCTCCAAGGGGTGTATCTTAATGTCGTCAATTAATTTGAGTTTTCTTTGACAGGGTCGTCGAGGTAGGATGGGAGGGCCTGGATTTCGAGGAAGTCTTGGATTAAAGGTATTTAACATACTTCTTGTTTGGACCCTGCAATGCTAACTTTTAAACTCTTCTACGCATGCGTTTAACTGTGCGCGGGATGTCATATACATGATGTGAATACCATTTTTTATAGGGTCTATCGGGACCTCAAGGAGCCCCAGGCTATCCCGGTCGCGTAGGGCGTAAGGTGAGGTTTTTTTTTTTTGGAAAATTTGTGAATAGACTTATTCACAGTCTTGATAGCAACGGATTTATTTGCAAATGTGAAAGAAAATATGACCTGCACAAGCAGTAAAAGTAACAAACAAAAAAAATAGTAACGCGTGTATGCTTACCGTATTTCATTTGAGCAACCCTTCATTGATGTGATATTTTAACCGACGCTTTTGAGCGCTATTTGCTGCATTGTGGTAGACTTAAAGCCTTTAAGAGGAAACAGAATTATGCGGGCTTCAAAGTGCAACGCAGTCCAAATTTGAAATCAAAGATCGCTTTGAAAGAAGTGAAATCAGTGGCTTTAACCATTTACTCCCAAGATCAGTATGCATATTCTCCACATGTTCCCTATAATGTCCTGAGGAGCTGACAAGGAGAATTTGTTTAACAATCGAGAACTTCTTTAGTTCAGGATCAATTCCTTTATTCTCGTGACCTTAAAAGGTGATTCAGTGGTGATATTGTAAGGAGAAATTAGATGTTAATCACACTTAAGGGTTAAAAGGTTTCAGCAATACTTTAAGCTGATGGTGCCTCTCGGTTAGAACTTAATTACTCCCAAATAAAAATAAAATGTTGATGATAATTCAAACATTACCTTTATACTATTTCTATTTGAAAGGGAATCCGCGGAACCAACGGCAAAGATGGAAAGGCCGGAGATATGGTTCGTTTGGTTTGAGTCACTTGTAACTCAGCTTGCTAGCTTATTCTATATAGCTGTACCACCTAGGACCTGTTCTTTTCTCATTCTTTGGGTAACTCAGGAATTTGGTTGTTTTCAACTGAATACGTCTTCCGTTTATTCCTTAGGGACCCCGTGGACCTCCTGGACCAATAGGACTATCTGGTTCTCCGGTAAACAGGGCATGCGCAGTCAAAAACTAGATTCATGACATACAAATATCAATTTTTTTTTAGTTAGGGATCGGCCAGCCCTATGTACAAATTTTAAACATAGTTTTGTATGCTTAGAAACAACAGGTTTTAAATAATGTTACCTCTAAAATTCTTCATTTGTGTTTTTTTGTTGTTATTTTATTTGCTTTTGTTTCGATTTTGTTCGGTAAATATAATTGTGTAAGGAATGTTGTCCTGTTCTTTATTCAATAGGTATTTTTTCCGATTTATTTTCTTTTTTCTTTCGTCTCCTGTATTTTTCCTTTTTGCATTGTTGCTTCTTCGTGTCTTTGTAATTGTTTGGCATTTTTTAACTATTTAACTGAAATCTACTCTTCTTTTCATTCAATTCCAATTCTGTTTTGTGCCGAAGGGTATGCCGGGACGCATCGGTGAATATGGATTTAATGGCTTGTCAGGGGCTCCTGTGAGTACGAATTCGTTTAAGACTTGAAAATATAGAAATGTAGGAACTGTTTCTCTTTCGGGTAACTGACTGAAATAAAGGACGCTCAATTGCATCACAATACTACAAAAAATTCCTATGCCATCGTTTGTTATTTTAGAAGTCATGAAAGCATGAAATTATTAACTTTGTAGTATTATCCTCTAATTCAGAATAGTAGGGAAGAGGAAATCTCATGACTATTCTAACACAAAGATTTTGTAATTACGGTTTCCCTGCTTATTTTCCATTGTGTTTTGAGCGGTACCAAAAAAGTTATATGGTCTTCAAACACCGTGAGTTACTCGCTTGTGTGGTTTGTTTATAAGAAAACTTGGTTTTGACAGCCTGAAATCCCTAAAGGTACGCCACTTAGCCCCTACTTTTGTTCGCACATATGCAGAAGTTTGACCGCTGTGTTGGCTACATAGGGTCACAGTGACGAAGAATCATGTCAAAAATCAGCCCAATTTACGCGATCTCACACGAAACTACCCAGAACAAATGTACGATATTATGTTAATTGGTGGCTGCAGTAGATCTCTTGCCGACTTAAACTTTTTTCCAACAGGGTCCTAAAGGAAAGAAGGGGGCCAAAGGAATGCGCGGCTCGGATGGTAGACCAGTAAGTGAAGCAAACAGTTTTGTGTTTGTGTTTAGTTTACTAAAAGAATGGAAAACAGCAAAACAGCAGCTTCCTTGCCACAGTATGCGTTACCTGGTCAGGGTCTAGTAAGCCTGTATAGCACCCAAAGAACTATTTGACAAACATACAGAGAGTGAAGAATCATATTTTGTGTTCTCCGGCGAACTAGTAGCTTAGAAAATGAACTCCTTTCAGTTTTACGAATAAGGGTTTCATTTGGAGGGTGTTTCACAAACAGGGCACATCCTAAAAAATACTTCCGCGACGCAGGATATTACCTTATCACAGTGTTTGCATTAGATAAACATTTCTCATAGAACCGAGATGAATTTATCGATAAAATAAAGCCACCGTAATGTCTTTTTTTTCGCTTTTTCTAAGGGATGGCCAGGTATGCGCGGACGAACCGGAAGGAAAGGGCCGAAAGGAAAGCCAGTGAGTATTACATGAAGTTCAAGATTTGCTTTTGCATGACCAATTGGTTATGTTTTTCTTAAAATGATTAATTGAATATTTATCACCATGTTGGTTTAGGGTGAAAATGGCTATCCGGGACTTCCCGGAAACAACGGACGAGATGGTCAGCCGGTTAGTAAAGTTGATATTATGTAAATGGCTTGAATTGTGCTTTATTAAATCCATTTTACAAGGTGGATTTGTAGCAGCAAAGGGTGTTTTTTTCTAGAATTTAGTTTATTCGAATGCCGCTTATTCGCGGGTTACCCCACTCCCCTCCCTCCCCAGTACTGCATTAGGCTTGCCTGACAATCCGCCGGTACTCAATCACACTCCTGGGTGGAGGGAGGCACTGTGATAGTAAAGTGTTTTGCTCAAGAACTCAACACAATGACGAGGCCGGGGCTCGAACCCGCGCCACTCGTTGCGGCGTCCAGAGTAACAACTATTAGGCCGCCACGTTTCCAACAAAGATTGTGAAAGATATTTCAGATGAGAACGAAATTGGAGTCCTTGGTATGAAACGTTTTTTCGGAGTACGGGAGTCTCTTCAATGAAATAACTGATGCAAAGGCTCTACGAGCGACTTGGTATTGTTAGGACCATGTTAAGCATTGGAATGTTACTGCAATCGGCAACAAAATTGTTGACACATTGACTTTTTCGACCCCCTCCATTTACTTCAATATTATCTATTTTGCCTCTATAAGGTTAACCTATTCGACCCCCCCCCCCCCCCAAACAATGTTGTATCGTGATTTCATGAATTTTTTAGCTACATACGGGCAACATTGAATGGGGAGGGGTTCTTGTTAATGATTTAGAATGTGATACAAACAGTGTTATCCTACACACAATTAGAACACGCTGATTGTGGGTATAGTGCCTCTTTAGCGGAGATATCCCAAAAGAGAGTTTCCCCCGTTCATTATATAACAAAAACCGTTTTTGGATTTTTTTTCTTGTTTAGGGTATGGATGGAAGACCAGGAACCCCAGGATACCCAGGACCCCGCGGCGCCAAGGTGACACGTTTTGAAATGGACATGATATTTGAACTTCTTAGAAGCTTCTAGAACAGACAACTGTAATGTTTAAGCGTTTTCTATTGACAGGGGAAGGATGGCGTAAATGGTGCACCTGGAAAGCCTGGGAAGGAAGGAGAAATGGGTCTAACCGGGCGAAGAGGTTCTTCTGGTCTGCCTGGAACTCGAGGAGCGACGGTAAATGCTGAGTTGTATTTCAACTTTGATTTTGACCTGATTCCGCGAAGAATATCGAAGAAGTTCTTAACGTTAGAAAATTTTACGAAGTTCTTTCGACTTTAAAGAGTCCCCTGCAAAACGTTCCTTGTAATATCGAGGACTCTACTAAACGATCCTCCATAAGGTGCCTAAAGAAGTTCGGGTGGAAGGCGTAATAATTGGCTCTTTTACGTATCTTCCGTTTTGAACACTAGAGTGCGATATTTGAATTTTGCCCGCTAGTTTTTCGATTTCTGATTTTAAACACTAGTTTCCTTTTTTTTTTTTCGGTTTGGGCACTAGAGTCCAATTTTTAGTTTTGGAAACTCGTGTCTGATTTTTTATTGTGGATGCCACTGTTCGATTTTTGATTTTGGACGCTAGTGACACGGCGTGTTTTATTGGAACAAATCTATTAGTTAAGGCTTCAACATTCCTTGTCACCTTTTCAAAACTTGAACTTACTTTGTTTTTCATTGGCTCCAAGGGACCTTCTGGACCAGCCGGACCAGATGGAAACAAAGGATCCCCTGGAATGAAGGTGAACGGCAAGTTGAATTCTATTAATGTAGTTCCAAGAAATGTTATTAAAACAATGTTATGAAATTATGAAATGTTATGAAATGTTATTATGAAATGAAGTTATGAAATGTTATTAAAACAATGATTTTAAGTATTGCATTTGGCGTTGTGCTTGTCGCAGCAAAGTGGAAAGCATCCTATGCGGTGAAAATTAAAGAAACTTTTGAACATCAACCAGTATTTCTTTTTTCTTTTAGGGAAGAAAAGGACCCGTGGGTGTGCGAGGATCGAAGGGCGAAAGTGGTGGTCTGGTGAGTTAATCTGCTTGTTGGTATTGTTTTGAAGCGCAAGTTTTGCTATCTTCATGATTCACCTCGATGATTCCCCAGTAGCGCCTGAAAACAGAAAAAGTCAGGCTCAGCTGTTGTATTTAAAGCGTTCAACTCTTTACAACACTTCAGCTCTTTCTGATGTGTACCAAGTGTGAAGGCTAAGCTAAAGATGTTGTACATGTATTCTTGGTCAACTTTGCTGTAACCTTGGGGTCAGTAGGAAACCTGCCGCAAGCGTGCTGGCTCAGCTTTTCCTCTATCAGCATGTAATTTGCAACACTGATAGAAAGGGAAAACGACCAGCGGTTATCCACAGATTCCCGGCTTGTTTTTCATTTAAAAATGTATCAAAACGTACTGATGTGTAAAATGTAAACAGAGGTTATGGTTCCCTGAACTGTCGTGCTGCGTCGGAAGAAAATTGAGACAAAAGATTAGCAACAAAAAGTTGATAGGAAAGTTCACTTAGGAAGTAAAGCTGGGTGATCATCACAGTAAGGGTGAGGAAAACTAAGTGCGGGAAACTTGGTGTGGATTATTATTGCAGTAGCCTCCCAAGAGATGGTCTATTTTCTTGCAACTGCAATATTCTTTTTTCCTTAATCATTGTTGTCACTCCCAGTTATCGCTTTTGAGTAAATTAAATAATAAATTATGTTGTCACTCGGTAAAATTTTAAAGATTTTCAATGCTCAACTTGAGTGAAAATTTTTTTTACAGGGATCGCAAGGTCCCGAGGGTGATCCTGGAGAACTGGGAAAGCCTGGCGGTGTGGTACGTAATAAATTGATTGAAATTCATGTATAAAGTTATGTATGAATCAGTTTCAAGTTATAATTACCTTTACAACCAATTCACCAGAGCATGAAAAAGCAATTGTGACAATCAAAAGAGTTAGAGATATAGTATATATTAGTGGAATGGAGGGGGAAGAAACTGAAACAAAATTATTAAATTCCATCTATATTTTTAGTTGGGAAAAAATAATTTCTGCGGTATAAATATCTATTGACTTGTTTCATTTGTGAAATAGGGGCTTCGAGGAGCGCCTGGCATGCCGGGAAAGCCAGGATTACGAGGAGCAACAGTAAGTCCGGCACTCCCTGCATAATTACCCTAGTTTATCAATCTACGCAACCACTCAATTTTTCTTCTCAATATACGTATGTGTGCTGCTTCAAGGATTTCTCAGTAAAACGTCACTGAAGGTACTTCGGATAAAAGCGTCTCTCTAGCTCAAACTCTAGTGCTTCATATTAAATCAATCGAACCCCTTACGGATTCACTCGCCCCCTTACTACAAACCCTTGTTTGACAATGAATCATCAAACTATAACTTAATTAACGAACATGAATGGTTATCTTCATCCACAGTGTACGTATCATGCTTGTGTAATTGAACTGTAAGCATTTCTGTGCCCTCTGGGCCTTCCCTTTAGGAAGGCCGTAAGCACTATGTTACGTGTTGCGGAAGTCCGTTTTTATTATTTAGATTAACTTCCCGATAACAAGCCTGGGTAGTTGTTAAGATCTTTTCATCGTTTTCTTTGTCATCTGCACTCAAGGGTCGAGAAGGTGAAACAGGCCTTGAAGGTAATCCTGGAATTCCTGGAACGAAAGTAAGTGACGTGTACAACTGATACCTTGTTCTTTTGTTTTTAAAGTGATGATTAAATTTTCTTCAGTTATGGTTCCTGGTGTAGATATTCGACCAGAGTTCATTTTATTAGTCAAAGCTAAGTCTGGATCATCGGATAATGAAATTCAAGAGTTTTCATCGACTTAAGCCTTCATGGCTTATGAGTCATTATAACACGTGCGCGAATGAAAACGAGTTAAACCAGAAGTGCTATTGTACTTTCTAACATTCCGTTTGTTCTAACAAAATAAAGTTGGGAAGATTTATCCATAGCTTGGGGTGTTTTTTATAAAAACAATTATTCCACTCGCGCTCCACTCTCTAAGGGCCTCATTGGCTATCTATCATCTCACATCCAACACGCTTGCGGAATAAATGTTTGAAACTTTGTAATCTTTCAGGGAGCTCGAGGAAGATATGGAAAATCAGGGAAACCTGGTCTACCCGGTCCTCCGGTCAGTTGTAACGGCATGATTCATGCATACCGCTAGTATTTCACATATCGTAAAAAGATGGATCTCGCTTTCACACAAACACTTTTTTGAAACAATGTAATTGTTATAAAATTACGGCAAGAACAGCGCCCCCAAACATCATAAATTTATTGAAACACCATTGAAGATATTAGTATCCCAGCCATTTCCCAGTTTAAAGTGGAATTAAATCATAATTTTTTTTATAGTAACAGGTTTGCATGTCTAAACCGATTCTCCGCTCAGAACGCCTACCACATTTAACGTTTTGCATGTAATTTGCGAAACTGAATAGCGTCCACTACAACCTGGCGGCCCAGTATTTCCCTGCAGCCTTTTACTTTCTAAATTGTTGACAGCCCTGCAATCTTGTTTTCATTTTCTTGTGTTCCCTTGAAGGGAATGAGTGGTCAAGATGGCATATCTGGCCCCCCCGGACAAGACGGCTCAGTTGTGAGTATATTTCAGCTTTGACGGAAGGAACCGTTTGTACTTTCCTGTAGCTCGTCACCTCAATTTAAAATTAAAATAACAAGAGCTAAGGAAATTGAGGAAACAAAAATAATTTGTCTAAAAAAATTGAAACAAAAAAAAACCCTTTAAGTTCCCTCCTCTAGCCCTAAGGTTGCAAAGATCTGAAATGTAATATTCCAAAGTAGAGAACGTAGATTTCTCTTTTGGAGCTGAATTTCGAATATGTATTTAATAGTTCTTCACCAAGGCCGAGCTATAGATCCATGTCATCGTTTATCGGAAAATATTTATTTCTACTTTGTTAACCCTGGCTCGTTTAGTTTAGTACAAACCGTTGAGCTAGCCAGCCAGCGCGTGCGAAGGGCACTTTCCACATACGTGCTTTAGAGATAAAAGCATACATGGATTAAATAATATTAAAGATCACCCCTGATGAAGGCACTAGACAGGAGTGTCGAAACGTTGGGTCTATGAATTGTAACTTCTTCGATTACATTCATTAAATCTATAAACTACAGTAGCATCAAACCAGGTCTGAATATACATGGATATTTGTTCGCGGACATTATCTACGCCGAACATATTCCGATAGCGAAGCTCGAAGAAAACTGTTGTCGGGTTTGCGCTTTGGCAGCAAAAAGGGAAAACTTATCTTAATGGCTCGTAAATTAGTTTCAAATTGTCTTTTTCAGGGTTTTCCTGGACCCACTGGGCCGATGGGTCCCAAAGGACATGTCGGACTTAATGTACGTACGTTTTAAACCCTAAGTTTACATAATGGCTTCCTAGAATGCCTAGCCCCATCCCTGGTGCTTAAAATGTTAAGATTAACTTTATTCAACGACTGACATATACGGAATTACCACAGTAGGAAGACTACTCTTAATTTTATCGCGACGTACATGATAACTTGTTTTGTTTTTTTTAAATTGAGTATGTAAATTAGCCGACGTAAAGATTTTCCAAAGCTAAAGTTTCCACGTCAACGTGGATACAAGTTGGAACATAACTGCTAACAAGGCCAAAATTTAATATTTAATACTTTCCATAGGATTATCCTAATTATACTTAATACTCTCAACCTTTTTATAGGGCTTCAATGGTTTTGCAGGAAGAGGTGGAGCACGAGGAGAAGACGGTGAATCGGTAGAGTGTTATTTTTTATTCAGTTGGGGTGTTTGTGTTCTTTAGACGATCCTCAATGGTTGATGAGTTTCGAGAGTGAGGGTGTTTTAAGCTCAAGATGGGGGTGTTTGAAACTTCCAATTTTACGTTTCGGTCAGGATCATTTCGGGTTAAAGTAGAGTTTGTACTCTAGGCGAGTGGCCCATCCAGCCGTGACTTATCCCGCTTTCCTTAGCATGAAGCGATTAGGAGAATTAGTACTCCCTCCAGGATAGGATGCCGGTCCATCCAGTTACCCCCTCCCCCCCCCCCCTCTCCCCAGAATCTCATTAGGCTTCCCTTACAAATGGCCGATATCTACTTATATTCCGGGGTGGAGATGAAAGTAAGGTTTTTTTGCCCAAGAACACGACACAGTGGCCCGGCTAAGTCTCAAATTCGGACCTCTCGACCCAGAGTCCAGCAACTGCGTCTCCTAACATATCGTGTAAACAAAGGCTTGATTTATGAAATCTTTTCCTATTTTTAAGGGCGATCAAGGTCCAAAGGGAGCTGGTGGTATACCTGGAGAACCTGGTTTAGCAGTGAGTTGATCTGTTTGAACATGCTTTTGGTTCTTATGGATTCACCTCCATGCTCTTATTTCTTTAATGGACACTGGCGGAAAATATTTGGCTCGAGGTCATGACGTAGAGAACGAGCGTAGAGAGGACCGAGAGCCAATTGCTTTGCCCTCCAGCCCGACCAAACTCAATCAATAAGCACTATCTCTTCTTTTCTCTCTCTTCCTTTCTTCCTTTAGCTTGCATCTCGAATGGTCGAAAGACTTTTCCAAACCTGCTCACCTCGTCGTGTTTCGTGTACGGCTCTCATTCGTGGCGTCGCGGGGGTCGCATTCTACACCTTTCTTGCCCTTACGTTCTAAGTTTTTATCTCGTCTGTTGTAGGGATATCCTGGCAAAACTGGAGATCAAGGAGCAGACGGCCGCCCAGGGAGAGATGTGAGTTTGTAGTTCAAATTTTATCATTTGTTTCGTTCTTTGGTTGGTTTTTTTGACTTACTTGTTCTTCGGTTGGACGGAGAAAATTTAATTTCGAAGATTGGGAATCTTTTAGTTGTGCCCCATAAAGGTTACAGGTGGAAGCTACTTTGAACAATATCCCTAAAGAGAAAACTCTGCATGTGTGACTTGGCGAATTGCATTCGGGCGCCTTCCAGTTTAAGCCTTACTTGTCAAATCTTTGTCAGGTCCTGAACGGGGCGAGATACTATTTACATCCGAACAGCCCAAGGGGAAGAAAAATCGCGCGTCAAGAGTTTAATTTCGGACTTTTTTTTGGTATATTGAAACAAACTATGTTTTTTTATTTTCAATTAATCACCTCAGTGTCGGTGAAAGTGGTGGATATTTACCTTGCTGCTTCGCAGTTCGGTAAATATCCTCCACTATTTACCTCCACTTCGGTAAATAATTGTTAATTACTACTACAATTTTTTACAGGGTCTACCTGGTTTAGACGGAACACCCGGAGAGAATGGCGCCTCAGGAGAACGGGTACTTTATTTACGAACTTATTTTAAATGCTTATTTTTAAATGAGTCAGCATTTACGGTTAAGTTTGTTGCTTACTTTCAGGGAGATGTCGGAAACAATGGGACTGATGGAGCTATAGGACCTCCCGGTGAAATGGGAAGAATGGGGGAAGCTGGGGATAAAGGCATTCCAGGGTTCTCAGGTGAACCGGTAAGAACTTTAGTATGAATCGTGAAGTGCGAACAGTAAACCTTGAAATTTGATATGTTACATGTGAAGTTTGAAACGTGCGAAACGTGAAGCGTAAAATTTGAGCTGTGACGTGTGAAGTACGAAGTGTGATGTGGAAACAGATAAGCGCTATGCGTGAGATATGACTTTCGAGGGAAGAATTGTGCTCGGTGATAGAATTTCTTAAAGCTTTTGGCATAATGCGATATAGCTGCGCTATAATATAAATTTGTGTTTGCACAATGTGGCAGAGATATTTTTGGTCACCTTCTGAGCAGATTCGCACTTTTATGAGAAATAGCTAGTTGGAGAAATGTGGTTCTTGCTGGATTATGCTGAACACGTGCGCAGCCCCTCTCAAAAAAAACTCCAATTGAAAGATCCAAAAAGACCTCCTCTTGCCTCTCCAACCATTAAATTTCAGGCAAGTTTAGAATTCTTGTAAACGTGCTCTTAAGTGTTGCTATTTAATTAACTTGATTAAGTGGTTTTATGTTGAAGGGTCGCTAAAACCCTAAGAATTTCATTTATGAACCTCTTTACTGCAGAGGAAAAAGTTGTTAAGTGTATGCGACCATCTTCATATTCTTCCTTGCGTTACAGCTGAACGTTCCGAGAGAAATTTTACAAATACGACGTTAATTTGGACTTTACTGATCACCACTTTTTTTGTCCTTTCGCGCTCTTATAGACCTTGCACGTTTGCCGCGATTTATGCTTTATGCATAATTATTAATTAACTAAAAGCCGTGTTATTCTAGTCAGATTCTAATACCAGGCGAGTAATTTTCGTTCTTGCTTGTTTTTTTTTGTCATCAAGGGTGATTTGGGTTCCGACGGAGATGAAGGGGTATTCGGACACAAAGGACAACCTGTAAGTTATCCTGCTTCGTTAAAAAAATGAATGTAACCTCTCATCTTTTCATCCTGATGAAATGTACTGCGAAGCTAGGCTCCTAGAAAAAACAACGTGTGCCTGCAAAGCTCCGGTATCAGAAATCTGGGGAACCAAGGGCTTTAAAGCGTTAATAAATGGACAATTCATCGGGTCACGCGGCTTGCCTTTGATAAGCCGGCTCTGCTAAAGCCCAGCCCGAGCACGAGAACTCAAGTGGTGCTCCTTGGAAATGCAGTAGCGGTGAAGCCCTCCTTTCACCAAATTCTGATCCTATATCAGACCTGGTCTCTGAGATCGAAACCCTTTTTCAGAGCTACATGTCACAATAAAGTCACATATAAACTAAACGTGTCGCCGATTGTGGCTTCTGAAAGTTGTGACTAGTTTGTTCCATCAGCACTGGAGTCAGGATTTGGTCAAATTCACCCATAATTCCACTCTGTTATATTGTGCTTACTTTCTGTTTGTTTGTGTGTTTGTTTGTTTTGTTAGGGTTCAACACATAAATACGTTCATATGCTCAGGTGGCACTCTCAAAAACCACACCCAATTTTTATCACAACCACCTTCAAATCTGTACCGTACCCTCTGTTTTGCTTGAGAACAGTCTTAATATTTTCCTTCCCCCGCATCCAGGGTCCTATGGGAATACAAGGTGATGAAGGAGAGACTGGGCGAGCAGGTCGGCAAGTAAGTTTACTTTTTAGTGCTGAGTTGGTCAGCCTTCGGACCCAACTGGTTCATTGATTTATCGATTAACATTTATTGTTTATAATTGTAATTACCAGTACTATTTCTTAATACATTAGTACATTTTTTTGAACAGATGTCATCGTTTAAGATTTACATATCAATTTTGTATGATGATTTGTATTCCTATGTGCATAACTAACAATATCGAAAACCTTTCAAGTCTAATTTTTGTTTTACATGCCTAGGGTGATCCAGGATTATTAGGACTTCCGGGAATCCCTGGTCCACCTGGAGAAGAGGTAATGTTGAATTTTCTACTCGTAGAAAACTTATCTTTGGGATATTGGATGTGGATGTTTTATTGCTTAAGTGTAGGGGGGCAGTACGTGATTAGTATTCATATCGCAATGTTACTTTGGAATTATGTTCACGAAGAAAACATGTTGCACTTGCTTTACGTATGCACAAAGTTGACGGTACCCTTCACCCATGATTATGTTCATGCTAATTGGTGATGAGATCAATTTTTTTTACTATAATCTTTAAGGGTTTACAGCCCTTGATAACCCAAGCATTACTTAAAAACCGATTCACATCTCCAATACCAAGTACACAGGGCAGGAAATCAACTTTGTTATGAAATTTCGTTTATTTTAATAACTTCATGGGTTTAATAAGTAAATTTTATATTGATGCAAAGTTTACCAACTTGTTCTAAAAAGAAAAGTATCTATTTTACAGGGGAGGACAGGGGAGCCTGGTAGCCAAGGATCAACCGGCCCTACCGGACCCAAGGTGAGTGACGCTGGTAAGAGGCTTTTGATTGGTTGGTCAAAGTAAATCACATTTAAAACCTACAAGACTGGTATAAAGATTTCCCTGCCACTCGATATTAGACGTGGGGATTCGGGAATATTCACTCTTTCTGTGTCTTTTCGTTATCACTCATCTCAACTTCGTTCTCGTCTCTCTCTCATTTCGCTTGGGAAAGAGGTCGTACTTATCCATAGCTGTCTTTCTACTTAAGGGCGTGATGGGGCCTCAAGGACCACCAGGCCCTCCCGGTTATGGCGGTATGGAGGTAAGATGATAATAACAGATACTAAATCGTACCTGTTGTTCCTCAGGGAGAAGCTGGGGGTTCGTTTTCTGATTTTCCTGATAACGACCGATTCGAAAAAGTTGATTTTTGTTGGACATGGCAATAAACATGATCGAGATTTGAAACTCAAGCGATGAAATAACTAAGAAATGATATAAGCTGTATTGATCTTGGAGCCACTGTTCCTTAGATTGGGATTTTAAGAGGGTTTTCGGACCCGTGAAGTTACTTGGATTTCCGTGGAACGGGCCCGTGTTCGTTCGAGTGAGGCTCATGAAATCAGTCCAATTGTATCACCAATACAAACCAGTTTGTTAGATAATGTTATACTACTGCACTGATCTTAAAGGCTGAGTCTTCTCAAACACATTACTGTACAGAATTTGTATCATACTTATGCTTTGTGAATTAAAATCTAGGGGCGACTTGGGCCTGAGGGTGAATATGGTGAGCCGGTAGGTGTTCAAACTGTTGTTTTACCCAGTTTACATAGAATCGGAATGACTTGAATTATCCATATTAGAATCATTTGTCACTCAGCACATTTCTACGCAACTTTTTCCTTTAAAACCCGCAAACTGTGACATTTATTCCTTTTTTAATTTAACGGTCAGCAGGAAATGCTTTTCCTAAAATTGAGAACGAAAATGGTTCTCATCACAAATTTCGCTCATCTAGTGCCACAAACTTTGTTTCCACAAAATGCAAAATCTGGCGAATCTTCGATGTAAAACTCGTGCACAATGTTGATGCCTAACGGTATCTACCATCCAATGGGTACATCTACTTCGCGGCTCGAGGTTAATCATTAATCAACAAAAAAACATCGAGAGAATAGCATGCTTTGTTTTAGTAACTGCGTAGATTTGTTTATACAACACAGTGATCATATCTTTTCTGTGTTCTTCTTCAGGGACCAAGAGGACCTCCCGTAAGTGCGCCATTCATAATAAATAGGACGCAGAGATCGAGGCCTTGATCGTTTTTGATAATAGCTATATGATGATGCTCTTGAGACTTCACATCATGCTTTTGTATTGTGACTTTTACTGCTTCCAATTACTTTTTCGGTCTCTATTCTAAGCTGTTAACGTTATCACTGAAAGTGAATATTTTCTTTTGGTTTTGTAAAATTGATAAAATTGATACATCCAAAACTGTGTCCATTTGAACTTGATATTCTTTGTCACGTGTTTCTTCATCCTTTCCCTGTCCACCCTTCAATCGATCTATTTTGCTTTCTTGAACTAATTCGCCTCATCGGTCGTTTGTTCTTTAAACTATTCACCCCTCGATGTTGTTTTGTTTTTTTTTTTGTATAAAAATATATTTTCAAGTTATTCGTGTCAAGTAATACGTGATGAGACCATTATTTTCATTTTGCTTTTTCTAACTTTCTAGGGGTATGACGGAGTACCGGTATGTTATATTCTACTATTTATTGTTTTTTTAAGTGGTATTTTCTTTACACTCTATTAAGTCTTTTTGTTGTTGTTGTTTATGCGCTCTCTCTGATTCATGAAATCACTTATTGTCGTACACAGGGTGACCCAGGCCCTCCTGGTCCGCCAGGCGAGAAGGTATGTAATATGTACTGACACATTGACAGTTTGTCTGTGCTCATTTATACTCCTGGGTGGAAAGAGGTGTTGTGAGAGTAACCTGGTCCTCACTACCCACATTTCAGCGCTGTAACCGTTCGGCAACCGTGTCACCCTCTCTGCATCCATCCCTCCTGTTTTATCTGTCAGGCAGCGAGAGTGTTTTCGCAAGGAGGCATTTTATCATCCACTGAATCAGACCAGAGTAGGGTAGTTAACACTACAGCACATAGTTAAGAAATTATATGATAATGATATCAAATATGAACGACAGTGACATTGTTTTAATACCTTGTCTTCTAAATCCGCAGGGGCCTCCAGGGCAATATATCTACCCGCAGCCGGTATGTTAATATTGTCTTCCACAACCGTCATTTTGGCTCGTAATGCCGCTCGCTTCTTGTTGGGTAACGAATCGAACTTAAAGCTATAAGGAATCCAGCAGGTCAACTTCTATTCGAAATTTTGTAGAGAACAAGAACTGTTACAGTCGAAAGCTATAGAGTTTAGAAAGGGGACGAAATCACTGCAATGGAAGTAGGAACGCTATTGGAAACGATGGAGAAACGTGTAAACATGCAATCGATAAACCCCCTAAATGTAGTCTTTTCGTTGTCTCCATTAAGCTTTTTCCGAGAGAGTATTCCCTTAGATAAAGCAAGTCTATCTTAAAATCGGTGGTATATTTGCTCACGTCAGGATTGTATTATCCGTCACTCCGCACGCGGTGCGAACCTACACCGTATCACGTGATATTTCATTGAACTAGTTTTATCTAACGTGGTGCGTGTTCATTGATGGTCTTACAAGGGTGAAAAGAAAGGATGTATGACTGACAGTTAAAATTCACTTTTGAATCTTTGAATCGTTTATGAAAGCTTTCAGATTTAAACTAAAAAGCAAGGAAGCTGCAGGTATTGATGGGAGCTTCCAGAACGTAGTTAACGGTCAAGTTCAAAAAGCCATTTAATACGTGTGAGGCAAAAAAATCTGCCGCGTTTTAAAAATCATCGTATTTAACAGTTATTTGTCAATCTGGATCTCGTAATGTCGACTTACCTCCTTTTTCGTAACTTTTGTCTCCAATATATTCCAGCCTGGTATTTCCACCGGAGTGAACAAGAAGGGTCCATTCTCCAATCGTCGGCTCTACTCGAGTAACCAGGTAATTTAATAAGTCAATTGTTTTGTTTGCTTGATTCAAATAAAGTGGAGCTTAACTTTTTGGACACGTCTATAAAAAAATTAGATAAAAAGAAGTCTCTACCCAAAATAGTTGTCCCGCTAGCTTTGTATCCGTTACATTTACGTAGGGGGAAAAACCTAATCAGTGGGGAGTTTCTCTAGTTCCGTGGATATCGATGGCCTCTTCAAGGAAGATCCACTGTAATTTGGTCGACTTCCAGACTAGTATAATATGAAACAGCTGATCTTTTACGATAGGCATGTCAGAGCAGATGCTACTTTGGCAATTAAAGATTAGCCAGAATTTTCCTTGAGAGTCCAACTCTTGTATCTCGTTGGCATAACTGGTCAGGCTGTTCTATGATGATGAGTTGTGGGAAGAGGGGTTACATGTGCCACACCACTTCAACCCCCCCCCCTCCCTTCCTCCCTACTTTTTAGTTACCTCTTTCTGTTCAGTCTGTCAAGAAAGATAATTTGTTACCTATAATTTGCGTGCACTTATTGTTACTAACATAAAGGAAATGATTGTATCTGTTTTTTTCCCGTTTTTCTCTATAAAGGGGAGAGACAAAGAAACCAACACCGCTGAGGATCAACTGCAGTTAGACGTGGGTGACTTTCTTACCCAAGATTATACTTTTAATATTTGCACTTAAAATCTGCTTTTTTCAAAATTAATGATCATAGTTTTTTTTAGATGTCACAAGCAATAGATTACTACCTGACTGCTCTTAGCTATGTCGTCGAGAATTTCAGAACACAAAACGGCACCAGGCGATACCCTGCACGTTCATGTCGAGAGCTTCATCTTGATTATCCCGAGTATCTAAGTGGTATGTAAAAATTGACCTGCTATCATATTTAGTTTTCTCTCACACAAGTCCAACTTTGTCATCAACAAAACTTCCTCAATGGAAACATTTTGAAAGGGCTTGGGATCTGACTAATGTCTCTATTCTAGGAAGATACTGGATTGATCCAAACGAGGGTTGTATTGATGATGCGGTTCAGGTTTATTGCGACTTTGAGGAGCAAGTCAACTGCATAGAGCCTAGAAACCATAAGGTTGGAACTCTTCCTATACTTTGAACGCCTCTTTATTGTTTGGTCTCCCTAGATTATTTTCATGAAAATGTTACAACTAACTCTCTTTATGGACGATGTCGCACGAGATCAAACACCTTCCCATCTTTGGGTGGAGTGAAAGAACTGAAACTGCTCTTTGAAATGTTTGCAATATGTGTGAAATGCTCAGTATTATCGACACTCGTTTTCAGGTTTGTAAATTATCACACTTCTTCTCTCTCTTAGATCACGATTCCGACCCTCTCTGCCAATCAGTGGATAAGCGAAGTCAACCTTCAAACAGAAACGGTAAGTTGATTTGCCAAATGTGAACAGGACTCTGGGTTCATCGAGGAATCAGCTCAGGTTAGATAAGTACGTTTTGATTTCAGGCAATGCAAGGAACGAATTCCCTAGAGAAGGTACGGAATATGAAATCCCCTCTGCCTGACCACACTGTGCTTGCAATATTTCTTTGTCGGGATACCGGTGGTGGGAAAATGAAATGAATGATTGGAGATATGGTTTCTTAAAACTGCGTTAATTCTGGTTTTTTTCTCCACAGTTTGAATACAAGGCAACGACTGGCCAAATTAATTTTCTAAGACTCTTGAGCAAAGGAGTGTATCAGAACATAACGTATTCGTGCTTCAGAGAAAATGATAACGACTGCACCATTGAACTTCAAGGAGAAAATGAAATGGAATTCAGATCATCAGAGCGAACTAAGCCCAGCTTTGTTTCCACAGATTCCAAGGTTTGGATGAATCATCAGTTTTTCCATTCCTTCGTTTCTCTTCGTCCATGTTTATTTGTCTTCTCTCGCCTTCGTGCGTTTGTGGCCTCGAAGCTTCGACCCTTTGTCCCTCCATTCCTTCGTTTCGTCTCTCCTTCGTGCCATGGTACCATTGTGCCTTCGCTCCTTCTTTCCGTCGTTTTTTCGTTTTTCGTTCCTTCGTTCTTTCGTTCTCTCGTTCCTTTTTTCGTTCCTTCGTTCTTTCGCTCCTTCGTTCCTTCGTTCCTTCGTTCCTTTTTTCCTTCCTTCCTTCGTTCCTTCGTTCTTTCGTTCCTTCGTTCCTTCGTTCCTTTTTTCCTTCCTTCCTTCGTTCCTTCGTTCTTTCGCTCCTTCGTTCCTTCGTTCCTTTTTTCCTTCCTTCCTTCGTTCCTTCGTTCTTTCGTTCCTTCGTTCCTTCGTTCCTTCGTTCCTTCGTTCCTTCGTTCTTTCGCTCCTTCGTTCCTTCGTTCCTTCGTTCCTTTTTTCCTTCGTTCCTTCGTTCTTTCGCTCCTTCGTTCCTTCGTTCCTTCGTTCCTTCGTTCCTTCGTTCCTTCGTTCCTTCGTTCCTTCGTTCCTTCGTTCCTTCGTTCCTTCGTTCCTTTTTTCCTTCCTTCCTTCGTTCCTTCGTTCTTTCGCTCCTTCGTTCCTTCGTTCCTTTTTTCCTTTTTTCCTTCCTTCCTTCGTTCCTTCGTTCTTTCGTTCCTTCGTTCCTTCGTTCCTTCGTTCCTTCGTTCCTTCGTTCTTTCGTTCCTTCGTTCCTTCGTTCCTTCGTTCCTTCGTTCCTTCGTTCCTTCGTTCGTTCCTTCGTTCTTTCGCTCCTTCGTTCCTTCGTTCCTTCGTTCCTTCGTTCCTTCGTTCCTTTTTTCCTTCGTTCCTTCGTTCCTTCGTTCTTTCGCTCCTTCGTTCCTTCGTTCCTTCGTTCCTTCGTTCCTTCGTTCCTTCGTTCCTTCGTTCCTTCGTTCCTTCGTTCCTTCGTTCCTTCGTTCCTTCGTTCCTTCGTTCCTTCGTTCCTTCGTTCCTTAGTTCCTTCGTTCCTTCGTTCCTTCGTTCCTTCGTTCCTTCGTTCCTTCGTTCCTTCGTTCCTTCGTTCCTTCGTTCCTTCGTTCCTTCGTTCCTTCAATGTTTCGGTGCTTCTTTGCGCCGGTGCTTAGTTCATTCGTTCCTTTTCCCTCGTTTCTTTATTCCCTTGTTTCTTCGTGCCTTTGTCCCCTTTGCCTTCCTTTTTTCTTACATCCTATACTTTTTGATTTATTTATTATTATTTATTCGTTTGTTTGTTTAGGAGAACGAGCTCTCGGGTCGTCAAGCAGTTATGGAAATCAATACAAAACGCACAGGTGCTTTACCAATAGTGGACTTTGCCCGAACTTACGTCAGTGAATCAACAGGGCCTTTCCGTCTTGAGATCGGACCCGTGTGTTTTATGTATTAAAGTTATGGATCTGGACTCCCTCTAGTATTTTACTTCTCTTAAGTCAAAGACATAACAGCTGGGCTATCACCCTAGTAGCTTTTTAAAAACATTTCCTAATTCGATGTCATCATCTTAGTATAGTACGTTGTAATCTAAAGACTGAATTTTTAACGGAAATCTTTGTGTTGTACTAATCATACGCTTTATTATTTAAATTATAGTGAAGTAAAAAATCCTCTTGTAGTCCTTTACCTTTCATCTGAACCTTCCCTTATTCTCTCATTTCAAAGGAGTGGAATGTCTCATCAACTTTATTATTTTCATATCCGCCATTAAGACGTTTCCCTTAAATTATGGCACGCTGCCTTTTAAAGTAACTAAGAGCAACTGTGCTTAAATTCCATGTTTACTTTTAATGGTGGATATAAAGGTATTTTGGTTTATAGAGCATACCTCTTTACTAAACTTAAAGCCTATGAATTCAGCGGATTTTGAGGAAGGTCACATCGAAGATCTCGTTTTCATGTTTTCCTTTGGAAAAATCATCCTACCCTATTTTCTGTCAAAATAGAGATTTGTTTAGTGAAAAGTAATTAAGATGATAAATAATACACATTCCTAGTAAAAGCAAACAAAAACAGATAAGGATGGGTTAGTGAAAACTGGAAATAGTCGTGCCTGACACGTTTTAATCATGGTTATTGTAGTCTCAGTCGCGCGCAACTTATCAGCTTTATGTGAATCGCTCTAAAGGACAAAAGGATTATATTTGCCTAGATGCGGATGCTCAATAAGCCAAATTATCTTGGGACAAACATATTTATATGTCAATCGTCTCACTACCAAGGTCTAATCATCCATACTCTGCATTTTTTGACAAGCATTCCTTATTTGGGTGAAATCAAAATATGTCCCTGAGCCATTATTACCTTTTTTTTCGTTATCGTCACATTTGCAGCTGGGTTGATATTGGAAAGAGCAGTTTCTTTTCTGTCACTCGTGGAAGTAAAGGGTTGGACCTGAGAATTAATTAATTTGTTCTCAAGGATATGTTATCGACCAAAAAACTCTTGCTCTGGCCAAGTTTCGAGAATGTATCAAATGTAAATTCGTTGGCAAACTTGAATCTTACTCTGCGCTAAGTGTGCCAGGATGGTGGTGCAGCAATCTAATTAACCCTTTACACCCTAACATCAGTATGCAATCTCTCCACACTATGCTCTATACATTTCTTAGGGTGCTGACAAGGAGAATTTGTTTAACAATCACGAGCTTCTTAAGCTGCTGATCATTTCATTTATTCTCGTTACCCAAATGTGTGATTCGGGGATGATATTGTAAGGAGAAATTAGGTGCTAATCTCTCTTAGGGGTAAAAGGGTTAATATACCCTTGGAACCTTTTAAGATTGATTTTATGAACGTGCTCAGGGTTTTGCTTTAATTTCCTGGATGTCTTACACTCCCCTTTTTACGTCAAAAAATGGCTGGAATGGAATGAACGGTTTGCCCCTATGATGTCACTGAACTTGCGGACGGAAGACAGCGGGAGAATTAGAGCGCGTGGAATGCCATGATGCCCTCATAATCCTCATCTAAAGTAAGTGTTGTTTTAACCCAAAGAAGCTCAAATTATTTTGGAAATTTGACATGTCTGTAAACTTTCTCCAACATTTACTTAAGGTTTTTGCTTGCCTTTTGCTCGATTCCTCTTACTGCTTGAAACACTGTTACGATAGTTTTTCCTCTTCAAGGACTTTAAACATCACATATGAGCCCATCGTGCGGCGTTTGAAATCTTCAAAACATGAGCTCTTCCGCTTGCTGAACGGATTGATTAAGTATTTCATTCGCAAAAGTTTATAAATAGTCTTCCTTGAATATGGTTTCCGTGCTGTGACAAGAGTGGATTACCACAAACAGTTTACAATTTGGACAATATTTCCGGTGTTTGTGCAGCTTAAGATCAGATGCATCTCAGTTGAGCTTCCTTTGGGTGGGTCATACTATGTCAGCCAAGAAAAATATTATGTTGAAATGGCGGGGTCGGTGGATAATACTCCACAGTACTTTAATAAGCCCGGAACGTCTTTGAGAGCTCACCTGAATGTTACCTCGCGTGTGTTGGCGATTCTGCCACGAAGTGGATCCAGATAAGTTAATTGTAGAGCTCCAGCGCTAAAGAATGGGCGCTGTCATGAAAAGATTACAAGGACTAACAGTTTTATATCTATGTATATAAAGAATTCTGACAGTCGTTTGTTTTTTTTATATAAGCTTAAAATTACTTAAACGTAAAACTGGGTAAGGTCACGGAACGCACTGTCGGGAAAATGGTGTCAGTTAGCCTAATTGGTTTCTTCTTTAGAATGAAAAATATGCAAAGATCAAGAAAGATCATTGGTCGATGGTTGGAAGTCAATGAAATATGACTTGAATGGAAGTAACCTTGTTCACTTTGCTTGATTTATCAGCTATTTTGAAAGTACACTGCATGGAACAAAATAGAGTCGAACAGTATGGTTGCTCACAAAAAACGCAATTGTCGTCTGGGAGGTGTAAAATGACAAGCCTATTAAGTGATAGGAAATGTTAACAGCTTTAACGAATAAATATCTCAAAGCCCTTGAAAATAATTAAGATTAGGAACAACTGATGAGCTGACAATAGTTTTGTCAATTCAGATGCTACAGGGAATGTGCAGGTCACTCTTTTGATATAATACTTGGTTAAGTTATTTCGATGGTCTCCCAAAGTCAGGTCACTGAGGTGGAATGATAATCTAATATCCAAGAATAGTTGACGCGCGAAGGATCGATGTTGTGAAAACTCATGGTATCCCCTTTGCCGAAAACGCGTGTGCATCATACACGTGGTTAGTCCTTCAATTAATAATAGGCTGATAAAGCAATTTCCTCCACTTGATATGAGGTAGAGCATTGTTCCCAAGCCAATTTAAATTTGTCGGAGCCTGGAGCAAATGGTTCAGTCATGCAAAATAAATGATAAAGTAAATAATTTAATAGAGGACGTGGGTCCTTGATGATTTCCTTCAAGGAACGGGGCGCGAAATCCAGCGGAAGGCGTGCGTAAGCTCAAACATGAGTCATGATCGAAGTAAGATTTAACTGAGAGTTCTAGAAATTAGGACGTGATCATATGAAATTTGTCTTCTGTTCGTAATGGGATTTTTCTGCTGGTTACGAGATGAATAAGGCGGGGATTTTAAGCTACGTCTGGGTAACAGAGCGAGGCTCTTCTTATAAAAAATTTCCCATCACACTTTCTGAGATCTCGGTGAAAAATATCTTAATCCTAACTTGGTTTGGGTGAGATAACTGAAACTGAGCCTGTGCAGTTTAGTGGAGACTCTTGAAAAGACTTATCGTGAAGCACATTGCCATGTCTCCCGCGTGTAAGGAACTATTTAAGTTAATATCTGTAATTAGGAAACTCTGCTTAATCGACCCTCGTCAACGAGCCAAGCCAATCAACAGCAACAAAATTGAAACAGTTTGTCGGCTTCGTTCTAATCCTTAAAAAGATGTGCTCGATCCAGAATTGGCGCTGCACGCAATAATGTGTTCAGGAGGTTAATTAAAGATGTTCCATAAAAATCGTAGTTATTTCGTGCTCAGTGACTTGAAAAGCCTTTTTCGTACTTGTAACAGCCCAGATTTTTAAGGATTTGTTGTTGCCTCTGGTCCAGACAGTGACTAACCACAAATTAGGCACCAAAAACCGCCTTTGTCTGTTGGCTAAGAATTGTCCATTTAGTTATGATTGTAACATCGAGGGTAACCCACACTTCCGACTGGCGTCAGGCCCAGGTCAGGTATGCAGAATTTTCTACAAGTTACATTTTCTTTGATATTTTTCATTATAAATCTGTCAATAAGCAAGTCGATCACATTATTGGATGCACCCTTGAAATTCAAGAGCCCTCGTTAAACCATAAAACGCTTTAAATGCTCATCACAGGTACAAAAAAAAGAGCCAAAAAGTAAAAAACATTCAAACTCGAGTCACACTACAACACAAGGCTGGATCGATCATATTATAAATGGCTGTGATCATAAAGAAGATTCTGTCGATCAAGTACATATTTGCTTGCTCAGAAAAATCATGGAGAGTTTGCGGCACTGTGTAAACCTTGAAGTGCATGTCGTATGCATTTATCATGCAGGCTACGCAAAATTACATTCCTATTAAACGTATGTAGACCATGACCATTGCTAGTAGTACTAAAGTGATTGTAAACTTTTAGAGAAAAGTATCGATTTAGTCGCCAGTACTCCTGGATGTGTCCATATGGATTATATCATAAAAAAAAACCGTCGAGTCACAGCGGGTAACATCTCTACGATTGTCTCTCTGATGGCTGGCTAACCTCGAAAGAGTCTGACCATTAGATCTGATAATAATATGTCGCAAGTATACATTCCTTACAACATATTCATTTTAAGCATAGTGTAAACGATTCATCCAAGGAAAAGGGCCTTTGTTGTCAACATGTCACGATGATCTCATTACGGGGAAGATGCCCTTCTATCATGGTGAAGGGTCTCACATTTAATTTTAATGGAACTTTCTAGTTGGGTTATTTTAGATCAAAGCTTCAGGAGGTGACTCGTCAGTATCGTTTGTCCAAAGAAATGCAAAAAAAGATAAGATCATTAAATTAATCACAAGTTAACGAGAAGATCACGAAAAGAGGCTGACAAATGACCTCTTACGCAGTCAAGTCAGTTGTTTTCTAATTAATCGGTTACACAAACACCAAGTTCAGTGGGCGTTTCCGTCACTGTCGATGCTGACATTTCACGATCTTGCATGCTGATATCTATATAATACCTTCTAATCTTCAGGGAAGCAATATTTTCGTGGCCAAAGGTAGGCCTACGACGAAGCAGAGGGAAACATGGCACTTTTAAAGGAGATTTTTGGAGTTTGTTCCGTCCTGTTTATCTTGCTCGAGGCACGAGCCACCGTTGGGTATTGTAAGTATCCGTGGTTGACTGAACCTTAAATTTTTTTAGAAACAAGATTTGAAAATATCCGTGTAATCGTAGCTTGTTTACGTGCCAGGTCAAACTTAGAGATCTTAAAAGACCTACGTTATAACCCAGTGTTTATACTGATCCGTTGTTTCTAAAAAAGTGCTATAATTTACGTTGATAATATTGATGAAGTTTATGCTGTACATGTCCTCCGACACTAAAACTGAATATCGAAGGCCTAAGGCCGGCGACTTACCCGTAATTGTGATAAGAGTAGTTTTTTTAACAGGTTCTTTTTGTTCCTTTTTTTCTCTTTTTTTGTTGTTGGAGAAAAACGCTTCCAACTCCGTGAAATTCATTTGTGAGGCGTTTGTTGAATCGGACATCTGAATGTTAAAGTTGCTACATGGTTATCATTATTTACGTTAAAAGTGAAGATCAACTTCTTTGCTAATTTAGAACTAAGTGGCCTGGGTATTCGACTCTGTAAAGGCCATAGTCTGGAGTGACATGAAAACCTTCAATTATACATTTTTTCTTTTATTCTTATTTGGAACAAATTTCATCAGTGAGAAAATTGTTATCACCTCCACCCAAAGTCAGAGTTCTTGCCAATCTTCTCTCCAGCAGGGGAAGAAGTATTACGTGAGGAATGTTTGAACTTAACAGTTGAAAGACGCTTAAGAAGAGACCGAATGATAAGGCTAAGATGTCTTAGTGCTAAGATAAATACTCTTCTAGAGTCATAAGGCTAGAAATAACACCATTTTATCCAAAAAAATGTAGAACTTTGATACGGAGATAACCAAATATTCCAAACTCGGGATGAGAAATCAAGTCGCGGCTTGAAAGACTTAAAATATTCGAATTTGGAGAGGTGCTTACCCTGGAATGCGTTCATCAAAAAATTTTGTGAAATTCCTCTTTTCGCTTTCTAAGTCGAAAAGTACGTGCTGTTTTGTTATAGAAAGGAAACCGCCGCATGATTTTTTTTTGCTAGTAAAAATAGAAGTAATAAATGTCTAGTGGGTCTAGACAGTTATATGCCGCTTTTACTGTGAGAATTTTACATTACGCGCGCAGTAACCAGACCCCTTACGAATGAGAAGCTACACAATTGTAGGATCTTAAGGCGCACACGTTTTGCCTTGCTTGCACAGCGCTCAACATTTGAACTTAAGACTTTTTCAGATCGTCACAATAGCGGAAATAGTTCGAACAACTTGTTCTGGGGCGGATTGAAAGTTAGCCGAAAATAGCTCTGAATTGCCATTTGTGTGAGACCTTGAGATCGCTACGTGATATCATGCGCGAGAGGTCACCTGATTGCAAAAGTCTAACCATTAACGTTTCTTAAATATGCCGTCTGCCGAAAGGGTTTGTTAACTTTCTTTACACTTGATTACTTTTCATAGAATTGCTATTACATCATGTGACTCACAACTATCACAGATTGGAATCATGTGATATGTTCTCACCCTAAATGCAGTTTCGTTGTTAAGATAAAATAAAACAAAAGTAATTCACTGGTTTAAACAGGCGATGTCGTTAATCTCCAAATTTAACTTTTAAAGGAAAAAGATATCAAACTGCTTCGCGTTTATTATGGGACATTCAGGAATAACAATGAGAGCCAAGGGGCGTGCTCGGTCAAACACGCCAACCACACATCGAAAGTATTATCGATTATCTAAAGCAATGCAGCTGAAAATCAAACAGCGAAAGCATATTTGGTTTTCTTTGAAGACCACCGGATGTTGAGCGGTTGGAGAGGTTGAAAGGCGATACATAAAAAATTTACGGATGTGGGTGATTAGATAGGCCTAACTCAATTTAGTTGAAGTTTGGTAAAGAAAACGGCAAAAACAAACGAACGAACAAAAAACAACAACAACAAACAAACATGTGGATATTATTTTTGTGAGTAGTTTTATCGTTTGCTCTGTGACCCCCAAAAAAAGTCACTGAAAAAACATCGGAATCTTCAAAATAACAAAATGTCAAATCTAAATTCTTAGATACTACGGAGCCACTGTGTTTCTTCAAAAGAGATCGCGATGAGATTGAGCCTTTAGAAAGGAACTATTCCGTAACAATGACAGTTTCGTTTTTCCTATTTTTCCTTCTTCTCGTTGATTGCAACCATAAGAAGTCGTTCGAAAAAAAATTAAAAGGGTAGTTTGAGTACCAATTCTCAGGGAGACAATGGTAAAATTTACTTTCATTTAGTAGCGTGTTTATACCCTTCTTCGCCAATTGGCGATTTTTATGGAGTTAAGTGATTGTTTGGAGAGTTTGGTGGCATTCCTAGTCCATAGCGTAACTGTGGTTGATGGGCAATAAAATTCTGATGAAATGATTTGGCACAAGGCTAATGTAAGTCAAACTGACGTGATGGGTGATTTTGTCTTATCTTACTTTTGTTCTTTTATTTCTTTCTTGAAGCAAGGTCAACGTGCCCTGCAGTTCCGACTGTACACAACGATTGCAAAATAATTTACAATCGCTGCTCATCAGACGAAGCTTGCTCAAATGGACTGAAATGTTGTCCATCTTCTAGAGATAATGGCTGCTCTCTTCGGTGTATTAAACCACGAGAACTCGGTAAGTGAAGATCCAACACGGATTGTTAGGGGGACTGTATGTCGGTATAATTGTTAAGGAATACAGCAAACTGCACCTGATCAAAAAGAAAAATAATACGAGGTCCACTTCTTAGCTCGTCCCGATAAATTTTCGCGTCTGCCCAGTATTTGAAGTGTTCTTGTATTTGTACGAAGCGTGCGAGCAGGTTGGGAGTGAGACCAATTCTTGTGAGAACCTTTGAAGACCAGTTGTCGACCTCATAACGAAAATATTTAATGATTTTTCCGTGTTTGTTTTTTGGAACATGTATACTCCTTACTTTGTCTCCATTTAAGAGGCTCGCGATTCGTTTGAGCTCCTTTAAATTAAATATTTTAAAAAGATTGAAAAGCTATCAGTAAGTTGCGTTTCATGACCTGCACGTTGACACATTGATAGTGGAAAAAAAAGCACCGATGTACAGTTGTACTAAAAAATGGCGATTATCGCTAGTTGGTGATTGAGAGAAATTACGAATTTTAAGAGGCTAAAACACTGGAAAAGTAAGTAATAAATTTGTTCCGAAAATCACACGGAAACAACAATACATATTTCTGTAACAGCCTTCTTGGTTTATTGTCCTTAACAACTTTGCCTCTGAGCTACTGGCAACTTCAGTAATTCTGTTGTCAGTCTCCAATTTCACCAGATGATTCAGTTCTTACTGAATCCCTTGCTAAAGATTGATTCAATATTTCAATGCAGAGGGCTGCCCCGAACCCTTAGACTTCGCTTTCGTGGTTGATACTTCCGGCAGCATCAGTAGACGGAACTTCGTAAGGCAGAGAGAGTTCATCGAGCAGATGATCGATGGTTTCGACATATCAGAAGAAGGAACCCATGTTGCTATAGTAGAATACAGCAGTACAGCGTCTGTCGTGTTAAAATTTAATAGTTTCACCGGAGTCCAGCTGAATGCAGTTAATCTAAAACGACAAGCCCGTAAGCTTCCCCATCAGCGTGGATATACCTACATAGATAAGGGTCTGCATTTGACAAACACGGAGGTGTTTTCTGTAAAAGGTGGAATGAGACCAAATGTTACAAAGGTAAGAAAAGGAAGGACTGCTGGGTAGTTTTTTTGTACTTACAGATTAATGACCGGTTTTGATTTTGATTTCACTGCTCCAAGCGTAATCGGAGTTGAGAACATGAAAGTTTATCACTAAAGGGCTGTCGCCGGAAAGAATCAAGGTAAAGTTGATTTAAAGTCATGAGAATCATGACCAAAAGGGGAAATTTTTCCTTCCTTAAAATAGGTTTAGACCCTAAAGGCCGGACATTCACAGGAGGTTTAACCCCAACCGCGGTTTTACGCAAGCAGTGGGCCGCACGTCTTCTCTATAAGAGGGATGTTTTCACTAAATAAATGTCCTTGCACTGCTAGCTTTCGGCCCTTTTGACACAGGTAACAAAAATAAATGTTCAGATAAAAGATTCACCTAAATTCAAAATATTTTAGAACGTTAAACAAGGGGTAAAGTTTGTTTAATGAACCGGCCCTCCAAGATTTCATTCGTAAATAATATCCACATGTTTGTTTGTTGTTGTTGTTTTTCATTCGTAATATAAGTTATAACGATACAATTCGTATTTTCACGATTTCTGTGTTACATAAAACTTTACCACTTACGGCATGTTGAGGACCCAGAGATCCACCTTACCTTATAGAAAAGTGTCTTTACGTATGTTTATAAAACTTTAACAGTGGAGACCGTCATTTCGATAACAACTGAGTAAACTTGGCGCACACTCAAAAGGACTGCTCACTGTTCTAAAGTCGCTGTAAGACTACGTATCGCGAAAAAAAAACCTTTATTTGAGTCAAGACTGCCTTTTTGTGGCTCCTCGTTGTCCGGACGGATCGACAAGGGATGGCAAAAATAATGTCTTGATCAGGTTGTAAAGCAAGGTGCAAGGTTTAAAATGGCGGTGTTCTTAGTTTTCTCGAAGTGACTATCGTCATTATTGACAAAAAAACGTTTTTAGAAAATTTAAAAAACCTGGAGTGTAGAGCATACTTCTTTAACTCTTGACATAATTGTCTCCTATTTTTGTATAGATCGTTCTGGTAATGACCGATGGAAGACAGACGGTGGGGGAAGGATTTCTTTCCTCCGACATTCTCCATGACGCTGTTCAACCTCTGAAAGACAAAGGCATTCGTGTGATTTCTCTGGGTATTGGAACAGGTACCCTGCTGTTTGACCTTTTGACACTTGCTTCCACGGATGAGGATGTGTACTCAGCTGCAGATTTTAAAGAGCTTAAAAATTTGGTTACAGAGCTGACTGAAAGAAACTGTCCAGGTATGGTGTCCCTTTCAATATTGGCCACACCCTTTTTTAAGGTGAAGTTATTTCCTTCGTTGATGCAATTAAAAGGCAAACGTATCCAGAATAATGCGTAAAAAATAGGGTTTGAGGAAGACAACTCTATCAAAAAGCATAAAAAATCAACAAACTTAGTCTAGTTAACTCTGGGAAACATGCAGATCAGAACAGAAGTATTTTGAGAAATTTTGTCCGTTACCATTTCTGTTTCTTTATAATTGTGTTAGAAATAATTTCCTGACACTCGTCGTTCAGTTGACTATTTCTTTTATTCCCTCTTTTATTACTCAAGTTATTACAACGAGGACTAGCTTTGATCTCTCTAGGGAAGTGTGGGTCACCGCTTACAAAGGCGACACTTACTGAGCTGTCAATCTCTAACCTTCGTCATGCTTTTACACTTAAATAGCGAAGCACGCTAAATTATGCAGAGCGGAGTACGCATACTAAGTGGATACCTTCGCGATGTTTACGTTTTACGAAATGTCTTTCTAACTTAAATCGCTTGGTCTTATGGTCAAGTTCGGGTAAAACAAAAACAAGCTTGATAATATAAAAATTATAATAAACTTACTAACAGAAATAATCTTAAGAGAAAATAGTCCTTGAAGACTGTTGCATAACAGCAGAATAATCACAAAATTCGGACAAGAAAGGGCGTACCCAAGGTACCGCCCCTAAAGAGCTACATGCTAGTCGTATAAGTTATCTGATTACAAATTCAGTGCGGAAGATGAAAAGTACTATATGTTTACACTTAAAGTCACCTCTAAGTAAAAGAGGTGTCGAGCGTGCTAAATTATGCCTGTAAGATAAGACCGCCAAAAGGAATATGTAATTATAAACTGGCTTATTATAATTTTTACTGAGTGGTTTGTGCTAATATATTATTTTAATTTATTTTCACGTTCAAATAAGTCAAAAATCACTTATAATGAAAATTCTTGCTAGATGCCAATTTTGTCTTTTAACAATTGCCACCCGATAGTTTGTCGATTTCTGTGATTGCATTCAAGACTCAAGAGAAATAGGAAAATGATTAAGCTACGTCACGTATTTGAAACTCTGCATAATTAGATCCTTTGCAAAGGGCAATCCATGAAAGAGCTCCGTCTTAATCATTTTAATCTTTTTCTCCGCGAGGAAAACAGCAAAACGATTGCTTGGTAGAAAAAGATTCACCAAAATTGGTTAGGAATAACAAAGATTATAAATGATTGTAAGTGGCCGACAAAAACATTTAGGCTACATTTCGTGATGCTCATATTGAAATGCAGCATCTCTGGGTCGCAGGGTCAATGTGCGTCCTTTTGAGGGTAATAGCCCTGATCTACCTCATTAAATACTTAATTCTATACCACAGTTCATGGAAAATGGTCTGACTGGAGAGGCTGGGGTGACTGCACAGTACCATGCGGTGGTGGCCAACAGACAAGATATCGGGATTGTGACAATCCTCGTCCGGCGTACGGAGGAAGGCAGTGTCCTGGTGCCAGCGACGAGACACGTCCATGCAACGAGTTACCATGCGCCGGTAAGGATATGATTTAACTGTGCCGAGCCTTACTAAAGAGGAATAATGGGAAGGGTCTCGATGAATTATATTTAAGTAAAGTGATTGACCTTGTGAAACCTACATTTTAGAAACAGTCATGTGTTTTATTTAACAGTTGATGGGGGCTGGACCGAGTGGAAACCGTGGGAAATATGTCCAGTGACTTGTGGAGGAGGAATACAGAAACGATATAGAACCTGCACAGATCCCCCACCTTCTCATGGCGGAAAAAATTGCTCCGGGGAAGGCATACTTACTCGTCCTTGCAACGAGGAGCCCTGTCCAGGTATGCAAACATCAGTCTTATATCCAAGAAAGGTCAGCCATGAATATTTCTATTTTCACTGCCAAAGAGTGATTTTTTCTTTTCATCACCGCTTCTTCATCAATCAATCAATAAATCGGTACTGCGAATGAATTAGAACATGGATTATGAAATAAAGATAGATTAGAAAACATAAGAACACGATCGCTCATTTCAGTTTTCCAAATTTTGAATCTTTTTCGTGCTTTACTGATGCTATGACTCAACATCCTCCAGACTACTGGAAAGTGGTCGCCTCGGTCTAGAATCGTCCAATTTTCATGTAAATCCTCTTTTCTTAAGTTTTTTGGGCGGACCACACTTACTCTTTAGTAACAAGACGATTGACTTGGTTCCTAATCGCACCATAAAAGATAGTCCTTTGACCAGGAGGCATAGATAAGAATAGGCAGATACAGACTGCTTTAGACTTAGACATACTTTTATGATGATCGTCCAGTGACGATCAAGGTAACCAAAGTGATTTGGTCCAGGATACAATTGTAGTCAGAGGTCATTTCTACCTATTTCAAATGAGAAAATGAAAAACGAAAACACCTTACCTCAGCATATGCTAAATAGGCAGAAGGTATTGCGAGGATACGAAGTTTGACCAGCTTCCTGCTTATGTTTGAAGTCGGATGGACGTTCATCTGGCCAAAAAAAATCTGTAAAATGCGTCTTTTTTCACGTGACTCCTATGGATGGCACAGTGTAAGGACGAAAAAGCATATACACTACTTTCAAGGTGGTTGGTTTTCTATTCTGCAGTTAATGGAAACTGGACTCAGTGGGAAGACTGGAGACAATGCAGTGTGTCGTGTGGTGGAGGAACACAGAGTCGTGGTCGGACCTGTACTAGTCCTCCGCCGCAATTTGGTGGTCGAGACTGCACTGGCGAGAGTCAAAATACGCGGTCTTGTAACGACCAACCGTGTCCAAGTAAATAACTTATTGTTACTGTTTCAGCGTGGCTCTTCCCTCGTTCTCTTTCATTTTTCTTTTACACATTCATATGAAGTCCTTTTTCTTGGAGTTCACTTCTATCACCTTTAGACGAGTTAATCTTTTCATACACCATCTTTATGATGTGATAGTGAACATAACACAATAACTATAACCACCACTAACGTGAAATGTTGTTGGATGCATAGTTGATGGAAGGTGGACAAGATGGAGTGATTGGGAGGCTTGCTCTAAATCGTGCGGTGATGGTACTCAGTTGTCCCGTCGATCATGTACCAATCCTTCCCCTGCGTTTGGAGGAGCTGACTGTGAGGGAGATAACGTACGGTCAAGGCCGTGCAAAGAAATGGAATGTCCTGGTAAATACTGATGCTTGTTACGAAGTAAATCATGCTTTGTTTGATGTGCTTGAAACATCTCAATGATGTTCAATTTTTTGTCCGGAGCACCTTAAATGTTTATCAGAGGTTTCTTCTTGTCTCCTGGTCATGGATTGCGGAAATTTACTGCTATTCTTTTGGAAATATAAAGCAGTTTTTTTTTTGTTGGTTTGTTTTTTGTGTTCTTCCTGGGCTGTTCAAAGTTTTGATGAAGGTTCTTTCAGCTGATGAGTAATTTGTTCCACAGTTGATGGAAATTGGACCGATTGGGGATACTGGGAGGTCTGCAGTGTGACTTGTGGTGGAGGAGTGCAAAGCCGAACTCGGACTTGCACTAATCCCTCGCCACATTTTGGAGGCCGTGACTGTGTTGGAGAAAACGTCGAGGAGCGTTCATGTAACGACAACCCATGTCCAAGTAAATACTTCTTACTATTCTATTTATCACTGTTCACTGTACGCTATCATGTTTTTACATTTCAAGACCGATTCTTCTAACATTGCCTAACGTGTTTTGTTTCTAAATCAATAAGTCAAATAATTTGTACTTAACTATCTCCGAAAAAAGGAATTCATACCTCCTCCACATTTGCTCCTTTATTCTTTGATTATTCTCTGAAGTCTGAAAAATATCGCAAGTCTAATGTCTCCCTATCACTACATGTGTAGTTGACGGTAGGTGGACAAGATGGGGAGACTGGGAACAATGTTCCATGACATGTGGTGGTGGAATTCAAGCGTCCAGCCGATCATGCACTGCTCCTGCGCCTGAATTTGGAGGAAAAGATTGTGAAGGGGACAGCTGGCGTTCTCGAACCTGCAACGAAGAGGAGTGTCCTGGTAATTACGTTTAACAAGGCGCACACTTCCAATGATTTAGATTGCAGAATGAAAATATTATGCTGTTCGTGTGTGTTATTGGAGTTTTGCTTTGTGAGTGTAATTGATTCAAATATACTTCTATGCCTCCTGGTCATCAATAGCGAGCCGCCTGAATGCATTTCGTGTAGTACTCCGTGTTTGGTGTTGTTGTTTCTGCATGGTCCATCCAAAGTTTAAGGCAGACGTATCACAACGGTGGATTCATTTATTCCACAGTTGATGGAAAGTGGGCCGATTGGGGGGATTGGGAGCTATGCAGTGTCACGTGCGCTGGAGGAAAGCAGAACCGATTCCGAACTTGCACCAATCCACCGCCACGATTTGGAGGCCGGGACTGCAGCGGAGTAGGACAGGACGTGCGTTCTTGCAATGAAGACCCATGTCCAAGTAATGAATACTTATTTTTTCTCTCGAAATCTACCTGTATATTTTTTTCATATTGATAGGGGAAGCTACTTATTATTCAAGATACACAAACGAACCGCATCAACAATAAAAAGGTGACTGAAAAGGCCACCAACGCCACCAGAACCACTATTTCTTTGTAGGCTTATTCAAGAAAACCAGAAGGTGTTTCTCTCCATCTGTTTCATTGTTAGTGGTTACATTCAAGCTTATTCAGCGCCGCTATCTATCATTAAGCCCTTCTACCAACTATTGGAGCAAACTGATAATTAAGACATTTGGACATGAACCGATAAGTACAGAGAGTTATGAGTTCAGCTGCCTCTGACACGTATCACTTATGAACAAACATTTGCAGTCGACGGAAGGTGGACAAGGTGGGGAACATGGGAACCATGTCCAGTGTCATGTGGTGGTGGTATTCAGTTATCTAAGCGGTCTTGTACCAATCCTGCACCTGCATTTGGAGGAGACGACTGCGAAGGGGAAAGCGTTCGCTTAAGATCCTGCAACGAACGAGGATGTCCTGGTAAATTCGATTGACAGTCTTCCACTTGTACTTTTCCATGTTATTCATTATCACACCCTTACCAAAAGAGAAAGAATCATTGTCAGTTTGCTACCTTTTGCGCATTTGCCATATGTAACGGATGGTTTTATAAAATCAATCTTCTCCTATCTTCTGTGGCGATTTCTCTAAGGAAAAATATTTGGTAACTTTGAAAACAGGGAAGGAAGCTTGAGAAATCGATTATGTGCTTAACTTAGAAGAGACGTTCATGGTTTCATTCTTGTTCTCATAACTTAGAATTGCCAATAATGATTTCCTCCGGCTTTTTAAAATTGGTATTGTTCTACCTCATCCTGATATCGTGATAATCATAGAAAGGTGGGTATCATTTAGTCTCTTCCCTCCACTTACTTTGCTAATTTTCTTATCGCTTGATTAAGCTGACGGAAACTGGTCAGAATGGAGCGAGTTTACCCCTTGTACCCTTTCTTGTGCCGGTGGAATACAAAATCGCTCCAGAACATGCACCAACCCACCACCGAAAAACGATGGAAAATACTGTGCAGGAGAGAGCAGTGAAGTGCGACTGTGCAATACTCTGCCATGTCCAGGTAAGCACGTCAACACCTAATTCTTTTAAATACATGTGAATCGTAAGGTCGTTATGAGGTGTACAATAATCGCATGGACAGTAACAGCAGACATAAGCTACACAACTGTAAGAAAAGAAACACGATCTTGCATAAACACCACCCCATACACACATTCACCTAAAATTCTGTGACCAAAGGTGCTATACGAAAAGTTTTTGAAAAATTTGGAATGTAATCACGAGTATTTCCTTTGTTATCTAATAGTCGACGGAGGATGGTCACTGTTCGGAGAGTGGGGCTCATGTTCTCTGACATGTGGAAGTGGAGTTCAAGATCGACAAAGAACTTGTACCAATCCCTCTCCAGCCTTCGGTGGAAGACCTTGTGACGGTTCTAGTATGGAGACCAGATTTTGCCAGCAATTTCCATGTCCAGGTAATTTGAAGGAAGCAATCCAGCTTCATTTAACGACTCTGTTTAACTGTGAGAAAGAAAAAACTAAGGTTCGTTTTGTATTCTAGTCTACTCGCTATAAATCTCGTCGAAAGATATTTGATATAAAGCTGTGAAAAAATATGCATTTTTTTTCCGGTTTATCGAACTATTTTGTTGCTTCAACGACTCCTGTTAGCGAAAAAAAGCAAAACCAGTATTTTATGTTGCTAACCATCTCCTTCATGATCGAGATCTTTAAATTCAAGCAAATTACTTTTCTCAATGATTATGGGCTCTCTATTTTCTACGAGCTTCCAAAATCCTTTTTTGCATACTCATCTCTTCTCAAACGGCATGCTGATAATTTTATAGACGTAACGTGTCGTTTCATGGACTGCTTAAATTGCCATGATTCACGTGGTAAACAAACGAGGAAAGACTATCTTCTAAGGCTTAGGAATGGTAGATAAAATTGCAATAAGTCTTAACGTCGGGTAAAAAGAAGAAGTGTCCTGAAGCGCTCTATCTCCTTCAGTAAATGGCAGGTGGACTGGCTGGGACAGTTGGAGCCCCTGTACAGTCAGTTGTGGTGGTGGGCAACAGGAACGATCCAGATCATGCACCAATCCTCCTCCAGCACATGGTGGCGCAGACTGCGAAGGACCCAGCAAAGAGGTTCAATCCTGCAATGAGAACCATTGTCCGGGTTAGATTTGGACCTCTTTACTCCTTCTCTGTAGGGATAAATGCAGATTTTCTAGGATACCCTTGAAGAAGCAACAAATATAACCATAACTCATTCTCTTAAATTAGTTGCAGAATTTTATATCATTGTTTTAGCCACGGTGGTGTTTTAGCTTCTCTACAAATATCTGCATACAACTAATTTATCCTATTCCAGTACCGATCCAGTACCGATCTTCGGGTGACTTGTTGTTTCTGTGATGTTTCATCTTGTTAAAATTACTCATAGAAAAGAAGATTACATGTCATATGTCTCTGCCAATTTTTTTCAACCTATCCGCCTTGATCTTTTCCTCGTCATTTTGGTAGTGGACGGTAAATGGACAGTTTGGGGAAACTGGGGCATTTGTTCTTTAACGTGTGGAGGTGGCGTGCAAGACCGTTCAAGAACTTGTACCAATCCTCCACCGGCCTTTGGTGGAGCGCAGTGTGTTGGACCAAGTAGAAGCACGCGATTATGCAACGACAATCCATGTCCAGGTAATGATAAAACAATTGTCTTTTAAAATAATGTAAATAAACACTTAACTCAGTACTCCACAAAATATACAGGTAATCTTTGTTTTGGAGCAGCGAAGTTAGCTCCTTGCATTAATCGAGTGATTAGTCGGCAGCCATACTGTTGAATGGTCGTTCATGGAGTAGTTGCTTGTTTAGAGGTATTTCTGTTCGTTTGCTAGTTCTTCTCCGTGAATTCTTCTATCTTATTTTTTACTCATTCTTTTTCTTTTTCATGTAGAAGTACATCCTGCATTAACACTAACATACCCAGGTGTCGGCGTCGAGGGTCGCGACATTGCATGCACCTTGCCAAAAGGCTTGTTTTCACTTACACCATTCATGAATCATGAACTATTTTTCATGTTTTACCATGGCTTTCCTTCTTCAGGGGACGGGAAATGGTCTGCATGGAAACCCTGGTCTCCTTGCAGTGTGTCATGCTCATTAGGAACTCAGAGTCGATCCCGCACCTGTACCAATCCTCCTCCAACTTTTGGTGGTAAAGACTGCGTGGGAAAGAGTGATGAAACCAAGTCCTGTAACAAGGGACCTTGCCCGGGTAAGTCACCCTTTTAGCTGGGATTTATAATGAAAGTCCGGGCTTTAGGAGGCCATCTTAAATGCATAGTTGATATGTGGCCCGTTCAGATCGGGGAAGATTAGATACAGTAATGACAAAATTTCACTTGATTAAGGACATTAGATATCACCTCAAGATGCAAGTTCTTTACTTACACACTACTTTAAAGACGAATTTCTCCTCAACAATGGAAATGGTAATTATTTCAAGAAGAATTGCTCTCATTATGGAGAAATACGAACGGTTGAAATAAAATTCCCATTGTAAACGTTAAATTTTTTGGTCGTACAGACACTACCTTGTATTCGTCTGCATGAAAACACAAACAGATATTTAGTTTTTAAAATAATTTTATTTGATACCTCTCTTTTCGTCAATGAAAAAAACTTCTCACAGTGAATGGAAGGTGGGCAAGATGGAACCCATGGGGCTTATGCCCAGTGAGATGTGGGGGCGGAACTCAAGTACGTTCACGATCCTGCACTAATCCCCCACCCGCCTTTGGTGGAGCAAATTGCATCGGAGATAGACGACAGGTCCAATCATGCAATGAGCAACCGTGCGAAGGTAAACTTTATTTCTATTCTCCCTGAGTGAATGATGTCTATTACTTTATCCAGGAACGAGCAGCTTCTGTTAAAGACAAGAACCTCGCTAATGGTATGAGTCGCTTATGAGTATTTTTTATCGCCCTTAGTGGTGCGTTCAACCACGAAATCTTCACTGGCTAAAGTTTAAAAGCTAGTGTTGCCGAGTGGTTAAGGCACTGAGACTGTAATCTGGTGTTCCCTTATTCAAGCCATCTAACTACTATGTTTTAATTTCGCAGTTCATGGTAACTGGGCAAGATGGCAAAGCTGGAGCAAATGCAGTAAGAGCTGTGGTGGTGGAGATCAGAGCCGAATGCGAACCTGCACAAATCCACCACCTCTTCATGGTGGCAGGCAGTGTTCAGGAAGGAACAAGGAGACTCGCTTTTGCAACAGACGGCCGTGTCCAGGTAAGAGCGAATCGTTCGGCCTGACGAAGGGCCAACAGTCGAAACCTCCATTTTAGAAAATCCTTACGTTCGCAAATTTAACAACTGCGCTGAAAAAACTCAAATTGTCTTGTATTATCCCCACCAACGCAGCATCACCGTTTCTTTAGAAACTTACCCCCTTTATACTAGTCCTGGATTTTATTTTACCTTTCATGAGTAAAATCTGACTCTGAGGGTGATTAGTCGAGGATAAATAGTCGTCACAGTACCCTACTATTACGAGGTTTACAAAATCAGTTAGCCAATAATAGCCGGGAACGGAATTATGATTAATAGCGAATTGAAATTTGCAAATCAATGGTTGGGACAAAGCAAAACGTTTTCATCGAGTTTATGAGCGGTTCATTCACGTCTCCTGGGACAGGATGAGTCAGTCTTTCGTTATTGGCTTAGTGACTCCGGTAGTCGCTTGAGAATATTTACCTAAGCGTACATAGTAATAGCTTTCAATGTCTCACGTATTCAACAACAATTGTGCAAATCGGACCATCCATTTAATGAAAAAGCGGAGATAAAAACATGATGAAATTTTGATTTTTCTCTTCCCTGATGAAACAGTCGACGGCAACTGGGCTGACTGGAAACCATGGAGCAGGTGTTCACGATCATGTGGAGGAGGAACACAGGTCCGTTTGCGTACTTGCACCAATCCCCCACGTTCCAATGGTGGATCATGGTGTATTGGGAGCCAACAGGAAAGACAATCCTGCAATGAAGATAAACTGTGCCCTGGTAAATAGTTTGAATAAGTTCATAATGATAGATACCTTGAGCTGTGTAATGATGGTGTTAATAATCAAACTTGGGATCAACGAAACGAATGCTCTGCTTCCTAAGAATTGATGTTTACGATTTAAATTGCAGGTAGCTGGAAAATTTAAGGCTGCCTTACGTTTAGTTCGTGCGTCTTGAACTCTGAAAGGAGAAGCAATTCCAACAGTATCATAAATATGTATATATAGAAAATGCAAGCTGAAGGACACTCGTTGGTACCCACAGCCACATAATGGCTTTTCATCACTTCTAATGGAACAAACTCCATTTTTCTCTATTAGCCCTAATGGCATTTTTCTCAATCGCTTTATTTACTATAACCCAATCAGTTGATGGTGGTTGGTCCTTCTGGAGTTACTGGGGACGATGCTCAGTTTCCTGTGGATCTGGAGTAATGTATCGAACCAGAACTTGTACCAGTCCCCCACCAGCGCACGGTGGAGTACGGTGTCGGGGAGAAAGCAGAGAAATTTATTACTGTGAGAGATCATCCTGCCCAGGTAGCTACACGACATTACTTTAACTCTATTTTCGTCATTGTTTTCTTTCTCCAAAGACTTTATATATAATGAAGCAAGGTGCTGCGCGGAAATCGTAAAATATGTGTTTGAATATGATTTTGCAATTTTCTGTTTAAAACTTTACAGAAAAATAAACGAAACTTGTTCTTAAGAGGGTCATGGATCCAGCCCTTGGTAACCCCCCCCCCAGACATTTACCGTTCCTGACGCCATACACCCCGAAATTCTAAGCATTATTAACCTTAATGTGTTTAAGTTGTCACTCTGACGAAAGGCTAACAATCGAGACATCATCTTCAGGAACGTTTTAAGGCGGCCAGTTTGCATTATCAACTCATTTGATATAACCAAGTTATCATGTAATATTCCCCACCGACACTGAACCACAGTTTCGTTACGGGAACTTACCCCGTTATTCATTTATGGTGTGACAGTTGATGGTAATTGGGCTCAGTGGGGTCGTTTTAGCCGATGCTCAAGGAGGTGTTCAGGTGGAGTTAAGCGTCGTTACAGATCTTGTTCTAATCCGCGTCCGTCCAATGGCGGTAAGCAGTGTCCTGGCGAAGCGGTGGAAGAAATTCCTTGCAACACAAGACCTTGTTCAGGTAATACTCATTACGGAGTCCCTTTTGATTTAAATTAAACAAAATTATCTCTTAATTTAAACTGACATCTTCTCACAGATTGTTCAGACGATCTTGTCACAGAATGATCGCCTGAGCTTTAGATATGAATGTTAAGTAGAGTGTAATAACCCTCTCGGTGTTTAAAACCCATTAACAAGGGACCGAGCTTACGACTGACTGTGAGCCAACACTCTTTACCCACGTAAGCTCTATTTAAGAGCGCAAATCTGAATGTTCTGGCCTTCTTTCCACGAGGAATACTCAAATTTTATCTATATATTATTTTATTTTATTGTGAAAAATTACAATGGTTCTCACTTCTTTGCGCGAAAAATGGCAATTTTCCCCTCTCTTGCTTTTTTTTATCACTTTGTCATCGACACATCAAGGAAACTCATATTTTAGAATATGAGTTTATTACTTCAACACTGTAACCGAAATTGGAACCGAAGAAAACCCTCATGACATTTTTAGCTCGATTTTACATTCGTTTTGCACAGTTGGCTCACAAACATTGATTAGCTATGTAATACCTATGTAATACATATCCTCGTTTTGATTTTCATTTTAATAGTAAATGGAAACTGGGGCCGATGGGACAGCTGGAGTCCATGCTCAAAAACTTGTGGAGGCCTGGGGCGGAGAATAAGAAGAAGGCAATGCAACAACCCCCCTCCCTCTAACGGAGGCAGATATTGTGTTGGAGACAGTACATTAACGGCCTCATGTGCCGCGTGGTTACCTTGTGAAGGTGAGTATAGAAGATATTTGATCCGCAAACTGTAAATAGAAGTTGAGGAACATAAGTATCAAGTTACTGGAACTTATGGCTCTGTTCGTCTTTAACTAAAATTAATGTTTACTTCAATACTTATCTTGATAAACAAGTAGGTTGAATTTGCACTCGAGATAAGCGGCTCATCCAGCCTGAGCTTATCCCGGTTTTCATAACATGAAGCGACAAGGAGTATTACTACTCCCTCCTGCTACCCCCCTCCCCCCCCCCCCCCAGCATTTCATGGAGAGAGGCACTGTGACAGTAAAATGTTGTTGCTCAAAAACACAACACAATGACTAGGCCAGGTCTCGAACCAGGACCTCTCGACGCGGACCCCAGCTTACCAACCATCTTGCCACAAGTAGGAAATGCCTTCATGCACTCTGAGTGGGTTTACACCTATTATGCTGTTTTGTTTTCTTAGTGAGCTGCAACATCCCTCTGGACTTTGCTATCATCGCCGACACATCTGGCAGCATTTCCAGAAAAAACTTTCAGCTTCTTCAAAATTTCATTCGTGGTCTGGTGGATAGCTTTCAGGTGGATGAAGATTACACCCATATAGCTATTATAGAGTACAGCACCACTGCTTCTGTGCAGCTCCATTTCAATGACTTGTCTGGAAAAAATCTGACCAGACAAAACGTAAAGGAAAAGGTTCAAAGCATGCCCCATAAACGAGGGTACACGTACATCGACAGAGCATTACGTATGGCAGACCGAGACGTTTTCACATACGCCGCTGGCATGCGATATAACGTGGATAAGGTAAATATATATATTCTCGATCACGATCACAATCGAGCTTTAATTTTAAGGAGTAAGCGACCAGCACTAATAACCTGTTGATTACGCTTCAAAAAAGCTTCTGCTTCAAAGATTCTAGTCAACCATAATGTACTGAGTGTATGTCCCAAGAATTCCACCATTTTCATTTCCGTCGTCTATGAGTTTTTTTTTTACTCATTTTTCTTAATTTTCTAGAATAAATCCTTGCAGGTGTGTCTTATTTACATCTTAAATTTTCGTCAGTCTCTGTAATAAAGAATATCAGTGCTTGCCTGAGATTCACTGTTATTTATCTAATATCAACATTTTATCAATATTTTGTAGAGAAGAAAAACTTGACGGAATTTAGTACAGAAGTTTGCATCTCTTTGCGAACTTATGGTTTGACGGTTCGAGCTCACTCTAGGCTCTTAGTAAGTGAGCTGCGCGAAAGAGCGCGCTAACGAAAAGCGGTATTGCGGTTGTCAGAGAAACAATTATAGAATGACCCCTATGTTCTAGATCTTCACTTAACCACCCGCCGGCCCGCCAGCATATTTTATGCGTCCACAAACAGAGAACCCGTCATAGGCTAGACAGCACACCACGGCAACTGAATTCGATTCGTTCACATTTCGATGGCATCAATATCTGCTTTGTCATTTAACACGTTTGACATTTGACTCTGTTAGGTGGCACTCGTAATGACGGATGGGGTGCAAACAGTTGAAAAGAACTCCAGGAAGTCAGACATCGAGATTCTTACCGAAGCTTCAAAGCCTCTTAAAGAAAAGGGCGTGCGCATCATTTCGCTTGGAATTGGAAAGCGGGTCAATAGGAAAAGTCTGGAGGCCATTTCCTCAGGCAGAGACGTGTACTCTTCACGAACCTTCTCTGAACTCAAAACATTAGTGAAGAAATTAAAGAAAGGAACCTGCCATGGTGAGAACAAAGGAATTGATTAAAAATAGAGAGAGTTGTACGCACAGAACTATAACTTGCGGCCTGTGCGAGGCGTTCAGTGAGTTAAAAATAGAGCGAAGTAGTAAAGAGCGCGATAGTAGAGGTGGATTAAAAAAAAGCGAGGGATCTGGGGATTGGAGCATTACGCGACTCCTCCGCTTCTGTGGCACTGTTTTTTATCCCGCTTCGTTTTATTAACTGAACGCCTGGAACAGGCTGAAGAACCTGACCCGGACAGAAATCCGGAAAAAAAGCTTCCCAACAGTAATATCCAGTTTCATTTTATTTCGCTAAAAACCCCATTCTCCTCTGCTGTTATAGTTGTCATCTACAAACACGCAGGTATTATCTCAAACTTCAGTCAGTTAAAGCGTGCCATTTTTTTTAATGCTGAGTTTCCTACTAAAACGTTAATTTTCCAACCTATTTTATTAATATTTATGTCACTGATTGCGTGTTTTCAAATTTCTTTTCTTTTCTTTTTCAGCGACAGCGGCAGGCTACAAATACGTAAGACGTACAAGATAGATCTGACATCACAGATCATTTATCGCCTCGCAATCCATTCAGAGCCACTCTCTGCAGTAAAGTAACGAGCAAAGGGAAACAAAACAGACTAACAGTATTATGTTTGGGAGCTTCGGTGAACTGACAGGTTGTTCTTTTCCAGGCGTAATATTATCATCAATGCAAGAGATTAACAATCCACTAAATTGGTTTATTAAATTTGATACCCACTGACCTGTCATTGTTAACCGGTGGGGAGGGGAGAGGGAGGATTTTAGGTGGGGGGAATCACATAGTATTCAGTCAAGGGGAACAGCAGGAGATCAATCGTTGAAAGAGAGAGTTTAAATGGGGCACAATAGAAAATTGACTGCCTTAGACGGGAATCATCCAAATTCTACAAATCCTTATAGGGGGGACCAGGTAAATTTTATTGTGCATCAACAAGAGCCCATCACAAGTGATAGGCTCCTGGCATCAACCAAGCCCCACCCCCAACCCCCCCCCCTCCTTCCCACGGCGATAGACAATGATTTTTCCCTCATGGTGACAATAATGATGATGATGAAAAAAATAATAATAATGATAATGATAATACCAATAATGTAGCCAAGCGTCAGCTAATAAATGCAATAAATTATTGTCCAAAACTTCGGAATTTTCAAAATCAGTAAGTTCTAGATTTAAAAAGGTCCCAGTGGAGTTAATCGTTAACCGTAAAACGGCAGAAAAAAATTAAAGGAATAAAGAAACCCAAATTAAAATTTTAACCGTGGGTTAGCGCTAATAAGCCTTCGAACAACTGGGCCCTGAAAGTTAACAGGCTAGTTAAAATGTTTTTACAGGGTATGTTTAGTTTATATTAGACTAGAATAGAGCTTAAGAGGCAATACCACGTATTTCATGTACATCATATGTGGGGACAACGCTGAGTTAAAAGCCTTAGAACAAATGAACGTGAACTGCAAATTCTCTCAAGCGAAAGTGACGAAATAATGAAGAGTTTATTCATTGTCAGACTTAAGGTAAAGTGCTTTCCCGAAATCGATTGATTTTTATTGCTATTTAGAAAGAATGATGAAAAATTAAATTGATATTAAAGTTAAGTAGCAACAGCATCTTGAGCGGTCGGACTCCAAACAACAACCTTATAGTTGACTATGGACTCCGCTGTTCGAGGTTTAAAGCGATGTGTCGGTATGTCTTAGGTCGCTTTGAACGGTAAATTTGGTTGTACACAGTTTAAAGGGAAGCATGCGTGTGTTTCAATATGTTTGCTTTTAGATTAAAAATAAATAATAAATACAGAGAAGGAAATAAAACTACAGTTATCCAAGCTGCAATTTTAAGTGAATATGACTTGCAAATCAGGTTCGACATGTATGTGAAAGAGGGTGGAGAATTTAGAGATAATGACTGAAATAGGCGTGGAAAATGTTTTTGTTTCGGTCTGAAATGAGACTGGGATCTGTGGAACACACCCGTATGGGCAGCGAATGCAGTCACAAAACTGGCGCCATTCCAGCTCTGTCCTTGTCGTTTTCTCAATAGACCTCCGACTTGTTTTGTCGCAAGTAGTGTTTTGCAATTGATATCGAATCTTCATTTAAGTAGGATTTAAGCCAGCAAGTGTATTTGTCTGTTTTTTATTTGATTTCGTTTTAAATTATTATTCATCTGTTGTTTTGTTTTCATTAGGGTTAAACTGTTTACAGTTGTTTTCATATCCTTGCTCTGACTGGCTAGACACGTCTACAGACATTGCAGTAGTCTGGGCAGTGTCCATGTGCATAAGAGAATTTTCTCGATTTTCACGAAAAGTACGACAGCCAAGAAATAAATTGGATTTAAGTCTTCGTATCACCGTTTGTGAAGTACACTTCTGCGCGACATTATCTTATTAGCATTTCATATTCAGTTGACCTTCCAAGGTGTGCGAACCGGCTTCACTGGCACTGTTGATAAATTGTGTGTGACCGAATAGTTGCAGATACTCTCATGATAAGAATAGCAATGTCAGATCGTGCTATTTGCCTCAAATTCAATGGGTAGAAAGTTCAGGTGAAGTGATAAAAATTTTTTTTGAGGTTATCAGAAGAAAACAAAGCAAACTTGTTTTCCATCCCGATGAAATATTTGTCGAGTTCCCGCTGTTAAGTGAGGTTTTCAGTCTGTTAAACACCTCTGCATCTGTTTTGAAGCTTTTTATGCCATCTCTTCGAATGGATTTCTTTGTGTTCGAAAAAATATTCTTGACTCGATTCTTCCTTTAAAGCCTATTTCCGCATAAAATAATTTTTGTCAATCAGTGAAACGTTAAGACATCTGACGAGCATTTATCACAATATCACCAAAGACGCAGACGGAACAAAGACCTCGTTCGTAAAGTGCTGACCTTCGAAGCTATCAGATTTCGACCTGGAGAGGTCGATCTATCACACATCGCCAGCTAAACTTTTAGCACACAGCTGAGAGCAAACTTTTATTTCGTTTAAACGTTTTTTCACGAAACTTCTCTTGGCCAGTTCTAGTCAACCTACTCTATGAAGACTCTTGTCTTCGTTACCCTGGTGCTGTGGCAAATTAGCAGAGTTGCCGGCCGTAAGTACTATCATTTGTAAGTAGGCGTTATCTTGCCTTGAAGCAAGAAGGTTGAGAAAACTGTTACTCAAACCTTCGAAATGTTGGCGAGGGTTTTATAGTTACACGGTTTAGAGGGTTGTCATACACTTTCTTTATACAAGCAATATCTACTTTCAAGTCATGCCTACTGAAAGCGATCCATTTGGTCTTTAAATTGAAGATTTAACATTAATCCGGCGGCCTTTATCAGATGATCTCTCATGGCGGATTTTATATTTCTTTATTTTTTTCTTCGACAAAACTTCACCCTCATTTAAAGTGTTGTCCGGACAATCGCATGCTGTAGATCTCTCTCTCGAAAAAAAGAAAGAAACTTAAGATTTGTTTTATCTCCGTTAAATGTAATCCAACGTAGGAGACATTTTGCCTAAGTGACGAAGAAATCTGGTAGGTGTAGGAATTTACCCCCAAGTGGAGTAACGGAAACTCTAAAGCTCAAGGTCGCCTCGTAGTATCTGACATATATTCCCTTGATGGCACTATTTGTTAATTAGGAAAATACTAAGGAGTCAAAATCTTGTGTTTTCAAAGCAAAGCGACAAGGACCGTTGAAATATTTAGTAACAGATTTTATGTCTTCATCCCATCCGAATATTTTATTATGGCGAAACCTACTAAGTTTAGATGAAATTAGAATTTTTTTTCCTGGCAATGCTCTCGGTTTTGCTTTCTTATTTGCCTCTGACGAAAAATTAGTATACATTACTTGATGATAATTGAATCTCGGGTTCAGAAATTTAAGAGTTCGCTTCGTAAGCTGTCTCGTCAGTCTGCGGTGAAAGATCCGCGTACCACGCGACCGAAAACCAAAGTAAACAAAAGATGTTTTTAACCTTTATCACAGGCTTTTACTATTTTGCGAAACGAAACGAAGCGAAACGAAACCAGACGAGATACAGCAAATATATTTTGTCTTAAGGTAAAGGTAACCTTCACAAGGATTTTGGAGTAATCGTTAATTGACAAGAAGGATTTTTATTCATTTCGCAAAGAATTAATTTAAGAAGAGTCACTGTCTTGCGAAATCGACTAATGATCCATTTCACAAAATAGTATCTCTTTAAAATCAATATTTTGCGAAATATATTTTAAAACGTTTAAGAAATGAGAGGAGGTCGAAATCTTTGGTGATATTCCAATTTGTAATGTTTAAATGTATTTTTGTGACATGAAAGAGGTCACGTTGTCGCCGCTGGGTGAAAATAGTCGATTTCTTGAAATAGTAACTCTTTTGCGAAATGAATGAAAGTCCTTCCTATCAATTTACACCAAAAGTCCTTGTGAAAGTTATCTTAACCTTGTTAGAAAATATGTCTGCACTATCCTTTTAGTTTCGTCATATCTCGCCTGGTTTCGTTTCGTTTCGTTTCGTTTCGTTTCGTTTCGTTTCGTTTCGTTTCGTTTCGCAAAATAGAATAGGCCTTTTTCAAACGAAACGCAACTTTTGAGCACGAACACATAGTGCGGTCTGCCTGTGCTTTAACCGTCTTCATTTCGCCGATTGAGTATTTAGTATCTCTCCAGGAAACTGCTAGCAACTACGTTATGCGGCAACGGAACTGCAAATTATGTGATTTGGTTGATCAAGTCTTCATCAAAATATAAGTGATACGATGACGCACATATCAGCTAATTACAAGATCAGTAACCTTCTGGTAAAAATCGCTGTAATTGCCCTGAGAGAGCCCTTGCGCTGAGGTCACAAATTTAAGAATAGCAAGCACGTATTGCGAAGATCTATAGTTAGGTAATCAATCTGAGCGAGTCTGGTTTGCAGGGAATTCATTGCTCCCTGCCATATGACGGCTTTGATCTTTTCAACAAGTATCGATCCCTGGAGACTTGTCGTATAGTCAACAAAGGTGAGAAATTGTTTTAATGAACGCAAGGCTTGTCCATTGTGTTAAGAATTCTGTCAATGAAAAACGTGAGAAATACGCGGTTGAATTTTGCTTTGTTTCTTTTCTTTCTTTCCATTTTATTCGTATTTTCCTTTTTTTGTTTGTTTAGTGGCACTTTATTTCTTTCATTCTTTGCCATTAGTACTGAGGGAGGGGTAGGATGAAGTCTATCAGTACTAAGGGAGGGGTGGGAGGTGGAGTGTTATTACTCAGGGAGGGGTGTGAGACGGACAATTACTACGCAGGGAGGGGTGAGAGGTGGTTGTAATGGTAAACACTACTGGTTAATGGAGCTTTAACTCGATCGCACGAAAATTAATTGGTTTCTCGACTGAGTTTTTGTATGTCAAAATTTTAGCGCTGGGCCGCGGCGTTTCTTCATTTTTTTTGTCATGCGAAAGCGAAACTGCCACGTAACACTGGACTTCTACGTTTTGCTGACGGAAATTATCGGCAAGCAACAGTAGCCACCATAGTTCCCCTTCGCAGGTTTCATAGGTTTTAACGCAAGAACTGATCGACAGCGGCTTGGGCAAATTGGAAAACAAACCTAAGGGAGTCGCGAGGAATACCTGGTCGCGATTTCCGGTGTCGGTGATTATCTCCTTTGTTTGCGAAACAGATGAAATCGATATTTGCGCTTTCCCATTTTGAGAGTACAGCAGTGTTTTTGGTCGATTCGAGAACATGGATTCCTCTTCGAAATCGTTCGCTGATGATTTTATATAGTAAAGGTATAAACTTTAAAATTGCGATAGCGCTTGTGAATTCTAAATGCTGCTAAGCTAAGACCGGAAATTCCGTGATCTCGTTTGATGAGATCAATGACAAAAGGAAGATAGTTAAAGTTAGTAGTTACATACTGTTTACACAAAGGGAAACTTGAAGCAACTGATGGTGCACAAATTGACTCAAAAGGCGCACGCATAACTCAACAGTGGAGGATCGTAAATGCGATATTTTCAATACAAATTAAAGTCCAGTGTTTACGTGGCAGTTTCGCTTTCACATGACAAAAAAAATGAAGAAACGCCGCGGCTCAGCGCTAAAATTTTGACATACAAAAACTCAGTCGAAAAACCAATTAAAATTGTTTGTACGATCGAGTAAAAACTCCATTAGCTAGCAGCGTTTCCTATTACAACCACCTCCCACCCCTCCGTGCGTAGTAATAGTCTGCCTCACACCCCTCCCTAAGTAATGACACTCCACCTCCCTCAGTAATGATAGACTTCATCCTACCCCTCCCTCAGTACTAATGGTGTGCTTCCCCCCTTCAAAATGGTCCAAAAATAGTCCAAAAAAATGGTCCAAAAAATGGTCCAAAAAATAGTCCAGTCCATATTTTACCCTATGCCGTGATCTTTCAAAGTATTTCGGAACCTTTGTTGAAGCTCCGACATACATTCTAGAACGTTCTCCGTGTTGCGGTACCCTCTTTCATGTATTTTTGGTCGTTTGTTTTTGTTTTTTTTTTTTAAAAGAACCATTTTTTACAAGAACGTTCAAGCTGAGATTGACCAACATTTTAAGAACATACTAAGAACAGACCCAGGCTGATAGTGAGTTGAGATCGTCTTTATTTTGCTCACTTTCTCTTGCGAGAACTATAAAGACAGAAGAAATGTAAGACTCTGGTCTAACGGGACAATTAACTCAAATACGTGTGGACATTTTTTACCTCAACAATGCGGTTTTCTTAATGCGGGATGCACTGACCACAGGCGTTCGCATTGATTTATTGGAATCATATACCACACAACTTTAAAAACGTGTGAAGAACCTTTCCAGGCTCATCGCAAAAAAAAAGGAAAAAAAAGAAGGCTCAGCCCAATGAAGGAGTGTAGTTCATTTCAAGAAATATGTCTTAGACGATAGAGAACTAAAATAAAAAAGATCAAAGGGAAATCATAGATCTCCATATATCTGTTTATTAAGACTGCAATAAATGAAAACAATTAGAATAATATCAATGATTCAAATAACATATTCTATTCGATTTCTAACTACTTTCTACAGTTGGGTTTTTATTTTGTTTACCTCTAATTTTTTCGTTTTATTTAATTTTTTTGTCACTGTTTTTTCCGTGGCTTAATTTCGTGGGCCACAAGGCATTTTCATTTTAGAGTCAACAACGTCACTTTAACGGCTGTCACAAAAAATGATACCAAAAACAGCAGAAAAGAACCTTTACAGTGACTTGCATCTTAATTTTCCTCACAATGTTACCCTAGAATCAAACATTAAGGTAAAGACAATAACGGAAGAGATATTGATTTTTAGACAAATTCGCTTCACCAGCACCTTAGGAAATATATAGAGAACAATATAGCAATTATGTGTACTGATGGAGGGGTGTTAATGGTTAAAGAAGAAGAAAAAAATTGTACCGTTCCTACGTTCATCTGTAGTTTTTTTCTTAATTATTTTCTTGTAGAGGGCTTGCGTTGTCCCATAGTGACCACATATACTCCAGTTTGCTCAGAAAGGACTGAACACTTTTGTGAATCAGATAAAGAATGCTTGGTGGAGGGGCAAAGGTGTTGTCCATCACGGCAGGGGGCCTGCCAACTTGCGTGTACAAAGGCTGAGATTCTTAGTAAGTACTAAAGGTTCTTTTTCTTTTTCCGATTTTCAATTTTTCATTTTTATTTAGCATGACATGGCGGAAAATCGGCTCGAAATGTGGCATATGGTATCACAAGGGGTTAGGTTGAGTGACTTCACACCCTGTCTCGTCCACGTCTCGTCCCATTCCTCTTTCGCTTTTTACGAGAGGAAAACAAACCTGTGCCAGGCACTCAGTCGGTGAACAGCCTGGTCGATGAAAAAGTGTGAAAAACGCAAACCCGACACAGGGGTCACGTTGCTGGTGCCTAAGTTTCGCGACTCACCTCGAAATGAAAGCCTGTGCGACTGCTGCATGTCTTATACAAAGGGTTTTATAGATTTATTTTGACTTGTAAGCCTGTTGAGGAACAGTAGAAAGACTCATGAATCATTGCTCACAACAGATCAGCAAATTATAGATCGTGTGAGATGGCATTAATTTCTTCTTAAATGTTTTCAGAGGGTTGCCCCAAGCCTGTGGATCTTGCCTTACTCGTTGATGCATCAGGTAAGTGCATTCTTTTTCTTCGTTTTTTTAACTTTTTTTCTGTGCGCTAAGTAATTTTCAGTGTAGAGCTGGCACATTTCCAGAAAATGGTATTCTCCAATGGGACGGGAAGGAGGGTGGGGAGAGAGGAAAGATACTGCCTTAGATAGCCTCACGAAGGAGGGTGGGGAGAGAGGAAAGATACTGCCTTAGATAGCCCCACGAATTTATGTCGCCGAATGGAGTGGTGATTATCTGATTTTCGGACTCTTGGTCTTAAATTTGTCCTCATTCGTCGCCTCCCGGTTCCCCCACCCACCCGTGGCTGCGAAATATACCATTATTTGTGCGTTAACCGGAGTTCACTTAAAGTTTCCCGTTTCTCCATATAGGTAGTATAAGCAGAAGAAACTTTGCCCGATTTAAAATTTTTCTCAAGCGGCTAGTGGACGAGTTCGACGTATCTGAGAGTGGTACTCATGTGGCTCTAGTCGAGTACAGTACAGAAGCGTCAGTCCAGCTAAAGTTTAACGATTTCAGTGGCGCGTTCCTAAACGCAGCCAACGTGAAGCGGCGTATTGATAAAATTCCTCATAATCGAGGACTTACATATATCGACAAGGCTTTGAGTTTGACCAACAGAGAAGTCTTTACTGCCGAAGGGGGAATGAGGCAGAACGTGACTAAGGTAAACATCTTTTGTCTGTGTTATTTTTTTGATAAAATTTCGATTCTTAGAGACAAGTGCGCTTTTAAATCTCATTCCCAGTCACATAAATCGAATTCTATTCTTCAAGAAGAATACAATTATCATAGTAGTGTTATAACATCAACTGTGTAGCTGACAAAACATTGAAATAAGCCAATTGACCGATTACTCATTTAACCTCCGATCTTCGAATCCTGTTATCAACAAAGTTGAATAAAGAATGAAGAACAATTAGCCTATTAGAAGAAAAGGAGACCATTTCTGTCTCTGCAGTTAAAAGGATTATTCACGAAATCATGATGCTGGCTGACTAGGTGTTGAGATTCCAGAGAATAACTAATGATTCAACGTCCTGATAAAATTATGATAACAAATCATTGCCATTTTTAAGGTTTAGGTATTATAATTAATCTATCGCTGTTCTATCACAAATGTTACAATCTGATTGGCTGTGCTACAGAGTGCGGTTTACATTTTCAAATAAGATGTGTTACTGCAACACACCTCTTTTGGTCCTCAAAATAACACACATAGAGATGTGTATAAACACACACCTTTTCATGTGTTACCCGAGCACACCTTGATAGGCTTTCTGAACACACCTTTATGTGTTCCCACAACACTCCTTAACTTGTGTTTCATGCGTGTCCTAAATTTGACACACCTTAAGGAGTGTTCTGCAGAAAGACGTGTTTTGTCACACTTCTAGTTGTGTAACAAAGCACACCTTCGGTTGCGTTTTCAGAACACACCTTTCCAGACACGCAAACTTACAACATTTACATGCATTCACATAATTATTTGTACAAAACACCAGGAGTGGTCCACAAATGGTTTATTGATCTTTCGAAAACAATTTATATACAACAGTTTCTAAATAACTATTCTGGATAACTTCACAAAACTTTGATTTGTACTTGTGTTGCAGTAACTTCTTTGAGAAAGCAAAGAAAAATTATTTGATCATTCTATAGATGTAGACACAATAAAATATAAGCATGCACAGGTCTTGTTGCGTGAAGTTTTGAATGACGGTTTTATTTATTTTCGGTAATCATATCATTCGCTCTCGATTTCTATGCATGATATTTTGTTTTAGCATCGTCGTCATTAGCAATCGTACCATAGAAATCGACAGTTCATAATCTAATTGTAAATTGTTTTTCGAGAAACGTGGCTTACAAGGTGATCTTGGCTTTGTGTATTTCCAGGTAGCTATCGTCATGACTGACGGTGTGCAAACAGTTCCAGACAGCAGTTCAGAATCAAGTACAGAGATATTAGACTCTGCAGTTCAGCCAGTGAAGGACAAAGGCGTAGAGGTCATGTCAATTGGAATCGGAAAAGGCATCGTGCTAGTGGATTTGGTTACTTTGGCTTCGGACGATACCGGTGTCTTTTTGGCAGAGAGCTTTGCAGCCCTAGATGAGATTGCAACAGATATAATAGAGGGGAAATGTCCAGGTATTAGAGTGACAGATGATGTTACTTAATGAATGACGCAGGCATATACGGAGAGAAAGAACTCCGAGTGGTGCCCGAGTGGTGCTCGAGTGGTGCCCGAGTGGTGCCAAGAAGAGTCGAACCTACGACCTTCCGATTAGTACTTGAAAGCTCCACCACTGAGCTACAGGAGACTCGAGGCAGGCTGGGCCGTTTAACTAGGTTCATGATGATGGTGACGAACTTCTCGCATACTGCTTGGATAGCAATGTTGATATATGATGCCTTTGCGCAATGATTATGTAAAAAAATGGAAAATTCTACGACTAATGTCACCACGGGAATAACATTGTCTAATTTCCTGTCATTTCTGGGCTTGTTTCATTCTATCGAACAGCTTAATTCAGGATATGATAGTACATTTTCTATTTATCAATTTATTTTTATCAATTTATTTATCATTTCTTATCAGTTTATTTTAATTTTGATTCATTTATTTTTCCTTTTCAATGAAAACTTGAAGTATTTCAACAAAAATAATTACGGAGGCCGAGCAGAGAGTTGTTGTCGCTTAGGACCGCTGCTAAGTCTGTCAAGTTGGCGCCACCACACCTAACTCGTCCCTACCCTTTGACTCCCAAGATCTGAATGTTAATTCTCCCCTCTACCTGACATACATTTCGTTGTAAATTAATTACGAGAATTTGGTGTCCGGTCAAGGCAACAACTTCTACCTGATAACTTTGAGTATTCTCCTTACCTGCTTTGTGTGTAATGCATGGATGATAATTGATTTTTGGAAATTAAAAGGTTAACTAAATTCACAGCCTCTAACACATCCTTGCATTCGTTTTTCAGTCGACGGTCAGTGGTCGAACTGGGAGAAATGGACCGAGTGCACTGAGACTTGCGGTGGTGGCACAAGAAAGCGGATCCGAAAGTGCAACAACCCGGCTCCAGCAAACGGAGGGATTAAATGCCCAGGGCCAGCTGAACAAGAAGAGGCTTGCAATGAAGATCCTTGCCCAAGTTAGTGAAAACATACTAAAGAGAATGCAATTTTTAATTCATTAACGAAAGTAATTCAGGATTACTTCGGTTTTAACTTTGCGTTGTGATTAGTCTAGAAAAGTGTACCATCCTCTCGACCAATCAGATGCAAAGTTGGGATTGGCTGGGGGGATTAATTTGGTTTTGTCTTTTCGACACTCAGTGGAAAGCTACCCATCTGTAACCACTGAATTTTTCGGAACCACAGCGAAACCTCAAGAGCACTAGGAAGTAGGATTTTAGTACTTTCAAATATCTCTCTTCACCACGCGTTGAAAAAGTTTCCACAAATTACGAGAGTATGTTCGGTTAAGTTGCAGTCCTGAGGTCAATAGACACAGCTGCTTATCAGCCTTTTTCTGAGTACCTGGGGTAATTGACATCTTTTAAAAAACTGTATACTCGCAAACACGTTTACTCATGCGCAGTTATGTATATCCAAATACATGTACTTTCTGAACAGCAAACACACAGTTGATAAAAAAGTCTCGATGGAAAAGGTCACTAGAAGTGAAAAGGAATTTGTTGCCCCAAATGATATAGCCGACTAAATCTACTGCACGATGGAATAACTTTTCTGCCTATTTTTGATGGATAATGAAATTTATTTATTCTGCTCTTTCACACGCAGTTTCCAAACGTATTGAATGAATCCTTGCTATCTCGCCAACTATATCGATGTAGTAACAGTTTTTACTGTTCCTCGTGATCCAAACTCTGCTATAAAAATATTTGCATTTTTTGCATGTAGTCGAACATGTACATTGAAAAGTACAATCCCAATAACATAGAATTATGAAACTAAGATTACCACCAAAACATGTTATACGTCATATGTACCAACCTTATACCACACACGGACAACCTTTCAATTAACTCTCTTTTTATTTCCTATCGTGGTCTTCACTGTTTCTCTTTTGCGCCTGGGGTTCCGTCCCATTAAATTTTCTCCGATCTCTTAATCGGTTATGGTTTAGTTTGTCGAGAGTCCTTAAACTGAAGACTGTGTGGAGGATGTAATCACACTACAACAAAAGTCGTTTGATTATTAAACATAGTTGACGGCAACTGGTCCGACTGGGGAAACTGGTCTGGTTGTCCTGTAACCTGTGGAGGTGGAGAGCAGATAAGAACGCGAACTTGCACCAACCCCCCAGCTGCTTTTGGTGGGGCACCATGCCCTGGGGAGCCTGAAGAACGTCGACTGTGCAACAAGAATCCTTGCCCAGGTAATGGAGAAAGTGGCTACAATATTTTTTATTCTTCTGATTCATACGAAGCTTTCGATATTGCTGGTCCTAACATTATACAGGACGCTTATCACATATGAAGCTAATAAATGCTTAACTCACCATAGTGTCTCGGTGCTGGATCCTCGGAGAGCAGAATCCGAAGGTCTGAGACTCTGTGAGGTGGCGAGGAGTACATCTTATTTTCACCCTGTGAATAGCCATGCAAACAAGTAAATGATAAAGCAAACTATCGCCAACAAAAGTAGCTTTCTACAGTTAAACATAGTCTCCTTTTTAGTGTATCCTTTTCAGAGAGTAGAACGGAGAAAAAGTATATGATGTTGGGGTGTATTGGGTTACGGGAAGGAGTCGTCTTTTTACTACTCTATCCATGAAACTAAGTGAGACTTTGAATTGTTAGTTGACGGCAATTGGTCTGACTGGAATGAGTGGAGCGATTGTCCTGTGACATGTGGAGGAGGCGTGCAGGAGAGAACGAGAACCTGCACCAATCCCCCTGCGCAGTTCGGGGGAAAGACATGCCCAGGAGAGAGCGAGGAAACAAGAGCGTGCAATGAAGACCCTTGTCCAAGTAATAATTTACTTTCATAATTTTTTATCTACAAGGTGTATTAGATATCACGAATTTTATTTATCCCTCGTTCTTGTGAGTGCCAGGGATGATTCCTGTTTTGCTTGGTTTGTTCACGTCTTGCGTTTTACTTCGCTGGCAGACAATGTGAAAATTATGTTAAACTAAGGGATCAAAATCAACTTGTTTTCTACGACAATACCCAATGGACGTGGACCAAAAATATTAAAAGAAGAATGTGGATAGCTTTTCGAATGATGCATTATGACGGAGAAACAACAACACTTTGTACTTGACTCTACGTAAGACACTTTGCCAATGTTACTGTGCGATAGAAGGCCAGGTTCTTAGGCAAAGATGGCGATCAAAACAAACTGGAGACAGACCCCATCACTTTTCGCTAGAATTCATGGGAAAAGAAGTACTTTTTACGTCGTTCTTGAGGCAAAATAGACACATTTTTCCTTTTTTCCAGTTGTTGTGGCAGACATTTTATGAGTGGATCTGGGCTGATTTTCATTATGACTAAAAATTTGAACATTGTTCGACGGCATGACGATTAACAATGGTAACCTCATAGCATTCCTCGACGTTTTTTTTACCGTTTACTGGTCACGTTTACAGCCAGGGTGGAGAGTGTCACTCGGGAAGTAACGCTCCTTGCATAAGGTCATATCACAATGACCTTGGCCTGAGCTCGAACATGGATCTAACGATCCACAGCCTTCAATAGCAGGTTAACCAATGTGTTACCCCCTTAATCTTTTGCCCGGCAAATTTCCATTTCATTTACAGCACCTTATGATCCATAAAGGTAGCTGGTTTGTGCTTCGTGAATTCCCATTTTGATTACGGCATCATGTAATCCATTTTCAACCTCTTTACCTTTTGATTACAGTTGGCAATAACTCTTGTTTAATCTATCAAATTTCCAACCTCATCCTTTTGCACGCATTTAATGGCAATTGGTCCTATGTCTTGTTAGTTACCGTTATTATTGCGTCATCATATGGTCCACATTCTGCACACAGTTGATGGTAACTGGTCCGATTGGAATGATTGGAGTGACTGTCCAGTAACGTGTGGAGGTGGAGTCCAGGAAAGATCAAGAACTTGTACCAATCCTCCAGCACAATTCGGAGGAAAGCCTTGCCCTGGGGAGAGCGAAGAAACCCGTGCTTGTAATGAAGATCCTTGTCCAGGTACTTTGTAGAGGCCATATCACCTAATATTATTTTGATCGGTTTTTACCACGCTCAAGTTTGCGAATCTTTTTCTTACAACCACATAATTTTTCAAAGCTTATTTCTGAGGCCAAATTCGAGCTCTTCTACTGTTCCCACAGCAATCAAGCTTTCCATGTTGGTACTGGTGCATGATTAAATAACGAAACGAAACGAGTGAGTTGATTGGATATTATTTTTTGGTTGGGCCTTCTCTTTGTGTTTCTCTTTTTGCTCCGTAATTGCTAACTCTAATTTAGCAAACAGGGAACATTTTCGGTTGGTGTAAATTAACCACCACGTCAAGAACAAAGGTAATAAGGATAGTGGAAGTTTAGATGAGTCCAGAGAAAGACTACGGTAAATTGGATTTTACTAAAACGTGTCTGATATGCACTGCACAAGTCTACTAGAAAACAACTGGTATCAATTGTTCAGAGTACCAACAACTGGAGGGCATTAACAATATGTTGAAATATCATTTGTTTTCTCAATCTGATGGAGGGGTCTGGACGGAACATGACAATCCTAACCCAATATCCATGGTTACTGAACGATATAATCCTAGGCTGTGGCTGGTGCCTCTGGAGTAAATCTTTGAGAGTTATCATGTGTTCTTCGGTCAAGGCTGGAATTGTGTCTCATTGTCAAAGTCCTTGTTGCAGTTAACGGCAGTTGGTCTGACTGGAAAGACTGGAGTGATTGCCCAGTCTCGTGTGGTGGTGGAGTACAGAATCGATCTAAAACCTGTACCAATCCCCCAGCCCAATTTGGAGGGAAGTCATGTCCTGGGGAGGGTGACGAAACAAGAGTGTGCAATGAATACCCTTGTCCAAGTAAATTCCTACTGATTATGATGCACAACTGGTTATCATTGGTAGTTTAAACCGATTTATCGTTCTCTGGACTTTTCAATTGAATCCCTCATCTCCTTTGCTACTGTATCTGCTCAAAGACCCCTTTTGAATCCTTGTTGCAGTTGACGGTAATTGGTCTGACTGGAAGGACTGGAGTGATTGTCCTGTGACGTGTGGTGGGGGAGTACAGAATCGATCGAGGACATGTACCAATCCCCCCGCTCAATTTGGAGGGAAACTATGCCCAGGGGAGAGTGATGAAACCAGAGTCTGCAATGAAGATTCTTGTCCAAGTAAATTTTTACTATGTTTTGATGCACTGATGCTGGGCATTGGTTACTTTAACCGTTCAGTAACTATCTGGTCTTTTTCAATATCTTTATCGGTTGTCCCTGTTGAAACTGTGTGTCTTGTAAGTCTTGTAATTGGTCTGACTGGAAGGACTGGAGTGATTGCCCAGTTACATGTGGTGGCGAGGTACAGAATCGAACCAGAAATTGCAATAATCCCCTTGCGCAGTTCGGAGGAAAGCCATGCCCTGGGGAGGGTGACGAAACAAGATCTTGTAACGAAGCCCCATACCCATGTAAACCGTTTCTGCTTAAAATAACAAATTCATCTCGAGGGCTGAGAGTTTGTTTTCATTTCAATTTATCTCTGTTAGGCTAAATCAATTTGAACTAGAATATTTTCCTGTTTTTATGACATGGCTTGATCTTTGCAAACCTTAACGCAATCTATCAATCTTGATGAGGATTTGTTAAAAATGGCAAGAACGAAAAACCAAGACAATATCCAATGCTGGTTTTTCCCCGCATATGGTTGAAAGCTCAAATTTCTGCGATAAAGCGCCTTCGTCCTACTACATGTCTGACGAGTTTTGTCCAGTTCTATTTCCTCAACTTATTTAAAACATTTGTTAAATTAATACAAATAAATGTTTAGTATCGAAGCTACTGCTCTTTTATATTCGTATACACCTTTTGAGAGGATTGATAATGTCTGAGGTTCAAAAGAGGTTGATGGAAAGTGGTCAGATTACACAACAAACAGTGTAGTTTGTTTTACTTCCCTCTCATAAGCCAAAGTAAAGTTAAATGGTGAAAACCTATATTCCTTTTTAATTCAGTCGATGGTAACTGGTCTGACTGGAAGGAATGGAGCGATTGTCCTGTCACGTGTGGTGGTGGAGTCCAGGAAAGGTCAAGAACTTGCAGTAATCCACCGGCGCAATATGGAGGAAAGCCATGTCCTGGAGAGAGCGAAGAATCAAGGGCTTGCAATGAAGACCCTTGTCCAAGTAATTATCTACTTTCATCTTCATTTTACAACGGGCCTGCCCCAGTAATCGGCAGTTTTTGACTAATTTTGAGTTCCTTTTAGACTGATCTTTGGAGTTTACAAGCTATTTTCTTTTTTATTCTCTATCACAAGCCAAAGTAACGGTTATCGGTGTAAACCAACTTTTTCTTTAATTCAGTTGATGGTAACTGGTCTGATTGGAATGAATGGAGCGATTGTCCCGTCACATGTGGTGGTGGTGTCCAGGAAAGATCAAGAACTTGTAGCAATCCACCGGCGCAATTTGGAGGAGAGCCTTGTCCTGGAGAGAGTGAGGAATCAAGGGCTTGCAATGAAGACCCTTGTCCAAGTAATTATCTACTTTCATCTTCATTTTACAACGGGCCTGCCCCAGTAATCGGCAGTTTTTGACTAATTTTGAGTTCCTTTAAGACTGATCTTTGGAGTTTACAAGCTATTTTCTTTTTTATTCTCTATCACAAGCCAAAGTAACGGTTATCGGTGTAAACCAACTTTTTCTTTAATTCAGTTGATGGTAACTGGTCTGATTGGAATGAATGGAGCGATTGTCCCGTCACATGTGGTGGTGGTGTCCAGGAAAGATCAAGAACTTGTAGCAATCCACCGGCGCAATTTGGAGGAGAGCCTTGTCCTGGAGAGAGTGAGGAATCGAGAGCTTGCAATGAAGACCCTTGTCCAAGTAATAATTTACTTCCGTTTCAATTAACAACACACTCATCCAACCATCTTCCCTTAATGTACATTTTCTCTAATAACTGCTAGTTATTTTCTATATACTCCCCATTCGTAAGACAAAGTAACGTTTAGCGATTAAAACAAATTTTTCACTGTGATTTAGTTGATGGTAACTGGTCTGATTGGAAAGAATGGAGTGATTGTCCTGTCACTTGTGGTGGTGGAATGCAGGAAAGATCAAGAACTTGTAGCAATCCACCAGCGCAATTTGGAGGAAAGCCTTGTCCTGGAGAGAGCGAAGAATCGAGAGCTTGCAACGAAGACCCTTGTCCAAGTAATTATGGGTCCATTTTTTCCCTTTTTTAAGCTAAATCAATGACAAATGATGCAAAAGATGCTTTTCTTTTCTATTCAGTTGATGGCAATTGGTCCGACTGGAAGGACTGGAGTGATTGCCCAGTCACATGCGGTGGCGGAGTACAGAATCGATCTAGAACCTGTACCAATCCCCCCGCTCAATTCGGAGGAAAGCCATGCCCTGGGGAGAGTGATGAAACAAGAGTGTGCAATGAAGACCCTTGTCCAAGTAAATTCTTACTCATCATGATACATTTTTCTCTTGATACTACTGCAATTGTACCAAAGACCACTTAAATCAGCTCAGTCATTGAAGGCGATGATATGATGCCATTATTGACTTATGAAAAATATAACCGAAATGTCTTGTTCGGCCTTTGCAGTTGATGGAAACTGGTCCAATTGGGGTCCTTGGAGCGAGTGTACGGTCACGTGTGGTGGTGGTAAACAGATCCACACTCGTAGTTGTACTAATCCCCCGCCGGCAAATAAAGGACTACTTTGTATTGGTGAAAGCGAGGAGTCACGGGAATGTAACATTGACCCGTGTGGAAGTAAGAGACATCCAATTATATAATGAATGTGAGAGTGAACTTCGCAATAATGAACGCTACTTAAGCAGGTCCGAAAAAAATTCAGGCCTATATTTTCACTGTTGCTTAAGTAGTTTTCATTTCTACGAAGATCGCCTTCATTAACTATATCATGTTTCCTCAATCATAAACACCATTATGTTTTGCAAAATTACAAACAAGACTGGGAGCTATTCAGATAAATGTCACCGGCGTTCCACCAAGTTTGCACAAGCTTAGACCAAATTCTGGGCGAGGAGCCCATTCACACATCTAAACCTGTTACTGGTAAATAATGATTCAATTCCACCCTAAACTGGGGAATGGCGGCTATAAAAGTTACTAGTTATAGTATTTAGATATTTGAACGATTTTTCATCAGCAGTTATGGTAACATTAGGTGATAGTGACCGAAAGACGATAGACGAGCTGGCGAAAATCGCCTACTTCCGGCACTTACTGACGGCTCTGCTTTCTTGTTCGGTTGTTTCGTTTGTTTTTACGTCAAAAAGTTGTGGAGGACAAGGCACACATTATTTTCTCATTTCAGCGGTCTTAGATGAAAAGGGACTCTAGTTAGTTTAACTTCAATCCAAGGTTAATGTAACTCTTGGCTTTGTTGCTGGAGTCGACTGCCCTTCATGGTTTCATGTTGGGATGTCTTTAACGATGTTTGTTGCAATTCCATTTAAAGGACCCGCAGAGATAACACACATAAACACGTCAATTGCCTCGACCGTGGTTGGGGGTAAAGTGGAGTTACAGTGTGTTTCCGACGGGGATCCCACACCCACAGTTACGTGGTACAGTCCTAACGGTACCGAACTGGTCACCATCACAGGAGACAGCACAATATTTATTGTGGTAGATGGTCCAAGCGACTTTGGTGACTACCGATGTAAGGCTTACAATGGATTCGGTCCTCCAGTTGAGAGAGTAGTATCTGTGGATCCTATCGGTAAGTCATCTATTCCAGCTTCTGAATCAGAGATCCCTTTGCTGTTGATGAATAGTCTGTACTCGAACCAAGTGACCTATCCAGCCGGAGCCCATTTATGCTCCTGAATGGAGAGAGGGACTGTGAAAGTAACTTGTTTTGCCCGAGAACACAACAATTAACCAGGCAAGGTCTTGAATCCGGACCTCCCTTAGCTGTTGATCAGTGAAATAATTCTAAGCAAGTTTGATGTCACATTACAACCCTTTGAAATGAAGTCGGTCAACCTTTATTTGAACGAAACACTGCGTGAAGAGGAGCGAAATCTACTAATTTGTCTTTTTCTTGTCTCTTCCGTATGACTTAATCGACGGCAGTACCACAGAAGGTAAGAAGGATATAATTTTTTAAAACTAGCTGCAAAGCGACAGCTTAGTTATCCAGAGCATCCAAATGTAATCCAAAAGTATTTGTTTCTTTGATGGGTACAACGATTAATTGTATCTCTAAATGTTCAGTGGGTAGCCGAAGCTATTGCATGCTGCAGTCGGCAACTTTATCCAGAAGCGTATTTTGCACGATCAGAAATGAGGACAAGGGCGCCACAGTATGACTCTTTAAAGTTCGACTCGCAATAGGCAATACTCAAAGGGGACGGACAATTTTCATTTGGTCATCTCAAGTGGCCTCCTTAAGCACTTTCACAAAGAGAACACAACGGTAGATATTTTATTGTCGTTTTGTTCCTTAGATTGGACCTCCAGGCGATCCCGGACCTAAAGGCGACAAGGTATGATACTATATTTTACAACTGGTACTAGAGTTACTGATTTTTCGTTGGTAACCTATGGCCTACAACAAGCCTCAGAGACCACACTTGTTGAGAGCTTGGAAATGCATGGAAAAGCTGCAAAATATTCTAGAATTTTATTAAACGAAAATAAATAGATGAATCAAGTAATATTGAATTCAAAAGATTAGTATTGATCATTAACGTAAATATTATACAAATCGGTTTCCCTTTAATAAATAACATTTTGAGTAAGGAGCAATGCTCTCTGCTAACTGATAACCAGGCGTAAAAGGAGGCCTTCAAATCCTTAACCCTTAAATTCCCATGAGTGACTAAGATAAAATTTCTTCTTATAATATAAATACAAAATCAACCATATAAATGATGAGAGTAAAGAAAAGTATCAATTTGGGGATAAAAAAGTTGATCCAATACTAAATTCTCTGAACCAACATCATCAGAATTGTATGATTGACAGTAAGGAGAGTCAAAAATTTGATTTGGGAGTTAAAGGGTTAATTACCTCCCTGTTCCACTTTTTTCCTTATGTATTTACACCCTAATATCAGTATGCATATTCTCCATACATTTCTTATGGTTATCACGAATGATTTGATTAGCTGATGATCATTTCCTTTTTTTCTCGTGACCTTAATGTTTGATTCAGGGTGGATATTGTGAGAGGAGACTAGATGTTAGTCACTCTTAGGCGTCAAAAGGTTAATAGTTTAAGTTTTAGAGGTTCAACACTAGTCTTAAAGCCGAATGAATCCTGTACTTTAAGGGTGATAAAGGCGGGCCAGGACCCCCCGGATCACAAGGTGACCGCGGAGTGAAGGTGAGATAGCTTTTTTTTTATCAAGTCGTTTTTACCTCATCGCTGACCGCTTAACTTCTTTTATATAATTTGATAGAGATCCGAGCAACTCGTGCCCTGTTAGGCACAATTTTAGAACTTGTTTATAACGAAAGAAAAGAACGAGGCAGTCTTCATAGTGCTTCTTTCCAAAGAAGTTCACTAGCGACCTCGGAAGGCGTGCACGAGAAGAAAATCGTATTATATTAAAAGTACTTATTCTGATAGTGTTCTCCAGAGTAATATTTGTGATAAGCCCTATGTAGCTGTTTCGTTCTCAACCCTTAAAACCTTATTGTTCAACTTGTCAATGTCCATTCTATTTTCGTCAGGGTCAACCGGGCGTTGACGGTCCTAAAGGACCCCGTGGGCCGCCGGGGCCCCCGGGGCCTCCTGGAAAAGTTGTTTTAAATTTCACTGGACCTGATATTGGGCCACTGGAGGGTAGGGTGGTAAGTAAACCTTTCTCCTTCGGTATACTTAAAAAAACATTTAACATCCATGATGATTTATATCTTCATGCCTTAACGCTATTTGTAGCTGCTTATTCCCTGGCAGTTGTATTGCAGATAAAATGAAAGAACACGGAAATTATCTTATGTTCAAAAAGCAGCTGAGTTCTCTTGCACAGTTTCTGCATTACTTAAATTGCGTTTCACATCGAGGGAAATTTTTACACTTGAATATCATTTCCAGGTCAAAATACAATTTATTTCATTAAATTAAATCTGACTTCTCTTTCGTTCTGTAAAGAATTTACCCTTGTTGTCAGTGAAACTACAGCTAGGCTCAGCCATCAGCTCGCTCATTGCTCGACAGAAGAGGAGTATACCCCGCGTAAAAAGCAATTTGACAGCAGGTCAAGAAACCATACTCGATATATGATCAAAAGCTATAGTGAAAGACGTTTTGTGTATCAACACTACAGCCTGTTTGTTTTAGGTTCCGGGTGGCTCTAAAGGACCTAATGCTGGATTCATTACAGTGAAAGGAGAACCAGGAGAGCCGGTAAAATTGTATTAAAGTCGAATTTATTCATGCTCCCTTGCTCGAAATGGACGGTTATGTTCGTTAAATTATTTTACATTTGCTCTCTTTTTTCGTTTCTTGCTTTTCAAATGGAATATTTTTAGGGGTCTCGTGGAGTAGCGGGAACTCCGGGTTACCGTGGGCCAGACGTGAGTAAAAACTTGAATTTGCAGTAATAGGTGATCTGTATCTTTTTTTATTATTTCAATGTGGTTTGCCCAAAAAGGGGCATGGTGGTTGGGTTGAGAGCGCACTGGACTAACAATTCAGAGATTACGGTGATTAGACTCGTAAACTGTCGATTAAATGTGACATTTTTCGGTAACTAGATGCACATCTGCGTCTTTTCAAGCGCTCGTAGTGGTACCATATTGGCAAGGCATTCATACGGTTTTCACTTTAACTTTACGGGCATAAAAAATTGGCATGTTGAAAGCACTTAACAGCGTGTGGAAAACATTATTCCTTTCAGTGCAGTGTTTTAGACCTGCTCGTGAAAAGAGCCAACTCGCGCGTGCACTATTAAGCCGCGACGGTGATCTGCGACTGTGAACACGAGCAACCTCATATTTTAAATCCAGGCTTGAGTAGAAAATGAAAAGAAGAGAAAATGGATGCTAATCCAATTACTGAGTAGATTCTTTCTACAGAACATGGTCTGTGAAGCGGTCAAAGCACGATACATGGTTTCAGGTTTAATGAGAATCATTACTTACATCTAACAGACGAACTTCGTCTTTATTCATCCAGGGCACGCCAGGGGAGAAAGGACAAATGGGGCCTGAAGGAGAGAGAGGAATATCGGTAAAGCTGAATTTAGACCTTTTAAACCAGTAATTCAAACAATAGTCTCAATTTAACGAGGTAGCCTTTTGTACGGATATTGTATGCTTGCTTTGCTTAACTTTAGAGGTTAACAATTTTTCGGAGATCGAGATTTTATGTAAACTAATCTGGCATTACTAAGGAGGACCCCGTGTCCTCGTTCACCTAAATGAAAGGTTAAATTTAGATGAAAGTGTGAGATCTATATCAGATCAATCAATGATAACAAGAGGAAATGCTTTTTGACACTTGTTTGTAGGGCGCACCTGGTTTACCAGGCCCTCCAGGTTTGCAGGGAAGAAGTGGAGAGGATGTAAGTAAAAGTGAAAAATTGAAATATCTCCACGTTTCATCCCAAATGCTGCCATTTACAATCCGTGCTAGTTTCGTAAAAATGTAAATCGGGTGTGATAGTGATACGCATTTACTTCGTCGTACAAAGTATTAATGTGTGTTCATTTGTTAATGAAGGGTGCTCCTGGTCCCACGGGTGAGCCTGGTGAGAATGGTGTCCAAGGAGAACCGGTAAACGATAAGCTACTCAATTACTCATTATTCCAAAGTTAGGTCGTTATGGATAAAAGTGAGACCTTGCCGTATAGACCGAGCGATAACGTGTCAGGTGGTCAGGAGTCGATGAGTCGGTCACTAATTCAATGGCATTCAGCAGACAGTCCGTCGAACGGTCAGCTAATTAGCCACTAATTCAGACAGAGAGTTAAACTGAATCACTGAGCCAATTAGTCAGAAAGTCTGCAGGCAAGTCAACCAGTCAGTCACTCAGTCAGTCAGTTAGTAAGTAGGTACGACAGTCAGTCAATCACTGTCAGTAAATCCCAGTCAGTTAGCCACGAGTCAATCAGTCCACTTCTTGGTAATTCAGTTAGTCAGAGAGTACGTTTATCGCTGTCGGAATTCACAATCAGTTAGTCACAAGTTATTCAGTCAGTCATCCAGCCAGTCGGTGAGTCAGTTATTCAATTAGTCAGAGAGTGGGTCAGTCTGCAGTCATTCAGAGAGTAAGTCAGTCGGTCAGTTCTTCAGTTAGTCACTCTTGTGTTTGTAGCGCAAAACAACCGTTTGTTTGTCTATCAAATATTCGACACGATCTATAAAACATTTATTTGTTGCAGGGACCTGTTGGGAACCCAGGTCCCATTGGTTTATCTGGTATCAAAGGCGATAGGGTAAGTAATTATCGTCATTGTTGTTGTTTAATTTCTTTTTTTGTTGTTGTGCTGTTAAGTCCTTAATAAGTGTTTTTCATGAATATTGTTCGCATCCGACCAGAGTATTTAGATTTCCAATTACCTTGCTACCTCAGGGCATGAAATTGCGCCCAATACAGGCGCGATGACAGCGTAAAAAAGAGGTTTTGTTTGTCTTTGAAAATGGCGACCAACTTTTCTTGAATTGGCTACCACTTTGAAGAATTTAGGAGCCAAGTGGCTGTCAGAAAAAAAAATTAATTTCACGCCCTGTACCTTGAGCGACAATTGTGCATCTAACAGTTTTGTAAGACTCGAGCGATAATGTTACCTTAACAAGAAGCATTGTTAATTTTTTTCTGATTGAAACTGAAAAACTTTCCAGGGAGAACAAGGTGAACCAGGAGAAGTAGGAGATCAGGGTAAATTTGGACAAACGGTGAGTCAACGCTTTACACCCTTACGTAAGCATTCATATTCTCTATTCTGTTTATGTACATTTACTAAGGTGCTGACAAGGAGAATTTGTCGAACAATCAATAGTTTCTTTAGTTGGTGATCATTTCCTCTATTCTCATGACGTTAATGTGAGATTCAGTGGTAATATTTTAAGGAGAAAATAGATACTAGTCACTCATAGATGCTGAAGGGTTAAGCCAGGCAATAATCATGTACATTTGCATTCCTCTTTGAAATGGATGAAAACCGTTCAAAGGTGCTGCTATTTTAAGTAGTCATTTACTGGAATAAGATGAAAAGATTTTGAAATTCTTTGCTGTTTTTCCCATTGTTCCACGCTGGTGCCAAATGCTCAAAATGTCTCTTTTCCCTTTCTAAATGTTTTTATGTCCGTGTTTGTTTAGGGATTTGATGGAAAACCTGGTCGAAATGGCGTCAATGGGAGGAAGGTGAGTTTTAGAAGATAATTGCCACCGTAACTAGTAAGGGAAGGAGTGCGATTTTAACTTTCGAGAGAGAAGTTACCCACATTTTTCCTTAAAGACGAAAAAATCGGACCAGTCAACATGTTAACCCAGAAGTTCCGCCAGTATTTCACGTTAACACTTTTCTTTTTATCATTCTTACCTTTAGGGAGAACAGGGACTCTCGGGTCCGCTTGGGGTTCCGGGACTCAGAGGTTCACCTGTGAGTAAAAAAACGAACTGTGTTGTGTCCTTTGTACAATCTGGAATTGTCCGACTAGTTTTCGAAACACTGTCTCGAATTGTTATTTAGCAAGCGAAGTGACAATAATAGACTCTTAAATAATGGATGTTCAATAATCATTATCACATTCTGGAAAGGCAGTAACTCCCCCACCGACGCTGCTCCGCAGTTACATTAGAAACTTTTTATTCATTTATAAAAAATATAGGTCGGATTGAATCTCACTCAATGACGAGACGACATTGGTTTTGAATGCTGTCAGCCTAGAATATCTTTCTCAAACTGGGAATTTTTTTTTTTACGAAATGGTTCACTGAGGCGATTGTAATTTTATTTCTTATTATCATGGCAGGGTCAACAAGGTCTACCGGGCGGGCCAGGACCAGAAGGACCAGCGGTAACTAACAGAACTGTATTTTAGGTTGCAATATTTGCAAACTATCTAGCTTGATGGGTATGGGAAAATTATACATTGCATCAGACCGGCCATGGTCTGTTGTAGTGTTTTTTTTTTTCTCTTTGCCAGTTGTCTCCCTTCTTTCAATCGCCCGAATCATTTGTCTTTGTATAGCTTTCTAAGTGTTGAGTCCATTTTTAACCGACACTATACAATCTTCAGGGTGCCCCCGGAGAAATAGGTGAACCAGGAAATGCTGGAGCTCCTGGACTGAAAGGCGACAGAGGGCAACCTGGGTTACGTGGGAAACGCGGTTCAAACGGGGAAACTGGGCCCAGTGGACCAACTGGACAGAAAGGAGACTCGGGTGAAAAAGGTCGACGTGGCCAAACGGGACAACCTGGTGCCAAAGGAGCGACGGTATTGAAAGACAATTTTGTTACAAATTTTCACGCTTTATAGTTCTACGTGTTATATCTTCTTCGGGGTATTACTTGATCTATGTTAGATTCTGTAAATTCTTTAAAATGACTTACACCGAGTAATAGATAATAAACTACGCAAGAACTACCTGTATTGTGGTTATCATTTGGGATCACGTGCCCCCTTTGTCACGAAGGATATGGTATTTGTTGAAAAGAAAAAGAGCGCAAAAGTCGATTTTTTTAGGCTCCTCGTTTACAGCGAGTTGTGAACATCGTTTCACAACTCGACACTGCATTTTCTATGTGGTTCTTATCATGTTGCAATATGGGTGAATTTGAAAGTCGTACCTTTTGGGAAAAATGTTGAGTCACTGCCTATATTTGATAATGAAGACATTATTTCTAATCGTCAGGGTCTCGTCGGCAACATGGGCCTCAGAGGAGAACAAGGGAAGGAGGGCGCTCCGGTAGGTAGCCTTAAGAAATTTGAAAAGCCCCAACTTAAGTGTTCGTATTCTGCTCACTGTTATACGTAAAATGAAGCACTGATAAAGATAATTTTTCTGACAATCTGGACCTTTTCAAATAAGTGACCATTTCCTTTTTCTCTCGTGACCAAAATATTTAATTTAAGGGTGATACTGTAACGAGAAATCGGACGCAAGTCACTCTTACAGTTTGAAGGGTTAATTTTTTAAAACAATTTCAACAAATAAGTCCTTGATTATTGTTTATATAATAAATTGATTAGTAACTTGCCGCAACTCTTCATTATACAGTAGCTTTAACTGCCTGTTTACATGTCAACTCCAAAAAACGCAAAATCATGTAGCACTTAATGAGAACAAGGTCAAACATGGTGTTCACAGTTTCTTGATTTGCTCAAAATCGTGTTCTTTTCTCTGCTTGCAAGGGAATCGATGGTCAACCAGGCTCGGAGGGAGGAAGAGGAGAGAGGGTAAGTTATTATGGAGAAATTTGAAAACACAGGTACACGAACAAACGAGGTGCAAAACGATAGCGTAATACGTGAAAGTCTTAGAAGTTTCACCTTTCATTTATTTTCAATTCAGCATCCCTAAATAAAAGGGAACGTTAATATTTTATGAATAACTTTGGTGAATGACGTTCCATTAAAAGACTTAATGTCTTCAGCGGAAAAAATTTCAACATGTCAACGCTTGTGAGAATCTGAAATTCCTAACAGCGAGGATTTGTCTCATGTGTTAGCAGTGCTAAGAGAAAAAAAAAAGGTAAATAAGGGCTGGTAAAAACACACTGAGAACTACAAAAATAGCTGTATTACATTTGCAATGACCTCATGCAAGAGAGCATTTTTAGGGCCCCCCAGGAACAGCAGGACCAAGAGGAAGACTAGGAGCGAAAGGAAATCGGGTAAAGTGCTTCACTGATGTTAGATCTGAATTTGATATAGGTAGTATGTTATGTGAAAAATTGTTTTAAAATAAAAGAAGAAAAATTGTTTATGCTTAAGAGGTGTAGGGCAAGGTAGGACGTAAGTTCATTTGTTCATGAAATAAAAGAAAACAATTACTACGTGAGGAGAGTTCCCCGTTATGTACGTTTAATCATGAGATTTGAAACGCATTTTGTAAACAATGAGAGAGCTATATCTTGTAAAAACATGCCATGAGAACTTTATATTTGGTTTTTCTCACCTTTTCATCAGACGCTGGATGTTTAAATGCATTTTTGAAAGATGGTTCCTTTTTTTATTCAACCTAGGGTCCTTCAGGGCAGATTGGAGCCCCTGGTCCAATTGGCTCGCGTGGAAAAAAGGTCAGCAAGTCTATATGTTTGAAGACGAACAAGTGCAAGAGCTCCCCTGATCGAGAATGAATAAATATGTTGCACCTAAAGTATTCCGAAGCTCAATTTCTTCTGAGAGAATTAATAAATATATTCCATGACGCTATGCGTCAGTCTAGGAATGGATAACAGTTGACTTCAAATTCTGGTAAAAACTAAAAGGTGGCACACGGAACACAGTCGTGTGTGTCAGTGATATTCTCGCCAAATCTTGGCGTCTTCTGCGATCTATTACTGGACAGACGTGCCGCAACTTGGAATAATGTTGATGGTGACGTCAATCAAAATGCGTATGTAATTTAGCATATCGTGTTATCAAAGAATGAGTGGAAAATATGTATTCTTTATCACCTTTTTCGTGTAATTCTAGGGTTCTAGAGGACGACGAGGAGCAAGAGGCCTTCCTGGTGAGATGGGCCCAGAGGTAGTGTGCTGTATACTTTTTAGAAAATCAACGCAAATTTGAGTCAAAATTTTTTTATATTAAGTTTTTATTGAAATTAATTTTGTTATTCTGACCGCCACGAGGCTCTGAATTTAAAAATTTGTATTTGTTGTTTCTAGGGACTTCAAGGTGAAGTTGGTTACCATGGAGCTTTTGGTCTGGCAGGGAAAAAGGTAAACGTAGTCATTGACTCTGATGATGACTTCCGCCAAGATGGTCGGAAAGTCAGTCACTACAAGAAGGAACAGTCCTTTTCCAAGACTTCCCTCACCCGAGCGATCAGGCTACACTACCAAATCCTTGAATCATTGTTTAGCAGCCCAACTGTTACACGGTCAAATGTAACTCCTGGGTTCGAACTTCTAAAAAGTGGAATGAGCACGAAAAACTGGCAATATTAACAAAAAATATGAAGAACTGTAGTAAACATTTCTGTTTTTTTAGTTTTTTTCAGAGTAATGAATTATGTTTACGTCTACAGCGTTGAAATGAATGTGTTCACTCAATGTCTGCTAAGTTGCATGTCTAGTCAATGCGTCCTGCGCAAAAAGAAAAGGAAAACGCTCTTCAACTAGAGCTATATTTGGATCAATATCAGTATCTGGGCAACTACCCCTCCCCTAACTCAACAACAGTCAATTGATAACAAGTTAGGGTTAATGTTGGGTTAGGGGAGGGGTAGGTGGGCAGTTGCCCAGATACTGATATTGATCCCTATATTTTTCATGCGCATTTATTATTCTCAAGTACTTTCGTTCTTTTGAAAGGGCAACGCTGGATTACCAGGGATAGACGGAATTCCTGGAACCAAAGGAGATCAGGTAAAGAAGAGATGAGAAGTTTGAATATTCTCATTACCTGTTTGCTGGATAAAGTATGGATATTGTACTGAGAAGTTAAAGGGTTAACAGCAATTGTGCTTGTTTCCTGGAATTAAGGCTTGCTCAAGGTATCTTCATCTCTTCATTAGGGATCTCCTGGAGTGGCTGGAAATCCTGGGAGCCCTGGAATGAGGGTTAGTTATTTTCCAGCAAGTGTTTATAACTGAGAAATTCAGTTTTTTCAACATTACTACAACAAAAGATATTTTTTCTACCTTGATTTAGGGGATTGGTGGACAGAGAGGAAGAGCAGGGAATCCGGGGGCGATTGGATCAAAGGTGAGCGTTTGACAGGGGTTTCAATGAAAACCAGTTATCGGTGGGGTGTACCGCTGCCTATAAGATTTCTTACCGCCGTCTGTTAAGCCTAAGGCAGGCTTTCGTGTTGGGTTTCCCTTCACAGACACTTTTCCGGGTATGGCCACCAATTACAGCGCTGGCAGCCACTTATGGAAAAAGTCATTGAAAACCCTGTGGGAACACCCTGGCGATACTTCTACCTTTAAAGTAATTGAGATAATTGACAAATTTAGTTGTTCTTTTTTAAATCTTCATTGTTATTATTATTTATTTCAGGGCTTACCAGGGGAGGATGGCACTCCGGGAAGAACAGGAGATACCGTAAGCTAAATGTTCATTTGATATTTATAAGCTGGCGTAGTAGTACCTGAGCCGGAGTTTGAAAAACCATATGAATTATTTTAAGATGGATTCCGTCTAAAATAATTAGACTTGCTGGCTCGAATACTTGTTTTGAAACTCCATAAAAAAGTATTTCATTCAAAATGCTAGATATTTCCTAATAAACAGGATGATTTCAGTGCCGGCAATGATAACGTTATCCCCTGTGTACTCAGTACTCGGCGACGATCGGAGGAGAAAACAGACGGATTTACCTTTTGGTAACTTTAATAATTTGTTTGTTTTCTTTTGTTAATCGTTAGGGTCTACCAGGCATTAATGGCTCACCTGGCCTTCGAGGAGCAAAGGGAACAATGGTACTTAGCAACGTAACTTTCACTGTCCACGGACAATGGTCAAAACATCGATGAGCGTTTTTTTTTTTTTAATTTTTATTCAGGGCCAACAAGGTAAAGATGGATCGTCAGGCCGTGCGGGATCGAGAGGACCAAAGGTGAAATTGCTCCACTTTAATATTTAATTTTAGGAATCTTCCTTCTGATATCCGTTATTCATTTTTTATTTCGTTATCGGTAGGGTGATAATGGTGCTAAAGGCTCGACTGGGACACCCGGAAGAACAGGAAGAGCTGTAAGTGCTTAAAATCGAAAGGACATCAATGCGAATAAAAAAAAAAAAAATTAAAAGAATACCTATGGCCAACTATTGCATAAAGAACTTAATCTAGAGTTTAAACATGGTTGTGAACTTCTAATTATCGGTCTTACTGCAAGTTTGCTCTTATCTCAAAAGCCCCGCTTCCGGAGAATCACGGAGAGTTCTGCGATTATGGTAACCATCCAACTCCGCAGAATGATAAACGCATATATCCACATATCAGTGAATGAGTGAGTGTGTGAGTGAGTTATTTGCATATCGGAGTCCCCATTAAAACTTGTTTACACGAGTTAAAAATGAGAAGAAAATCAAGAATCAGTCGTGAACAGAAACGAATCAATGCTAATGGCTTGAAACTATCCTTTTCTTCAAAAGGGGCGTCGTGGTGAACGAGGCACGATGGGTCTCCGAGGTTTACAAGGACCTGTGGTAAGTTTGTAGAGAGTATCTGATATGACTTCCGCTCATGTTACCCTAAAGACCTTCTTAGCGTCACCCTTACCTGGAAGATAATAGCATACGTTCGCCAGATTTGACAGTTGTATTTCACTATTCCCATTTATCCGTGCATCCATCACCCCAACCTTGTCAATATGAGAATGATGGTCGGAGCACAACAGCGAGAGCCTCGTGTTCCACTTTGTCCGCATTGTGCTTAAGGTCTTTTAAAGGTATATCTTGCTAACCATGTAAAACTAAAGATGTAGGCGACGGACCCGCAGTTTTCAGTTCCTGTTCGAAAGGACTAAATTGAACGATTTGTAGATGAAGTTTCAAAGGTTTTATGTTAAGATCTGGTCTGATCAGGTTGAAACCCTCGACCTCCTGCGCGGCAATTCGCATCTCTTCCAATTGAGCAACCACTGCAGTAGTTTCATCCTCGCGTAAACTAAAACACTCTTATCCGTATGACTCTAGGGAGTAGCCGGAGTTCCTGGCCCTATGGGCAACACTGGACGTCCCGGTCTCCGGGTAAGAAAAACTGGATGAATGTCTCAATGGTTTGAAATTGTATGGAAGAAAACTCAACTTTGTAAGGTTAAGCCAGCTGATATGATCAAACTTGTGCCCAGTTTCCGCCTCAAAAAATTTTCATTTTCCTTATTGATAAGCTACGGTTTCCAGGCATTTCCTGAGCGACCCTCTTTGTATGGAGGGAGCCTAGAGGTATTTTAGTTTACAGCCCAAACTTTGCGTTAGCTATGTTCTCGCTTTCTTCAGGGACGAACAGGAGAACGTGGAAAGGACGGTAAAATTGGTCAGCTGGTAAGTCGTAACTCAGCCTCGATATTTGGTTCCATGAGGATGTTTCTTCTGTGTCGATTAATCAGGCAACGACTCTTCTAATAAGCTTATTAGTGGCCAGAAATCTTGGTTCATAAGAGATTGGTTTCTCCCAAAAAGCATAAAGGCCGCACTTCTTCAACACAAACGTTGTTGACATGCCACAGCGTGTTGCGCTAACTAACCAAGGATATTATTCTATTTTTCCACAGGGTGACCGTGGTCCAGTTGGTAAACCTGGGCTGCCTGGACCCCAGGTAAGTCTTGAAAGTAAATTATAAAGTGGTAAATTATTCCTCTATTATTTTACTGACATTTCCTTTTTGGGTATTTTTGGTTAGGGCCCACCTGGAAAAGTTGGCAAAGCTGGAAGTAATGGCGAAGATGGAGCTCCGGTAAAGCTAATATGTGCATCCATTAGAATGTATTGCTTTATGTGAGCGGTTTATTCTTTGGAAAATTAAAACTGTGAATTAGCATTTGTGAAGCCAAAGCAACATGTATTGTCACTAAAACCTCTCTTTTTATCCTTGAGTTAATCTATTCGCTTATAAACCATTCAACCTGTAAGTATTCACAACGAGTGAAAAGGCATTATCTGAGATCAAACGTGTGAGGAAAACTATGACTTTCTCATATATTTATCTTTGTTTCTTTTTTTCATTAATATATTCTTTGTTTCTATTTTTAAGGGCGGGGCAGGACAACGTGGATCTCGAGGTCGAAATGGAAATTCAGGCTCACCTGTAAGTAGATGTTTGGTTATCTACATTTTTCACGTTTTGTCGCGCGCAGAATCAGAACTTACATAAAATTAGTGAAATATGTGACGCAACAATTGAGTTATATTACCCTGCTTTTCCTGCCCCACATAAAAAATAAATGGTAGGGCGTTGAACCATTGATTTATTTTTATTCATTATTCAAATATTGCTCATTTTACGAGCGCACGAAGGCAAGTGCTAGATAAATGTGAATGACACATGAGTTTGGCGTGAAAGTATCAGGGCAAGCGCAGGTTACACTCCCTTAGCTGTATCGATAGCATAGCGCGCTTATTCACCTCTGAAAAACGTCAAAAAGTAAACTAGTTCTGTCAGCTGAAGCGATTGGTAAGTACCAGTACTATTTTTCTCTTCAGGGTTGGCCGGGGTTACTTGGGTTTCCTGGAAAAAGAGGATCGAAAGGAGAAAAGGTTTGAAAATAATTTTCATCTCCTTATACCCTCAGCGGTAGTATGCACATTCCCCACACTACTCTCTCTACATTCCTGGTGTGATGGAGACGAGGAGAATTTGGTCAGAAAATCAAGAGCTTATGAAGCTGTGATCATTTCCCTTAACTTCCTTTAACATTGCTAAAGTCTGTTTTGTGTCACAAATTGTTTTCAACATTCTTATATAGGTGTCAATTAAGGATTGTACCTAACTAAAAGGACAAGGGGACCTCTCAACCCTTTTTTATGGACTTTTGGCGTAATTTCTCATTTTGTTACAGGGAATTGCGGGGAATCCTGGCTTGCCTGGTGATGATGGTCAGTCTGGTGCCCCGGTAAGCTATTCAACTTTCTCAGTGAAGTTCACTTACTTCTGACATAGCGATTTTATTATGTATTTAATCATGTAAATATCTTTTTTTCTATTGCACTCATTTTGGACTGGTGATCCTCGCAACCTAATTGTCTCTCAGCGCAGTGCGATTGACTCGATTCATTGTGTTAAGTTTTAAGCCGGCTTTTTTGAAAAGTAATCAAACAGTGCACACGTTACTTTTATAATTGGACAGTGTAATAATCAAAGTTACTCTGGGAAATTTTTTCGTCTTTTTGTATATTTACATTCTATTTATCATCATTTTAAGTGCGCTCTATTAAGAACCGTCCTCTTCATCACTTGTGGTACGTAAGGCAAGAATAATTTCTTTGCGTGTAGCTCTGTTTTTTTACAGCATATTATGTCTCCCCACATTCAAGTTTTACCTCACCGAGCTCATCAAGCTCACTAGGCTCACCGAGCTTAGCAATGTTAGCTCGGCGCCAGGACTCAGTTCAGAGACCGTTTTTAATTTTGACAGGGAGAGGACGGAAGACCTGGATCACTTGGAATGCCAGGTCCACGTGGAGCAAAAGTGAGTGATTGCCATGCCGGTTACGTACGTTGGTATGGATCTTTTAGGATGAAGTTCATGTATGGCACTTTGATAAGAGTCAAAAAGAGTTGCATGTATTTAATGATATTTAGATGATCTCTTCGACGCCATATTGACGGATTAGGCTTCATCAATAGGGAGATTACGCCACCGAATCGCTATAAACTTGATCGTCTTGTTTATCTCTTATTGTCATCAAGAATGGCTTGCAATTCCCTTATTGTAAAATGTTCCGAATAGCTTCTTCGTGTAACGGGAAAAGTTGCACTAATAAGTACGAAGAATCTGTGGGATCAAAGCGGGCAATCCCGAGCGAGTTTCCCATTAGAACACAGGATTTGCTTTATATTTCCCGCCACGTTCGCCGCTGGAGAAAGTGACGGACCAAAAAGAAAAGGTTGAGGAGCAAAACGGTGAACTACAACTTGAAAAACTACCATAAAATTATTGACATAGTCACAGTATCAACAAATTTACTAAGATTCTTTTTTTATCACAGGGGAATGATGGTGTAAACGGAATACCAGGTCGAAGTGGAAAGAGAGGTTCAGAGGTAACTATAGATTTGCAATTACTATTTCTTTATTTAAGTTGGCAAATGGCGACTTAAAAAAGTTGATCTTGGATCCCTGTTCTTTCCTTTTGGCGTCAATCTGAAGGTTTCAGAATTTTACTAGATCAAGGAGCCAATGGAAACATGGAATAAAACCATGAAAAATGTAAAACGCGAGCGACCAAGCCGCAATTGGTTTAGTTTTGATTTAGTATCGAGTTTTCTTGGCCAATCACCGAGCGAAACAAAGCAAAACCAGTAGAACCTCAGATTACTTTCGACACTCCGTAGCAAATTTTTCACAGACATTTTAAATTCTAATTTCTGTTTTTTACTTTATTTTAGGGCTTGAAAGGCCCACCAGGAACGCCAGGAATTCCGGGATTGATGGGAGGACCTGTAGGTTGACCTTTTTGCTTCATTCTGATATTAGTTTTCTATGCCTTACTATCTTTTCTTCTAAGTTTCCGTTTGACAGCGAGTCGGGCTTATTCTTAATGGATCATGTAAGCAAACGAACGAGTGATACGAAGCGCCATCAAATAAATGGAAACGTCACCCTTACACCTGATGCTCTTCTTAAAAGAATCAATTGGTTCTTGACTGTTCTCAATAGCGACCTTTATACTTTATATTCCTTAATTTTTCTTGACATTTCGTGCGATAGTTTCAAAGCGACTCATGTTTACAATGATTTTCCTCATCATTTTATGTTTTTACTAACGATTTTCCCTCTTGTAAAACGTTATTTCTTTTTCGGATCTACATGTAAAGAATAATATACTATGGCACTGCGTACTTAACCAGTGCTAACACTGATCTCATTTCATGTTTTCGAGAATTGTCTCAGCCTGTTTCAATAATTAGGTAACTATATGTAACTTCGTTTCGTTTTTTGTTTTTTTTGGTCCTTTTGTTTGTTTGTTACTGTATGTTTGGAGATAGTAAAGATCACATGAAAAACGTGCCTCGCATTTAAATTACTGAAAAGTTCGTGATTGTTTTTCCACAGGGTCCCTTAGGACCACAAGGTCCTGCGGGACAAAAAGGAGGACTTGGAGATAAGGTAAGTCCATTTGAGAATTCTCCCCCTGATTAGGTTTGTGTTCGGTCCGTGTGGGCCAAATCACTGACCATAAATATAAATACCGGACAAACATTACGTCTATAATATTATGAGGTCTTTGCCAACATTGATCACAAAGTCTGTAAGTTGACTGGCAGGTAACATTGACAGTTTTCTTTCTTAATTTGTTTTTGACGTGACGTCACGGTAGCCGTATTGATCAGGTAATCAACGACATGGCGGCCATGTTAGTCTGCCGAAGTACTCATGGATCTCAACACTTTTCTTTGTAAACAGTTCTGTTTATTCTAGAGATTTACATAGCTGCCTAGCACATGACTGAAAACGTTATTTTGGTAATTGATAAGAATTAGCAGAATGATTAGTCATAACGTTCGGTGGCATTACAATTATTTTGAACCAACCGAATAATAAAAACCATGGATGTAACTCTAAATTGATTAGGCTCGTCTCTCATAATTATTTGAAACACATGATATCAAATTTATCCATGATTTTCTTTTACCAAGGGAGGGAAAGGCGAAATTGGAGACCTGGGAACCAAAGGAGCAGCTGGAGAATTGGTAAATGTGAATTATTGACTAGCGATGTATGTTCTGTTTTGATATACTTTAGGCTTCATAAAATTACGGTTCGCTCACCAAATATCTCCACTGTTCGTGATCTTGATCGTGAGAACTATTTTGTAACGCACACTGAATCAAGAAGACTCAAACAATTTAACTTTATTTAGCAGTTGCAAACAAATGACATTTGTATAATCAGGGTGAATATTCTGGTTAGTATTCGTCTATGCCGTGCATATGTACATTAGCCTCAATCAGCGCGAAAATATGTCCTGATACTTGTCCTCGTATTCAAAGTGTCTCGAGAACAATCAATAACCATCATCCAACAATTATATATGTTTTTTGGCTGCGAAGAGGAGAAAAGCGTTTGCAAACAACCCAGCGCGAAAAATGAACAAATAAAAACAACGCTGATAACTTGGGGTTAGACTACTTTTCCGCGTTTTCTAGTTAGACTTGATGAGAAAAATCTAGCAAAACGCTCCTCCATCTTAGTAGGTAAATGTTTCAAAAAGGAGTTTTCTTTGAGAAATGCGAGACTCGAAAATTAGGGGATATTTTAGTGGGGAAGGTCATCGGGTATTCCTCAGTTTTACTTATGTTTCTCCACGTAGTGTGTTTAGGAGAGTCATGCACGAGCAGAAATATTGAACAGATTGCAAACACGCACTACACCACTCTAACAAGAACTCTTACCAAGTACTCTTGCTTGTCAGCAAAAAAGCCGTAACGGAGTTTAGAAAAATCCTATTAATTGGATTTAAAACACGCTCAACACCATACTAACGTTAGCTCTTACGAAGTGCACTCACCTACAAATATAAATACCTAATCGTGTTAAATATTCAAGTTGTGTCTAAAATTGCAGGGTTCCATCGGGTCTGAAGGCGAACCTGGTAATGAAGGACGTCCTGGAGCTGTAGTGAGTACCACTTTGTACCAACTTGATAGCTAAATCATTGTTATGAATTATGCCACGTGGTGTGTTGTAACAGAACGTTCTATTCCTCTTATCTAGGGTTTAAGAGGTACACCAGGCAATCCAGGCCGTCCAGGTCCTCATGGAAGAGAGGTATGGCTTTTGCTTTTAAAAACTTAACTTAGCTTGGTTTACTTCGCTGCAAGCAAAATGTTAATTTTCTTTGTTTGTTTTTTCTTTGGTAAGATTTTTTAGCTTTGAGAGTTTTGTGTTAAATCAGTCGTTATCCCCTGTTTTATTTCTTTTCTATTATTATCTTAAATGCTTAAAGATGATATGGAGTTGTTAAAAAAATGTCATTTTTAATCTCACCTCGGAATGAAACGGTTAAACCAACTCACCTGATCGTTATTCCTGTTTTTGAATTGTTCTCGTTTGCTGTTTTTAAGTTTTGTTTCGTTTTCTAACAATATTGTGATGAATGTATATCGTTTTGTTGAATATTTGATAGTTAAATAAATAGAAAACTAAAATGAATTCTTTTTTCCAGGGTCCTGCAGGTAGACCAGGAAAAGATGGTAGACCGGGCATTCCTGGCACAAAGGTTTGTTAAGTGTACCTTCGCCATTTAACTAGAGGAAACTGAATCTAAATGATAAGTTCTGAAAGAAAGAGACAAGAAAGAAAGAGGAATTGTAAAGGGATTGGACGCAAAAGAGTCAATTCATTTGTTTTAAATCAATTTGTTGTTTATCCCAGGGTGCCCAGGGACCTCCTGGACGAGCAGGAAAACCTGGACTGCCAGGGCTTCAGGTACTTGACGTTTGATTGAGTTTTATGTGAAAGTGAACGAGACTGTTTGCTAAAATTTTTCCTCTCTGTTTTAATCTTATCAGGGTATATTTGGAACAAGTGGCGAGAATGGTTTATCAGGCAAACAAGGACAGATGGTAATTTATCATCTGATACACCAATGTCATCATTACCTTAGTTACGGGGGACAAAGACATTAACTTGAGCGCATGGGCTATTGAGACCAGTTCGTTGTGGCACCTACCAATGCCCTTTCCAACAGAAGTTGACACTTCACCTAAAATTAAGAAAAGCATCAACCAAAAACAAAGAAACAAAGAAACGCTACGCGTTTAAAAAAAAATAATTTATGTAGAATCATACCTGAGAGAATTCGGAATCCAGCCAAAAGGAAAAGTCCCCCACCCTCCCCCCTGCAACCTGGTGAAAAGAAATAAAACTAAAATTGGCATTCAGGTCCCGCCTCCACTGTCTGAGATTAAGCCATTCTTAGCTTAATCATCCGACTTGACTGCTCAATAAGGAGCGTAAGATATAATGCTGAGTAGAATGCTAGTTTTCATCACTCGTTTAACGAAATCATCAGTTACCATTTTTATGTTTTGTCGGTAGGGACAAATTGGACCACCTGGAGAACCTGGACCAAAGGGACACCAAGGAAGGGAGGTAATACGATTAGTATCATTATCTTTTATTTGCCTTATTTACACAATTCAAAAAATTTATTTACAACGGTTATAGCTAGGGGAGGAGACCCAGGAAGCCACCGGGCATATGATAGAGCCACCCCACCTACATTAATAAAATAAAAAGAGCTGCGAATGTGCGGCTAGGCCAATTCAGTGATTATTTGGTTAAAAACTCTTGCATTTTCGTCTTAAAACTAAGGTTTGACGAACGAGTGACTGAAACAGGAAGAGAGTTCCAAATTTTAGGACCTTGGTAGAGAATTGTAAATTGCTTGAGATTTGTACGGCAATGGGTGTAAAAAGGAAATATATTGAATAAATTTTTTTATGTAAATGGTGCCACGCCTGCTGGAGTGTTTGATTTAATCGGAATAGTAACATTAACATCTTGAAATTAACATCAACTCGTGCGCTATAAGAAAAATTATGTAAGAGTTCTATGTTGCATCTACGTAGATATCAACGTATTTTTTTGAGTTTCGTGTTTCACTATTTTCGTTCTGTGACTTGTCACACTCTGCGTTAAGTGCTTGTTTTAAAAACACCTTGTAGGGAATACCCGGTTTCGCAGGACGTCCCGGATCGCCAGGAGCAGATGGAGAAGTGGTGAGTTAAAAAACATTCATAGTGACCTGCAATTTCAAATATAGTTGGTATGTTACCTGTTCATGGCAACCGATACCTTCTCTTTAGAAAGTCTATGGGAAACACTTTGAAATCAGCAGAAAACGGAAGCGCTGAAACCTTTTTTAGGAAACAATTGTTGAACAATTACCAGTACGTGTAACCCAACTTTGCCTAGGAATTGATCAAGAAGGACTTAGGAGGACGCTTGAAGCGGTTTTTTTGCGAGACAAATACCACGTGTATGCTGAATACTTAATTAGGAAAACACGCGCATGCATAAGTTGAACCAAATCACTAAAAAAGGTTCATGCGTGACTGAAAACGAACTGCATTTCGTTGGGAGACAGCCGAAATTATCCACCAATCTTGGACTCTCTTTTTCCAGGGAGATCGTGGGACTGATGGTATACCCGGAGCACTTGGTGAGCCTGGATTTCTGGTAAGTAAACCTTCGTAGCTTACTACTCCTTTAGCGAATGAAATGATTGAAGCACCAGATAACTCAAGCCATTATTTAGTTAGGTGTCTGCCACGGAATTGTAACTTGGAGTTCTCATGGTTCATGTTCAGGGAGGTCTTTTTCTTGTCTAACTTTCAGGGATTTCCTGGGCCAGCCGGGGACGAAGGATCCCCTGGTATCGATGGACAACCTGTAAGTAATCAAACAAGTAAACAAAGTAATCAATGAAGCAGTTTTCGATTGAGTTTCGAAAAATCGAAAGCAAAGTATTAACCATTACCAATCAGAGAAAAGGTGACATTAGAATGAGAACTTTTCAGGCAACCTGTTTGAAGTGCAGGAAAATACAAGAGACCTAGTTGGAATTGGTTTTTAGTTTTTCGTTTCGTAAAGAGTGGCGTGTTTTTCTAAACCAATCACAGAGTAAAATGAAGCGAGGGCGAAGCAGTTCGGGATCACTTTCTGTACTCTATTGGTACCTGCTCTCAGGAATACTAAAGAAAGCATACGAGAAAACAAATATACTACAACCTTAATCTGCAGTAAGAACCGCGCATGAAAACCCTTAATCTTTTGTTCTTAGGTTACAGATTTCTCTTGAGAAGGAGTTTTGGAATCACACCGAATTAACGCGTTTTTTATGTCTGAAACACACTATTGTCTTGTGTTCCCAACTTTCCTGTCCAATTCCAACATTTCATTCCGTCGCTACTGTCGTTCTTTCCATAAAAATCATGAATTTGTTTCGTAATACGGAAGTTTGAAATAAGTTCGAAACTTCAAGGTCGAAAGCATCCGTTGGCGGTGGGATTTCCTGCGCACTGCACTGAAGAGGCCTCCTGTAGTACCTAGATTAATCTTTTATTCTTCTTTGTTTGCCGTTCAACCAATCACAACAGTCTTAAACCCTTATGTGACTTGCTTACGATAATTGAAATTAGAAGCATTTTATTCATCTCCAAGGGGATCCGTGGACAAGACGGTGAGCCGGGACAAGATGGAGAGCCTGGAGAAAAAGTAAGGAACTCCAACCAAACTAACCTAATCTTCCAACTGCCTTTTCGTTTAATCATCTTTTGTTTACATTTTCCAGGGAGACGAAGGGGAAAGTGGAAGACTTGGGAAGCCTGGGCAGCAAGGAATGATTGGTTTTATGGGAGAGTCTGGGGAGAAAGGGGAAAGAGGAGTTCAGGGAGAGACGGTGAGTAACGCGTAGGGGACAGAATAACTTCAGAGTGTAATCAGTATGCATATAGAATGATTGCGAATTAGTCTTGATGGGCAAATAAATCACCCCTCTGTTTGTGTGAAAGGAGTCTTTATTAAAACCTGATTAGCTCTGTTTGAAATTTTTCTTCTGTAGGGAGATATTGGCGCGAATGGAAGCACGGGACCGATAGGATTACCTGGAGCGGAGGTTGGTGTTTGTTATGTAACACTTTCTATGTTTTTTAGTTGTTTCTGTCCCTGCTGTTTTTGCGTTTTTGTTTTTTTGTTTCTTTTTCTTTTTGCTGTTGTTGGTTTGTCTTCATTCCTTTTCAGTTACCATCATAACTAACTTGTGAGGAACGATCAACAGAAAATATACAGCCATAATTAGCTTATTAATCTCTATTATAATATTGAAAGGAATTCAAACATTTCATGTACCCTGTCTGTTCCTTAGGGAATACATGGAGAGGCCGGCGACGAGGGAGACAGTGGATTAGAGGGAGAGACGGTAATTATTTATCCCTTACCTGCATTTCCCTTTTCCTCTTTGTTGTTATTGTACTGCTGCATCGATCACTGTTCTCTTTTTTGTCAGTGAATGTTTTATTTTACAATTTTAATGCTACACATAATGTTGCTCAAAGCTTTTAAAGAAGCCCGTCACAAGGAATAATATTCACCTAGGTTTCGCCTCATTGACATCTATTGATTAGTCAGCTGTTTAGGAATCCTTGGCAAATTTTTCCCAAGTTTTTTTTAAAATTTTTTTTATTAAATTAGACAAGCCGTCACTCGTTCTTCACAAACTCGGACGGAGCCATTCTGAAGTTATTACAAAGCACCTTTTTTTAAATCTATGTCGCGACATTTTTAAAAGATGTGGTACAATCTGAACCTTTTCTGATGTGCAAATTATTTTGCTTTCGCTGTTTGTAGAATCATTTATCCCCCTTCACCAAATTAGGTTACATTCAAGAAAATAGACGAAGTTTATACATATGTCATTTCATTTCAGGGTGATCCAGGATTTCCAGGTTCCCTAGGAATGCCTGGTCCGCCTGGAGAGGAAGTAAGGAAAGATCTATCACCCTTTGACTCCTCAGAGTGACCAGCATCTAATTTGTCTTTACATTATCACCCCTGAATCAAACATTAAGGTCGAGGAGAATAAAAAAATTGAAGATTTTAGATAATGATCACATACTTTAAAAAGCTATGGATTGTTTAAGAAATTCAATTCTCCCTGTTAGCCCCTTTGGAAGTATATAGAAAAGAAAAGGAGACTATGTATACTGATGTTAGAGTGTAAAAGGTTAACTTGAATGACGCCGTATTAAGTATTGAAAGTGTTGGTCCTCTCTGTAGACACAGAGCCAAAACAAAACACCAAGCCGAAACAAAAAAAGGCATTTCTAATTTTGTGATTATTGTCTAATTGGAGATTTAGGTTCGAGGAACTATTCCATTAATCGTATATTAAGTTTACCGTTAATGCCTTACTACAGTACTTTTAGGAATAGTTGTATTCTTGAGTGAAAGCACGACATTTGTAGCGACGATAATGATGGCATTTTCATTAAGATATTTCTCATTATTATGCATCAGGGTGCAGTAGGCGAACCAGGGCGTAATGCTAGTATTGGACCACTGGGACCAAAGGTAAGAATATCACAGATTTCAATTCAAAGATAATCTTAACGTGGTCATTTGAAAATTTCTTTCAAAGAAAGGGCAGCCTGGCCTATCCCTGCTGTACTTTGATATATTTGACAGCGTAAAGCGCTTTTTTCTTTATAAATCAGTTGAAAAGTTAGTTTAAAACAGACGCTTTTCATCTTGTCACGAGCGTGGCACAGAGAATCGCCCACGGGAAATCGATTCGTACTCCGATCCTCTACCACTGAGCTACAGAGATCTTATTGATAACCTGGGTCATCGCTTACTCCATACATGGCACGAATCCCGCTTACTGGAGAAACAAGTTGTGGAAAAGAAGTCTAAACGATCCAACATTTGAGTTGATAACTATATCTGACGTATAATCACCAACGACTTTACTCAGAGTTGTACCCACATCGATTGACTTGTAGCTTGTATTGTTATGAGTCGATTTTTCTTCTGCTAATGGCAAAGATGGACGTGAAAAATTGAAAGGGAAAAAACAATTTGTGCACGAGTTATTTTTGTTGTAGGGAGTTATGGGACCTCAAGGACCACCTGGGCCACAAGGCTTCACTGGAGCCGAGGTGGGTGTTACGATCAGTTTGCGTTTCAGAGCTGCAAATTCGTAGTATGATTTAATCGGCAACCAAGAAAGCAATCACTAGCTTCTTTCAGGTTCTCGGTTGGTGGAGACGAACGAACGAGGGGGCAAGAGAAAATTGGAGATCTCGAAAGGAGCAGCGAGGAGGAAAAGTCTTAAACCCTTCCCCCTCCCTCTCGTCGTTTTTCTCGCGCGCTGTGCTTTTTTCGTTCGTTCTCATGTAAACGTTGAAGCATCACAGGAGACAGAGATTGTGTGATCGTAGAGCTATTATTAGTCTTAGTACCTTAGCATAATGAGCTGTTCTAATTGGACATAAGGCCACACTCGGAGGGGGGGGGGGCGCGGGGGGTTGTAGAATACTACCATACGTATAGACAGTGGCGGATGGGCAAGATCTCCAGTAACCATCGTGCCAGTAAAGCAGTTATGATCTTCTTCAGCTCAGTTATTAAAGTTTTGTGACGATCATAATTGCGAATTGTCAACATTTATTATTGCATTCATTGCTTTCAATTTTGCTGCAAAGCTCGTCATTGAAGTTACTTGTACTGTGTGAGGAAATTTACCTCAATCTTGTCAGTAAATGTCAATGAAAACCTACTTTCATTAATTTAAGGGGGTTGTCGGACCTCAAGGAGAACATGGAAGTCCTGTAAGTACAAATATCCTAAGACTCTATTTCAAACTAACCTTTCAGGAATAATTAACAAATTTCTTTCTAGGCCCGAAAACTATCATTAGAGTTCCAATTATTCTTCCCCAAGCTGCTAAAGTAACTCCAAACGACACCCAAGTGTCCATTTAGTTTGAATGATAATTTCCTTTGGTTACTTAATTAATCATTTAACAATCTAATTCTAGACTGATTTGTTTTTCGTTTTTGTGCTTGCTTTTCTTAGGGTCCCAGAGGAAGAGTGGTAAGATATATTCAATGTTGGACGACACGCGGGATTCATCATTATTTTCATCGATGTACCGCAGCAATCTTATGGAAATAGTTCTTATAGTCCACCCGTACCTCCTTGTTGATCGATATGCATATTTATCCTCCGTGACTCTGTCAGCGTAAGACGCTCTACTCTTCACAAGAGGGCGCTATTACAAAATCATCTATAACACTATAGATGCAACCAGTATGCATCGAAGACGGCTAGTTGCCCAGTGGTTTTCTCACTCGAACTTATACTTTAACGCATTCAGTGAGATACATTATATTTTGATGATAGATAGAAAACGCAATAGAAAAAAAATTGTTGAAATACATTTTTAACGTGCCTGTAAAAGGAATAATTTTGTAGCTAGAAACTCACTTGGTAGGGACTTAGGAACAATTTCATAAGGTGTAGCTAACTTTCAGTTTAACGCCTAATAACTCTGTGACATTCTTGACTTTTTTCCCTCCCAGGGATCCGAAGGGCTTCAAGTAAGTAAATGGGTCGTGCTGTTACTGTGACGCTTTTTTCGCATTGTATTTATTTTTTGATCATAGCATTGTTATTGAGCCTTTATCCTATGATGATGATGTTGTTGTTGTTATTCATCGTTGTTATTGTTGTTGTCGTTCGCGTTGTCTCAAGATTTCAGAAGCAACGAAAACAAGGTTATTTAATGTTAGCCTTATGAAGATATTTCAAGCCTCTGCCTGATCTAGATTTGTGTTTTATTTAGTATAACGAACAAACGATCGCTCCGAAACCATCAAGCTGAGATTATCATGTGTTTACTGGTTCCTACGCGCATGCGCGAGATAAAACCGCAGACCAATATGTTTCAGGGCGTGAAATTAACTTTTTTTTCTGATTGCCACTTGGCTCCTAAATTTTTCAAAGTGGTTTAACAAGCAATTAAAAAACAATTTGGTCGCCCTGTTTTAAGACAAACAAAACCTTTCTTTTACGCTGTCAGCGTCATAGATAGACCCTTCAGAATTAAGTTAGGAAAAAGATAGTTAACTTGCCACAAAGTGGACACTAGGATGTATGATATACAACCTACAAGCTCATCTAAATCCAAGATGGCGTCTAGTTATCGATCGATATGCATGTGCTGCGTTTTGGAAACAAACTTAACGAGGAAGTTTGCCGCGGATTTATCTTTGCAAATCTTTTTAATTCACTATATCTCTATGTAAGGTTAGGATGAAGCATTCTTATCGCCAATTTGGTGACTAATTCTCAGGATTTGGTCGCCATAGTAAAATATTTAGTCGCATTGGCGCCTGCATCAGGCACAATTTCACGCCCTGTGTTTGGGAGCAACATAAATGTCCATGTTATTTTACTATTTCACCCCAGGGACCCCCCGGACCACCTGGCCCACCAGGAGAACAGGTTTGACGCAATTTATTCCATCTATTGTTCATCTTGCTGTGCATATCAGCCTTTACCATCCTTAACGTGTTTTCGCCCGCTTGTAATTAGTGAAGACGCATCATGCGTGCCCCGAATCAGGAATAGCCTTCAACTGCCAAAATTGAATTACAACGGAAGAAATAATAATGTCGAAGCTCGAAGAATTGCAATTTACACTTTGCTCATACATATGATGCAAAAAGAATCAGATAATCCTAAGTCAACCGGCTCGTGCCTTTTTCTTGCCGATTTACCTTAAGGTGCAGGAGACGAAAGGAATATTCAAGTGACAATTTCTGCCCATGTTGTTGAAATTTCAGTCTTTTTCACCGGCAACAGCAATTTTTTGGACTTCTCTCTCTGGTACGATCACACTACACGATCACACTCCACGATCGCACTTTACGATCAGCTGACTTACCTCGATTTGATTTTCTTTCATGCAGGGACTTCCTGGGAAAATACCTCTTGGTTGGGTAAGAAATAATGATGTTATTCTGTTTCTTCTCTTTTATTTTTTATCCTTGTTTACATTCAATATATTTTGGTTACTTTTAGACGCACTCACATCAGACCCAACAAAATAAAGGTCCAGGATTTAGACTGTACTCAACACAAGAGGTAGGGTCTATTATGAAGCACTGTAGCTGCAGCAGTTAATGAGTATTACAAACACAAATTATGGACACATTAGCCCTTTAACCCTTACGAGTGACTCGCATCTTAGTTCTCCTTACATTATCACCCCTGAGTCACACATTAAGGTCTTGAGAATATAGGGAATGATCACCAACATAAGGACTTCTTCATTGTGAAACAAATTCTCCCTGCATCCTAACATCAGTAAGCGTTTGCTCTGTACCGTTCTCCATACATTTCCTAAAGTGCTGATGAAGAGAATTTGCTTGAAAACGATAAAGACTTTGTTTCGTTGATTATCATTTCATCTTTTTTTGTGACCATAATGTTTGATTCAGAAGTGAAATTGTGTGGAGGAATTAGATGTTAGTCACTCCTTGGAGTCAAAGGGTTAAGAACATAATCTTGTGCTAAATGTGTTCATTGGTTCATGCAGACGTTGATTCATCTATTTTTAAGCTTTTGTTTTAGTGCAGCTGTCACAGGTGTTGGTGATACTGTTGATGTTGTTGTTGATTTTCTTTTTTAGCAGGAAAATGCTGGTACTACAGAGTATTATTTTAGGGGTCTCAGCAGTGTTATTTATTTCTATAAATCACAAAATGGCACCAGGACACATCCTGCGCGATCTTGTAGGGAACTTAACCTTGAACATCCTGATTATCCCAGTGGTGAGTAGATACGAACACACATATGGAAATTATCTTACAGTCCGTGTGAGCATTGCTAATGGTTTCTTTGAGAGCGAACCGTTGTTATGGGGAAAATCCTTAATGACATTGATAATAAAGACTATCCATTTCTGAGGGGACCACCCTTCAGCTCTGGCAAAACATGTAAGACATGAATCAAATCCTGCTCAGAGACAGAAGTGACAAGAATCATTCCTTTTCTTTTTTCTTTCCTTTCCTTTATTTTCATTTTTATTTTCAATTTCTCTTCAGGTGAGTACTGGATAGATCCCAACGAGGGATGCTCCAGTGATGCAGAATATGTTTACTGCGACTTTGAACGAGGAGCTTCCTGTGTTTATCCAAAGAACAAACAGGTCTGGTGTAATTATTTGTTCTTCTTGTTCTTGGGAAGCGAGGTGGCCCAGGGGCTGTGGTGTGGACTCCGCTTCCGAAGTTTGGGGTGCAATTTCCGGCTGGGTCATTGTGTTGTGTTCTCGAGCAAAATACGTTGTCCGCTTTGCTACCCGGGGTGTAGAGTAAACCTGAAGCGGGGTATAGATAAGCTGCGTTGGACAAATATTGCATCCGGGAGGGGGAAGAGATGGCGAAAAATGGCCAAATGACTCAAAAGACTCTTCATAAGCCAATATATCATCAGGGGTTTAGCTTTAGGAGGAGAGAGGTCTTTGGGTGACCTGTAACCATCCCCGCACACTTAGTGGTTAATATTTTCGTTAAGTCGACAAAATACAAACCTTATAATAAAGGATTGCACTTAGTACGTGGATCCGAATAATCCTTACAGCATAAATCGCTTTTAGTCCTAAAAACTGCACTTGACAGTTTTTTTTTCGCCGTGCTGAGGTTCGTTACTATGACCACACCCTCCTCCCCTTAAGAAATTCTAGCTTTGCTTCTGGACACTTTTTTGGGGGGGCTTGAAATTATCAAGAACAATTTCATTGCAGATTACAGCCCCGGATGCAAAACCATTCGAGTGGATAAGCGAAGCAACTAGCGACTTAGAACTTGTAAGTATAAGGTCAATGAATTTGTTGGTGGTGTTTATAGTCTTTTGAAAAACTCCAAATAGTTTATCGGGGTAGAGGTTTTTAATCACTTTTTCTATAAGTGGCTAATGATGGTATCATCAGCGGCTGTGCTGTAAGGCGAAACCCAAACACCAGAGCCTCTTTACAGGCTAAACTGACGACGGTGAGAGGTGCTACGGTCAGCGGTAGACCGCCCGTAACTGGCTTTTATTGAAAACCCTGACAAGGATCTTCACAGTCGGATTTCTTCTATAATTTCAGATGGGTTACAGCATGGTTCCGGTCCAAATGAGATTCTTGAGACTTCTAAGCAGGCGTGTGTCGCAGAAAATTACCTATCTTTGTTATAACTCACGCGCCTGGGACGATGACGGAGGTCGAACAATTAAGCTGCAAGGTGTAAATGAAATGGAGCTTACGGGTAATGACCGAACTAAGCCTGTTGTCCTAAAGAATGGATGCAAGGTAAAAACAAACAAACCGTACAATATTTTAGAAAGGATTTTCGACAACAGCCATCTATTTGGATTTCGTCTCTCATCCTCAAGTTTTTTATATTTCCCTTACGAAATAAAGATGTTAGTCGTCTTGTCGCGAGCGTGAAACAAAGGAAAACTCTGAATGACCGAAAAATTATATGACTGACCTAATGACTGAGCTAATGACTGACTGACTGCCTTATTGACTGACGTATTCATTGACTGAATAAATCTATGAACTTTTTAATGACTCTTTGACTAGCTGGCTGACTGTCTGACTGACGAAATAATTCTGGACTAATGTGACTGTGTGACCATTTGACCGACCGCCTAACTGATTGAATAACTAACTGACCAACCACTTGATAGAATGATTGATCTATCGATTGCCCTGTGAATTTACTAATCTATTGACTTAACATCACTAATTCAAGGTTTGTTCAAATCATATTCAACAGGAACTAAACGATGAGTGGCATGAGACAATTTTAGAGATCAACACAGTTGATAAGGAGGCGCTACCAATCATTGACATGGCTCCGTTTGACATAGCCAATTCTGAAAAGAAGAAAGAGTTTTTACTAGAGCTTAGCCCTGTTTGTTTTTATCACTGATTCTGCAGTTATAGAACTGGAAAATAGACTCTTCGTTTTGGCAGAGCTTGTTCAAGACGCACAGGGTCCTGAAACGTAGAAGACTTCCATATGTGGTCATAAGCTTATACTATTAATGAACTCAACAATTGAACGAATGAATAGAAATCAATTTCCAATATACAGATTACATCTACAAGTGTCCAAATGTGTTTTATTTATTCAAGAATTGAAATATCGAATGGTGAAAAACTAAGTATCTCTGAATCCAACACACCCTTTAAATACCGTGCAGTCTTTTAAACCTTCCAAAACACGGAAGTGCTCGAGGAGTTAATTACCAAATCGATAAATATTACATAAAATCATTTTTCGTATTTTAAATGCGCTGATGTCAGCTTTATTTATTTATGTCAATAATCTCTATATTCTCAAAAACAAGAAATGTTTATTTTGTTAATGTTTTATCAATGTACGGGATTTTGATTTTTCATATCGTGCTTTTTGGCCAGGGTTTTGCGATAAATGAAATAAACCCTTCTTATTATTTGATATGTTTTTTTTATATATATATATATATATATACGGTTCTATTTTTTTTAATGACGGAATTATCATATTGAATTTCATTCCCCTTTCGTTTTATTCTATTACTGAGGCGAACAATGTTCGTTGAGCTTGATTTTCATAGACGATTGGGGATTTCACAGTTTCTTGATTGTCCCAGAGTTTCCGACGAATGAAAAAATCGAAGATATTCCCGATTGCCTAGGATGGGAAGTGACATCTCCGTAAACTCGGGAGCGTTTCTATTTTTCTGACGCTTGCCAGATTTCCGGGATGGTCAGCGAACATTGCAATTGAAGTTATATGCGAAAGCTTTAGCCTACTACCAATCCTCTTTTTTCTTGGCTGAGTTGTTCCCTCAGCGGTGCACTGTCGTACGGCTCACCGGTTCATGTGTATTTTGATCGTGGGCATCCACACTTCAGGAATTTCCGTTCTACTGTCCCTTTCGATGTTGTTATGTTGAAGTCTTATGAGAATTGCCTCTTTGACCCTGCGAGTGTACCAGTAAGGATCACGATCAATAAATTTAACTTCATTCTAATGCTTCAAAACAAAATGAACACTTTTCTTCACCAACCATAACCTCAAGTGCGAGAATTAACTTTGATGACAACTTTCTGACGACTGCAAGAAACTATTTTTGGCCCACGACTAATTCAAAAGAGGATGCCATGTTACTTGCCCCAGTCCCTGAGGGGAAACCGAAAACACAAGAGTTTTGGTTACGGGGGTACACAAAACACGGAAATACCCTAAACACTGTGACACCGCCAAATTTTAAAAAAAATCTCGCCTGCGATAGACTGGCGCCGAGTATAAACCAGGCTCCTCGCGTTCGGCCCGGCATTCAATGCGCGGTGGGTCACCCGATAGTGAGAGTGAATCATTCAATAATGAGCCATTCAATTTGGTGGACCATTCGATAATGAGTCATTCAATTTGAAAGTGAGCCATTCAGTTTGGTGAGCCATTCAATTTGGTGAGGCATTCACTTTGGTGGGCCTTTCAATTTGATAGTACTCAATTGAAACACAATCCACCTGCCATAAAAAGTGTTGAGAAGTCACTGAGCGAGGCTCGTACGTCATGACCTCAAGCCAAATATTACCCTTTCCGGCTTTCACACTCAGTCAATACGTACATACTATATTTATAAGGCATGAACCGGGGGTCCATGAATTACAACCATGTGTATAGTTCGCGGATCACTTCTGTGGAACTCCTTTAATTCTAACTCTTCAGGAGTTTGGAAACCTGCGAATCCGATTGTTTCACAGCTACCGAGCAAAACTGGTGTGGAAAGATCTAACAGGCTGGAAGTCAAAATCCTACGGCGAAACTCGCTGGGGTCAAACTGGGAGGTGTTCAATGTGGATCTTTACGATGCAGTTACGGCCTCCAAAGCTGCAGGAGTGATTTGCCCGTGACTATTGGCTGGTTGAGACTACCACGGGCTAGCGTAGAAGCCCTCAGGATTTTTCTATTACTCGACAATGACGCTACAATAGACGGTCTTGTCAGAGAGCTACCACAGTACATCGCTGCTACTGAGGATGTGGCTATTGAATACGAGGGAAGAGAAGTTGAGTGGTGGAATGTCTACGAAGAGAGGCTTCCTAATTGGTCTTCTGCAGTCAAGAAGTCTTGCTTGTTCAACCTTCGTCTGCTGCCGCAGAAAGAATTTTTAGCCTGTTATCGGCGTCTTTCCATGAGCAGCAAGAGAATGCACTTTCTGACTACTTGCAAGCAATTGTAATGCCGCAATATAACAATCGCAGATGAGCTACATGAGAGTATAGACTTTTACTAGTGTACTGAACCACAAGTTAATTTGAATTTCATCGTGGTATTCCTTGCATTTCTTTCTTGTAGACCAACGGCTTCTAATAAATAATTTATTTTTTGAACTTATTTGCAATTTTTTCAAAGAGCATAATTTTGAAAAGATGGCATAATTTGGAAAATCGAGCGTAATTCTAGCATAATAACAGGATAGCTACTTTTATCGAAAAACTGGCACATTACCACTGATTTGTCGGGAAAATTAGAGTCGTCACTACATAAACTATAAATTTGGAGAAACTGTAAAAAAATGGTATCGAGCTTTTGACGTGTGATGGATGCGAGGATGAATACAACAAGTAAATGTGCGAGTCTGCAGGCCTATGAAAAAGGCTGGGACACATGTTTCAAAAATGTTCAAATGATTCTGACCTTTTTTTTTTTTTTTTTTCCACTCTCCTCAAACTAAAATTTGTTTTTGTCCAGCGGAGCGAGAGGATAGCGATGAAAACTTGAAATTTCACGGGGCCGTGACTGCAAAAATTTACCTTATTATTGTCACCTTGAACTTTGGGATTACTTAACCCATCTAATTCACGATTCTTTTGAAATGCCATTTACCGTATGTCCCAATAGAGAACTTTTATTTTTAAGCCTCATGGCAAGAAAAAATTAAAATTAGTACTCATTCGAAAAGGACCAAGGGTGAAAAGTTTACATTCTACTTTTTCCTCTACTTTGCATTACGGAATGTATTTTGGAAGATCTTTGGACGTAAGAAAAAATTTTTATCTATGTACAGATGTATCTATTTGTCTATAAATGTTTTTTCAAAAAAATTATTAAAATCTGGAAATGAGAAACATGGATAATTTAGCGATGCCCATAAAACATAGCCTTGTGAAGGTTCTACTGCTGTGCGCACTTGCTTGATGTAGCTGATGCGGATGATATACGCACGGTTGAGACTGAATAAATAGGCCTATTGTAAGAAATCTCTTAGCCTAACGTTGATTAATGTTTGGCGTTTTTCTGGAGAGCCTCATTAGCGAAATGCGAGTTAATCCCAGCTATTGTTTTTACTAGTTTCAAAACAACGCGTTTCGCCCAAAGGGATGAATAATGTTCACTAGAAATAGCCAACCAGTCAGATTACTCTTTGAAATCACCAATTATCATATAGTGAAATGTAGTAAGCGATTGCGTGGGAGGGGCAGATAGGAGGATATTAAGCTTGAGGTCATGAAAAACGGGCAGAGCGTTCCTACGTCTATCCATTAAGACCGAGAACCAATAACTTTCCGGATCGGCCGATCTAACATAATCGATAACCATTTTGTCACATGGACGTCGCCGTTTCTCTTTGGCTACCTTGTTTCTTGAAAAATATTTTATCATTAAATCTCCGTTTAGGGCCGATGGTGCTGACAGGGCCAGAGAAGAAGTCTTGTTTCATCACACGGCGCGGCGAGAAGAGAAAAGAAAGGAAGAAGGAGAAACAGCGGGGGTCATCAGATAAAATGCTAATTGCTGAGTAAGTAATGTATTCGTCTGACGAGGCGTATGTGGACAAACAGCTCGTGTCCAGTCCATTACAGGCGCCCTAGAAGATGCACGTAAGAAAGAAAAAGAAAAGAACAAAGATAATAGTACTATGGGCTACAGAATGAAACGATCGTGAACGCTCTTCTATTCAGTCACACAAAATTAAGCCACAGAAAATAGATTTCGAAAATTTTAATAAAAAAACAAAAAGTGAAACCAACAAAATCATTTAAAAGTAGTGGCAATTGCTTAGAAGTGCTCAACGTGCACGGGAGATTCCGTTGCTTCTACTGCTCTGAAAACTGAGTGCATCTAAAACTTTAGGTGACCACGCCAACTAAGTATAAAATAAGTTTAAACGAGCAATAAGGGAAACGGAAAGCAGACTTGTAAAGCCTTCCACGGCTTAATTCAGCAGTGCTAGGCCCAAGACAGAGGAAACGACCAACAGGATGGTGCTGGCAGTGAAATGTGAGCTTGTGTTACATCCGTCTTCAGAACAGCAGCCAATCGCGCAATGGTAGTCCTTCCGAGCATCTTCCAATTTTTCACAAGCGGTCTTTCTGGTGTCACAGAGCGATTGGTAAGTACATCCACTCAAAACCAAGGCAACGTGATCTTCGGCTTTATACCAATGTCTGATGCATCTATCGCCGACCAAACACGTCCTTAAAAAGTTGGCTTTGTCTGCCTCCAACTTGCTCTTCTTACATGCGTCTTCAGTACCCTCGCAGACATAACATTTTAAAGCAAAAGCTGACGAATTAAAAAGAAATGATTAGAAAAAAATTGTTCAGATAGCACGTTACTTACACGTTTCTCTCTCGGGTTTAAAGACCTAGCAAGCGGAAATTAGCGTGAGTCCCATGGGTGTCCGCCTTTATAGATTCCACTGTTTGTGTCTGCTCTCCGATACAGTCCTCATAAAATTTTGGAACATTTAATTTGCGTTGAAGAATGCGACGTCAAAGCAAAGTGTCCTTTGAAGTGAATTGAATGAATGTACACCCTGGGAGGTGAGTAGGGGAAGGGGGAATTCCCTTGATAGGGTTAACGAGGCACGTATTGCAATTGCCCAATAAAGCATGGCTCTCTGAGTAGCATTAGAGATGGCCGTAACACCATCGCCAATACTATTTTGAAAAAGTTGTCTCACACAAAGCCATCTCAACTATACTACTTTCCATTTTATGGAAATAATTAATGGAAATAATTTTATGGAATAATTTTATGGAAATAATTTTATGGAAATGATTTTATGGAAATAATTTTATGGATGCAAAGGATGGTAATCATCATTTTTAACTCGTGAATTGCGCGCATGCGCAAGAGCGAGTTATAGATACCATGTGGGGAATGGCATTCGCTCGCTCGCTCGATTGGTCGATTCCTGTAAACTTTTTTTTAGATTTAAGGCTTTTGAGTGCATTTGATAGTTTTTAGCGAGCAATAAACAGAAGAAATGGCGACATTTGTTGCTAAGAATAGTGGTGGGGTGAAAAAGAAGCCAATGATAATCTTAAAAGAGTTTTTTTTTCATTTTAGTTTCAACAAGCGGCGCCAGCGACTGGCAGGCATGCAAGGATTCACACTGATTCACACTGAAATAACAGATATTAGATATTTTTGAAAAGATCGAGAGTGTGTTACCTCAGATTAATGCTGATCGTAAAAGATTGATCAACATCAATTTCACTTTAAAACGAACAATCAAAATGATAAAATTACAATACAAAAATATACCAATATACAATCAAAAAGAACATCAGCATTTTATATACAATATTGGAGTTGAGTTAAAAAACTATTTGGGGATGATATCAAAACTAATATTCGTAGAATGAATTTTTGTGAATACTCCTCATTCCATTTGTCATCCGAAGGACACGTAACATCAAAAACCCTTAGCCGAGTCAAATAATCTTGATAGATAGATAGATAATCTTTATTTACTCACGGACAATTCGTCAGCCATAAAAACATTCAAATATATAAACATGCATTAAATGGATAAGAGAGTATAAAAACTATACTTAAGGCACAAACCTAACTAAATATGCTTTCCACGAATGCCGTGCCTGAGTACTTAAGAGCACTTGTCTGTAAAAATTAAACATATCGCGGCAAGGATGGAAAATTCGATTTCTGTCTTATTTTAATGTTAGATAGGCTAGGCTATAACTAAAATCACTGGATACTTTTTTTGGCGAAATATCTTTTTATTTCAGAAAAAAATACAAATAACGAAATTCCGTTAATATTCCTTTCGTACTTATTAGGGGTGTTTTTCTTTCCACTAAAATTGCAAGGAATACCCTAATAGCATGAAAGTGAACCTTTGGTACATTTTTACTGCACCATGCTACAAAACGCAGTGGTGGGGATGTGTGGCTTATGTGAGGCAGGGGTGCTATGTTCCGTGGTCAATGGGTGGGGCTTGCAAAAAATGGGGTGGTACTATTAACCACTGTTAACAGACCCAACTACCGTTTAAAACTTTAAACTTGAGAGGGGCCGACATATGTGCGCTCGGCACAAAATAAGGTCGATCTCATCTTCAGGACCGGTAAATTTGAAAGCCGACTTATGACTTGCGATATTCTTGGTGCATGAAAGTAAAGGAACAATTTCCGTTTCACGCTTTCGATCTCTAGTGTTGTAACAACAAACTCCGCCAATAAGCGACTTGAACGAACAACAACCTTCCATTTTTTATGTAACAAAGTTGACTGTGTAAGTTAGTATTTGGGAAAAACAAAGTCCGAAGCCCCGCCTCTAAGCAAACAATAGGGATCGTGTAATTACCAGGTTTTGTTTACTTAGGCTTAAATTTTTTAGCAGGTACAAAATTTAGCTTTTTAACGAGTATTAGCCAAAGGCCCGATCTCCGCGACTTATATGTAAGAGATTTCGATGTTCACAAGAACAAAAAATCTGAGCTTTCTTTCCCCTTCCCTTACCCCCTAAAAATAACTTTCCATTGTATGATTTGCATTGCGTGGCGACTCTCCGTATACAACACTACGTTGACTGCAACATATGTGTAGTGCCACTTTCAAAAGTATCGATCAGATCTACTGCACCACAAACCGAACAACACTCACATTCAACTGAACCGCTGGATAAGATGCCACAGTGCAGAAAGATGTCAAACGTTTTACAACGAAGGTTTATGACAGTTCGCAGATTATCAGGCAGTTTCATCGAACGTTATAAATACGACGAGCGACAAGATAACCACAGTAAAATGGTCTTCGGATCTTTCTTCTACGGCGAATGAGGTTAGAGCATTTGAAAATGTGTACCCATGTACATTTTCCGGCCTCATATGGGTTGAAACATATTAAAATATGTGTGCGACTCGCGACTGGAGTGTTGACCGCGAAAGGTCAAATAACTGCTTTGACGGACTTTGAAAAGCTTTTGTATCGCTCTCAATCATTTGCCCAAACAAATTTTTATAGTAATATTGAGAACATCTTTTCGCAATTCTACCGTCAAAAGCTTCATCCATTTGAAGGTTTAGCACATGCTGAAAATTAACTTTACTCACAAAGTACTTTTACTGAACAGAAATGTATGCTTACGAATTTAAATTATTTTAGATGCAAAGAGGAACGCAGTGTTTACAAAAATCGTTTTGGGAGGTCTTATGAGGTTGAAAAAGAAGATTTGAGTGTTAAAAAGACAAGATAGTGATTCGTTTTTGAACGCGAAGCCCTCAAGCTCGTGCAATAATTTTCTGCTAAAAATGACGATTTTAACGGAATTTTGTTATTTGTGTTTTTCTCTGAAATAAAAAGATATTTCGCCAAAAAAAGTATCCAGTGATTTTAGTTATAGTCTAGCCTATCTAATATTAAAATAAGAAAGAAATCGAATTTTTCACCCTTGCCGCGAAATTTAGGATTTGTCTGATTTTTACAGAAAAGCGCCCTTAAAGTACTTCTTTAATTAAACGCTTAAATAACCAAAAGGACTCTGCTTGTCCAATTTCACGAGGAACTCTGTCAAATCAATATGACATAACTTTTCTGTGACTCTGAGTTTCACGCTTACGCGATCATCAGACAGATTTCCTGATCGCAATCACTTGGCGCGATCTCATCATGAAGGCCGAAGTCTTCGATCGATAGGCTGAGCTTTCTAGAGTTACGGGATTCAATCTCGACCCCAAAAAGCAATGGTATGTGCTAAAAAAAAGTTATTGTGGAATTAGGCCGAATGCTTTTGCAAAGACCGAAATGTTTGGTCGATTTCCCGATGACTGCAATACGTTTTGTCCCACCAGCAGGTTTCAAGCGCGCAAACAAAGGCTGTTTGTTCAGCACAAAGTAAGTACTTATTTCCGCAACATTTTGGATAAAATAATTTCGCATAAAATTTCATTTAGTGTCCTAAAGAAGATCAAGTTAAGCCTAAATCCAAACTACAGTCATATATCCTCAATACTGCAAAGAAAAAACATGAAAAAGCGGTAGGACTGAGTTATGATTCTGAACAAATCAAGTATAGCCTAAATCATAGTCCATCTATAGCAATTAAAACTAACCGAGATCTGCATGATTTCCGTATTGGATTTCTTCCCCCGATTCAACTAAAAAATGATATATTTCAATAAAAAAAACATAAACGAAAGCTGTTACATGCATTTTCAAGGTTTACTGTACGGTTCACGGATAAAAAGCCTGTCATGCTAGCAGCCAAAGGCAATGAAAATACTCGACAGTTATTTTGCGGCCGTTTAATGTGTTTCAGTGTCGCATTATTTAGATATATTTTTAATGAGACACAAAATTTCCTGTGGGATAAATCTACATTTCAAACTCCAAAGTTGTACAGTACTCACCATGTGCAGCCATCAGAACGACAACAGTCAGAGCGAACAGCAAACGATTCATTTTTGAGGCTCCTATCTTGTGCTGAAGTTGAACTCTTCGTGCTACACCGAACACGTACAGCCACGCCAAATTAATGCATAGTATGGTCACTAAGGGCCTTTAAACAAACATAAAAGGTCGGGGGGGGGGAGGGGGTATATACCACCGCTATGTTCCCAGTCCACAAATCATTCCATTTAATGTTATTGGTGTCATTACATTTCTTTGCGGGATTTAGTTACGTCGCTGAATAGGAACACAAAGTGTGTCATACACCTGGTTATCATAGTCAGAATTGGAATGATGATTGCCCATCTTTAAAAATTAAAGGAGTTCCACAGAAGTGATCCGTGAACTGTACACATGGTTGTAATTCATGGACCCCCGGTTCATGCCTTGTAAATTTGTAATCGATAACAACGCATTCGCGTGTCCTTGGCGTATCAATTTGCAATAATACCCAGTGTTTGAATTAAAGTGAGCTTACTAATTTCGGCCATAAACATTTCTGAACTGAAATAAACTCCTCTTCGTGCTACACGGAAAATGTACAGCCACGCCAAATTTATGCATAGCATGGTTACTATGGGCGTATAGTAGAAGGTGACAGACAAATGGTCAGGAGGCGTATATACCACCTCTGTGCTCCTTGTCCACAAATCATTTCATTCAGTGTTATCGGTATAATTATGTTACTTTGCGGATTTAATTACGTCGCTAAACAGGAACAGAAAATGTCATACATCTAGTTTTCCTAGTCAGATGAGGAAAGATGATTGCCCATCTTCAAAAATTGAGGGTGTTCCATAGAAGTGATCCATGAACTGTAAGCACGGTTGTAATTTATGGACCCCCAGTTCATGTTTGTGATAGATCCTTGACAAAGCGCAATTGTGTTATGGGCTTGTGTAAATATTATGAAACCGGTTTAAACGGATAAAGCAACTGCGAAATCACCCTTTGGCGCATTGAGCCGTCATATAAACTGTCAATCCATAAATGTCATTGCGTGTAATGAAAATACTCAGATTTCACTAAAAGTTTCAAATTAGTTTTACATATTTTTGACGTTGTTGAATATCGTCCACATCCATGGTCAAAAATCTCTTTGCGTGACATTTTCAAGTTTTCTGTAGCCGTACATTTGTGATATAACACGAAAATTCAAACTCCGTCATTAGATATGAACCACATAATGAGTTGATCGCTGTTCACTCTGATTGTCGTTGTTTTGAGAACTGCACATGGTGAGTACTGGGTAACTTTAAAACTGAAGAAATTGCGCCTAAATTTGGAAACAAAATGTTCACGCGTCAGCTTAAATTGAGCACCTGTGGGATAATTATTGATCATCTTGATAAAATTAAGAGTGATCCAAGGTGATCTACAAACTAGGCGCATGGTGAAAGTTCAAACTCTCGCTACTTTGGCAAATTATTGACCTTGGATGCAATAAGATCTACATCCGTTTGCGATCAGGGTATTGCGGTCTTTCCATCGCTGCTAACGTACGCTCTGCAATTACGACTATATTGTGGTTCTTTATTCGGCGAAGAAAAAACTTAAAAGTCAAATGGGACTGAATTGTGGCCTAAAGAAGATCAAGTTTAGCCTAAATCCAAACTACATTCATATATCCCCAATATTGTAAAGAACAAACTTGAAAGAGCGGTAAGACTGAGTTATGATTCTGAACGAATCAAGTAGAGCCTAAATCATAGTCCATCCATAGCAAAGAAATCGTTTTGAGACAATGAAAACGAACTGAAATCTGAATGATTTCCATACTGGATTTCTTCCCCCAGTTCAATTTAAGATAGTATATTTTAATACGAAAACATAAACGAAAGCTGTTACACGCATTTTCAAGGTTTACTATACGGTTCACGGATAAAAAGCCTGTCATTCTAGCGGCCCAAGGCAAGGAAAATACTCGACAGTTATTTTGCGGCCGTTTGATGTTTCAGTGTCGCATTATTCAGCGATGCTTGTAATGAGACACAAAATTTCCTGAGGGATAAATCTACATTTCAAACTCTAAAGTTGTACAGTACTCACCATGTGCAGCCATGAAAACGACAACAGTCAGAGCGAACAGCAAACGAATCATTTTTGAGGTTCCTATCTTGTGTCGAAATTGAACTCTTCGTGCTACAGGGAAAATGTACAGCCACGCCAAATTTATGCATAGTATGATCACTACGAGCATATAAAAGGTAACAGACAAACGTAAATGGTCCGGGGGGCATATACCACCCAGTGTTCCTTGTCCACAAATCATTCCATTCAATATTATTGATGTCATTCAATACTTTGCGTCGCTGAGTAGGAGCACAAAATGCCAAACATCTGATTATCCTAGTCAGATGTTGAATAATGATTACCCATCTTCATTTTTTCCTTTTAAGCGTGGCGGTGTCACAGTGCTTGCAAGTAGGGCGGAGAGAGATATTTGTAATAAAATGATGAAGTCAGTTATTTACTCAAAGAGTTTTTCATACCAAGAGATTCATTGCTGCCAAGATACTTGTCCTAATCCGCGGTAAATTTCTGATAACATTGCTAAGGTCACTGAGGAAATACGAAATTACCCACACACGCACATGGTAAACAAGTGCGACAGTCATGATTACTTGCAGACTCAGAGCTAACTGAGAAATACAAGGGCTTGGTCATTTTCTCAAACGCGAAATCCCAACAAGTGGAAAAATTCTCCTTCCGTGTGCGTCACTTATAATGTGACTCGTGACGTTTCGACTGTACACTGCTAGTCTTCATTAGACGATGAGGTCGACTGGTTTCTGGTCTTCTTATAAAGCAGGATGCTCCACCGTGATTGGTTGGGTTTTTCTTCAGCCGTAAATGACGCGTTTCGATCCTTGATGTAAGTGAGTTGTTCCCTCGGCGTGAGAGTAAGAAATGCTCCCAAGTCTGCGGAGAAGTCGCTGACCATCCTAGGCAATGGGGGATGTCTTTGATTTTTTCATTCGTCGGAAAACTCTGAGACGTTCGAGGAACTGTGAGATCGCCAATCGTCCATGAAAACCAAGCTCAACGAACATTGTTCGCCTCAGTAATAGTATGTATAGGAAAGGGAATGAAAGTCAGTTTGATGATTCATTCATTCAAAAAAAAAAGGAACAGTATAGATATATAAAAAAAAACACATCAAATAATAAGAAGGGTTAATTTCATTCACCGCAAAACCCTGGCCAAAAAGCAAGATATAAAAAATCAAAATCACCTACATTGAATGATGAAACGATAACAGAGTAAATTTTTATTGTTTTTGAAAATATTGAGATTATTGACATAAATAAATAAAACTGACATCAGTGCATTTAAAATACGAAAAATGATTTTGTTATATTTATCGATTTGGTGATTAACACCTCGAGCACTTCCGTGTTTTGGAAGGTTTTTAAGACTGCACGATATTTAAAGGGTGTGTTGGATTCAGGGAGACTTAGTTTTCTACCATTCGATATTTAAATTCTTGAATGAATAGAACACATTTCGACGCTTGTAGATGTAATCTGTATATTGGAAACGGATTTTTATTCATTCGTTCAATTGTTGAGTTCATTAATAGTATAAGCTACTGACTACATATGGACGTCTTCTACGTTTCAGGACCCTGCGAACAAGCTCTGTAAAAACCAGGAGTCTATTTTCCAATTCTATAATTGCAGAATTAGTGATAAAAACAAACAGGGCTAAGCTCCAGTAAAAACTCTTTCTGCTTTTCTGAATTGGCCATGTCAAATAGAGCCATGTCAATGATTGGTAATGCCTCCTTATCAGCTGTGTTGATCTCTAAAATTGTTTGATGCAATTCATCGTTTATTTCCTGTTGAATATGATTTGGAGAAATCTTAATTTAGTAACGTTAAGTCAATGGATTAGTCAATCCATCGGTCGATCGATAGATCAATCATTTTATCAATTGGTTGGTCAGTTAGTTATTCAATCAGTTAGGCGGTCGGTCAGATAGTCACACAGTCACATCAGTCCAGAATTATTTCATCCGTCAGACAGTCAGTCTGCTAGTCAAAGAGTCATTAAAAAATTCATAGATTTATTCAGTCAGTTAGTCAATCAATACGTCAGTCAATAAGTCAGTCAGTCAGTCATTAGGTTAGTCATATCTTCTTTCAGTCACTTAGATTTTTGTCATTGTTTCACGCCCGCGACAAGACGACTAACATCTTTGTCTAGTAAGGGGACTATCAAAATCTCTAGGATGAAAGACGAAATCCAAATAGGTGGTTGTTGTCGAAAATCATTTAAATGATATTGTGTGTATTATTCGTTATTATCTTTCATCCATTCTTCACGACAACAGGCTTAGTGCGGTCGTTACCCGTAAGCTCCATTTCATTTTCACCTTGCAGCTTAATCGTTCCACCTCCGTCATCTTCCCAAGCGCGTGAGTTGTAACAAAGATAGGTAATATTTTGAGACACAAGCCTGCTTAGAAGTCTCAGGAATCTCATTTGGACAGGAACAATGCTATAACCCATCTGAAATTATAGAATAAATGAGACTGTAAAGATCCTCGTCAGGGTTTTCGATAAAAGCCTGTTACGAGAGGTCTACCGCTGACCGTAACACTTTTCACCGTCGTCTGTTTAGCCTTTAAGAGGCTCTGGTGTTTGAGTTTCGCCTTTCAACTCAGTCGCTGATGACACCATCGTTAGCCTCTTACGGAAAAAGTGATGGAAACTTCTTCCCCGTTAAACTATTTTGAGTTTTTCAAAAGACTATAAACACCACCAACAAAATCATTGACCTTGTGCTTACAAATTGTAAGTCGCTAGTTGCTTCGCTTATCCACTGGAATGGTTTTGCATCCGAGGCTATAATCTGCAATGAAATTGTACTTGATAATGTCAAGCCCCAAAATAAAAGTGTCCAGGAGCGTAAGTACAATTTCTTAAAGAGCCACCTGATGATGACCCCTGATGATATGGTGGCTTCTGAAGAGTCTTATGAGTCAAGTGGCCATTTCTGCCACCTCTTCCCCCTTTCCGGATGCAATGCTTGTTCATAGCAG